TGGAGGTTATTGGCCGCCGCCTGTGTGTGTGTGTGTGTCCTGCTGCACCGTGTGTGTCCTGCTGCACCGTGTGTGTCCTGCTGCACCGTGTGTCCTCAAAAATAGATAACACACACACACACACGAGGTCAGGGAAAGATTACCTTTATAATTAAAATAAGACTCGATACGTTCGATTTAAAGTCGAACACGCGATATAATCCCGACCCGCCTGTGCCCTCCCATTATAATCGTATCACGTCCCTCGTCACACACACCGCCCGCTGCTTCATGAACTGCCAGGCCCCGAGCACAGCAACACCGACGCCTCTTGATTCCATAATAACCCGAGACCTGAATAGGAGTTGCAATTTTAACACCTGACATGGAGACATAATGGTGATGATGACAATAATAATAATAATAATAATAATAATATAGTGATAGTTTTAGTAATTACTCACATTTTAACATTTATTTCACACATTTCACAAACGCGGGAAAATCTTTGAAACCTTGAGAGATTGTTATGTTGTACCGGCCACAGCAGTAGTGTCATGCACTTAGTGGGAGAGATGAACCTTACATATGAGAGTACAATGTAAAGCGGGTGTGCTGCTACAGTGTACAATGTGTAGACCAGTAGGGATTGTGGGTGTAGTGAACCTCAGTGTACAGGGTGTGTGTACAGTCATCGATCACCTTGCCTCAGGGGTGAACAGTAATGGGTGTTAGTCACTTCCGTCAGGTAGCCACGGCTTTATTGATCTCTTCCACACCTCACCCCTGTTTCCTTCCCCCTCCCATCTCCACCTCCCCCCATTCCCCTCCCTCATCCCCCATCCCCTCACCCCCCCACTAGTCACGACGGCGAGTTTGACGTACATGTGGACTTGACTAGCCTGACTGTCCTACTCGTAGACCTGACTCACACCTGACTGTCGAACATGTGGACCTGACTCACACCTGACTCGTGTGTGTGTGTGTGTGTGAGATGGAGGAAGGTAGGTAGAGTGTTGTCTCAATTATGGAATACAATTAACTAAGGTGTTGAGGGGAACCAGGCCACTTGAATGGTTCGGCTAGGTAAAAGATGTGTGTGTGTGTGTGTTCAGTGCTTGGACAGTGTCCAATGGACACAGGGCGCGTACACACACGCACACACACACACACACACACGAAGCGGAAAGGAACTTCAATGACTAGCAGTTTTATTTCGCGCAATTGTTTTATTTTTAGTATTCTGTAAACCAGCTCCTTATTACTACGTTTGGTTAATTACTGTTATTATCTCAGTCATAAGTTAAACCAAGTGTTATTATATATTACGTGTTATAATTAATTACTTTAACTATATTACGTGTTATAATTAATTACTTTAACTATATTACGTGTTATAATTAATTACTTTAAATGACGGTCATTAAGTTCAGCCATAATGTTATCGTCACTTATTTAATTATTATTTCTAGCCGCTATTTAATTTATTCATGAGGTTAAGCGAAACTTTATTTATTTTATTTATACATTTTATTCATATTTTATTTTGTTCAATCTATTATTAGTTTTTCTTCTCCTTTCCTCCTCCTCTTCTTATTTCTTCTTCTTCCTCTTCCTCTTCTAGTACTGTTTTAATATTAATATACTGTACAACTCTCTTAAGTAACACACGTAAATATTTAACACGTTAATTTACCTTCTCTCTCCTGAAGAAGAATGGTCTGGGTGTAAATTGTAGTTATTGTAGCAGACTTCAGGCGCGTGAGGTAGGTGTGTGTGTGTGCAGGGTGTGGGGGTGTCTGAGTGTGGGGTGTGGGTGTGGGGGTGTCTGAGTGTGGGGGGTGGAGGGGGTTACAGGGGTTGACAGCGGCAGTACCAACAAGGGGCCAATGTCAACAAAAGCGTGACGTCACCCAGGACAACAAACACTGCTTTGTGTTGACGGTGTGACGGGCCAGCTGAGACCACAGAATGAGTCACTCCTCTTCCTCGGCGGCTCCACACACACACACACACACACACACACACAGCATGTATAACTTACTTACACATCAAATATTATATACAAGTTTTGAAACATTTATATATCTTGGGAAATGATTTAAATATCCATATGTGTGACAGCCCCTTCCCTTATATTTAAAATCAAACTAGCATAAAGTGAAGTTAGTGAACGTTGCTATTTAAAAGTATAGTTTCAATATATATATATACGTTGCTATTTAATGATACAATCTCAGTATATATGTTATTGATGTTATTTTGCTATTAGTTACATTCTCGTGTTGTCTTCAGCTAGTAGGAGTGTTGTCAGTGAGGGAGGTGTGAGTGTGGCCCCTGAGGTGTAACTAACATGACGGAGGGGTGATGGTGATCTTGCCACCTGTGCGTGTGTCCCTGTTCTTGCTGCTGAGTGTTTGAGTTTGAGGAAAAAAATGTGTGTGTGTGTGTGTGTGTGTGTGTGTGTGTGTGTGTGTGTGGACAGACAGTGACGCAGTGGTGTCAGGTGTACATTGGTCACACACCATCCTTCACGCCCACTCCCTCCTCCCGCCTGTCCTCACTCCGTCCTCCCCCCCCTGTCCACCCCGTCACCATACCTGTCCACCCCGTCCTCCTTCCTGTCTCAGTTTTACGTGTCTCGCTCCCATCACTCTTCTCCTGTCCACTAGATGTGAGGAGGAGGGAGGTGAGAGAGGTGGTGGTGGCGGAAGAAAAGACAGTGAGCCATATAGCGTTGCCTCCTCCCCCCTCTTCCCCCTCTCTTCCTCCCCTTTCCTTCCTCCCGTTCCCCCTCCTCCCGTCCTCCCTCCCCCCTCTCCCCATATGCCACAGTAACTTGATAAAAGGTCTGGTAGCTGGAAATGTAATTCAGCGGTCGGCTTCTCCTCATGAATATTTAGTAGTTGTTAGTTAAGTCGGATCTTCCATCTTTATTTACCTGTGTGTGTGTGTGTGTGTGTGTGTGTGTGTGTGTGTGTGTTTTATATATATATATATATGTGTGTGTGTGTTTTATGTGTGTGCGTGTTTTTCTGCCTGTGTGTGTTTGAGACCTCTGATTATCCATATTTATATTGATTAGTTTCATTGTTTATCATTCATCCTAGCATCCTGCATCCTACAACCTAATAGCCTTCATCCCAGCATCCTCCCCTACATCCTAGCTTCCTACATCCTAGCATCCTTCTTCCTAGCATCCTACATCTCAGCATCCTTCTTCCTAGCATCCTACATCCTAGCATCCTTCTTCCTAGCATCCTACATCTCAGCATCCATCCCAGCATCCTTTATCATAGCATCCATCCTAGCATCCTACATCCCAGCATCCATCCCAGCATCCCCAGGTAGGTAGGTCGGGATAATTACACGCCCAAATTTCTTGCCCTGATGAATGTTGAGTCTAATGAGATAATTATTCCTGTGTTAAGATTGAGATCAGACAGGGAGGTGAGGTGAGGTAGGGAGGATAAGGTAGGGGGAGGGGGAGGTGAAGTAGAGGGAGGTAAGGTGAGGTAGGGGGAGGGGGAGGTAGTAGTGGAGGGAGAGATGGAAGAGAGGAAGGGAGAGGATTTTATAATTAGACATGAGAGAGAAATACAATCAGACAGACAGACAGACAGACAGGTAAGTGTGCCAGTTAACAAGTTAGGTTAAGGTAGGTTAGGTTAGGTTTCATCACAATGTCAACACACACAGTAGGCAAGTCAATGACACACGTAAATCGTTTCTGAAATATTCCAGCAGCATTGTAAGGGATCATTTTTACCTCCTCAACCTGAGTAATAGGAGGAGAGAGCTCAGTTCCTTGTGTTGTCTGTCTGTCTTTATTTGGTAGCCTGTCTGTCTGTCTTTGTTTGGTAGCCTGTCTGTCTGTCTTTGTTTGGTAGCCTGTCTGTCTGTCTTTGTTTGGTAGCCTGTCTGTCTGTCTGTCCGTGATTGTGTACGTGTCTAATATCCTAAAGGGCTGAGGATTTGTGTTGAGTTTTTATTGTTGACGCTTTTGCCTCGTTATTTACTAAGGTGTTCTCCCTCAGTGGTGCAGGTGGTGGTAGTGGTGCAAGTTGTGATGGTGGTGGTGATGAGGATGGTGGCAGTAATGGTGCAGGTGGTGATAGTGCCGTGGTGGTGTATGTGTGGTGCTGATTGTTAAGGGGGACTTGACCAACACACACACACACTCTTGGTATAAATCTGATTGTGATTTAATTGGAAATAGATTGGCAAATTGCATGTAAGCGAAGGGAGGTCACACCCGGGACCACCCTTCCTCCTCCTCTCCCCGTGTCACGTTCACTCCGTTAGGTCAATCGTTCAATAGTTAAATGGGTCAGTGTCCTAATAGGTTCGACCATAACATAACCTAACCATTAGCAATTGAGCACACTCATAACGGGTCGAATAAGATAGGTTCTGTTTGGACTGGGCCTCTTAGCACCGGGGTCCAACTGCTCACACCAGCTAGCGGCCAGGGCAGTGTACGATATGTGCATCATCATCACGCCGCCAACAATTTCCGTATCGGCTCACTAATGGCCCCAGGGGTCATGATAGCCACGCGGCTGCATAACTTGCCCGATAAGGCTGAAGAGGAAATGCTGCTGGTGGTGTCCCTGTTTTATTATGTATATTATAGTTACAGGGTTGGTGCTCTTGGCTGTCGGTAGGTAAGTGTTGTGCTCGCTGCTGCTGCATTATATGGATGTGTATATTCTGTAAACGTCGTGTGTACATTATGTGGGCACGTACACACGGTTAAAAAGTGTTTTCCCCGGATAGGTCTGATGAATTTTGAAATGATCAATAAGACTCGTGTTGTCTCGGTAAGGTTGTCAAAATTCTTCATCCGTTGTGTCGTTTTGTGGTAAGATACTTTTTTTTTTACCGTGTTGACGTGCCAACACTTACATGTATGTACACTTTGTCATGTATTCGATGTATAGTAAGTTAGTGTGTGACATGTATGGTGTGTAGGCTACGTGTTGGCCCGGTACTAATGAGGTGTTTTGTCTGCATTGCAGGTAGGCGGGCGGCGTTATTTGAGGGAGATTACACCCACAGACCGGCTCCCTCAGTACTCACACACAGTAACGGTAACTTGAATACTGTAAGTAATTGCCTCACCTGCTACCTGGTCTCACCTGGTCGTGTGCTTCACCTATCCTGATCCCAGCCATCTAGTACATAATATGCTCCACTTAGTCAGCTAGGTCAGGTACTCACACATCACAGACTAATAAATAATCCGGGTCACTGAATAACACAGAAGAACATTGGGTTAAAAGGTTAATAAAGCCGCTTGTGATGACCTTTGAAGTAACAGACATTTGACCTTCTATGATAATTGGCTCTTAACCCCTGGGTCTTGTATAGTGATGTGTGGGGATGGATATGGTTAATGGCAAGAACTTATTTAATGTTATTCCCGTGGTGGTGAATAGTGTACCCGGTGTGGTTTGTTGACGTGGGCGAGGGAGGGAGGGAGGAGGTGGTGGGTCGTGTTATCAGCCAGGCCAGCAGATAACGATATAAGTATAAGTTTTATAGCTGTATTAATTTTTCGTTTATCAGTAGAGTGAATTGTGTCGGTGAGCTTTGTTGTGTTTACTTTGTCCGTCCGCGCGCGTGTGTGTGTGTGTGTGTGTGTGTGTGTGTGTGTGTGTGTGTGTGTGTGTGTGTGTGTGTGTGTGTGTGTCCGTCCGTCCGTCCGTCCGTCCGACCATGTCATTTTCTTCCTCGTGTAACATGGTATCGTAATAGTTTCTACCAAAGTATACAATTTTGTCATCACTAGTGCAGGAAGGTAGCAGTGTGTGTGTCTAGGTCAGTGTTAGTTTAGGTCACAGGTCAGGGTTGCGTACTGTTTTCTTCATCACCTGTTCGATAAATTGTTGACTGTGCATTGATGTCACACAAGGACAAAAGACGTGAGGTTTCCCCAGCATTATTGTGTAACTCACGACCTTACTTCGTGGTATAATGTACAATATGCCAAACGTTCGCTCTAGTTTCCTGGAGACAGTGGTAGGTGCACCGAGAGAGTCGTGGTGGCAGGGCTGTGTACTGTGGCTGGAAGGAGGAGAGGTTTCCGTGCCGTCCTCCATAATCTGGACCACTGAACTACAGGCCACCGCTCCCGCCCTTCATATATCACTCTTCTCGTCGAGCGTGGGGGAGGAGGGCCGCCTCTCCCCGCCCGTCTTCAAGGCCGGGATAAAGTTGAGGTGCCATTATTGTGACGGCACCACCGTCTGGGGCACCAACATGATTCCTTCTACACAGTCACTTCAAAAAGAATCGCAAAGACTAATCACACAAGACCTGGTGGAGACTGATGAGGTCACGTGGTCCCTGCTGCTTCCTGTTATGGGAGGGGGCAGGATTGTTTGTAGTTGTAAAAAGTGTAAATTGATCACAGGGAGAGGTTGGGTTGTAGGTACAGTAAATATTACTCAAAGGAGAGTCTAGATCGTTTACTGAAGACTCGCTCATCAGCACCAAACTACTTTATGGTACAATTAAAATGAAAATCATGTATTCAGAACAAAAATACAACAGCACAGTAATTTTCGTGTGGTTGTAGTATAGTAACTTGGTGTACCAGCCTGTGTAAAATTTAGAACTGGTGTAATACCGGTACCTAGCTTGCCTACACTAACACGGTATAGGACCTAATGATTTACAGACAACTGAAGATGAAGGTAATTAATTTTTGAGGCAAGACTGTATTTTTGTTGTACCATAAACGACAACTCAAATTAGTAAGTACTGTATTAGACTCTTACATGTATCTGCTGTAGTTAGATTGAATCCAAAGTAAGTGAAACCTGGCGGACAAATTCCATAGATTTACATAATTGAGCCATAATAAACTGTAGGTGATGTAGATGTTTCCTTATTTAGACAGTGAAGCATTATGAGGGAAGTGTGTAGTGTAGTTTAGTGTAGTGTAGAGCAGTGTAGAGTAGTGTAGAGCAGTGTAGTGTAGTGTTGTGTAGAGCAGTGTAGAGCAGTGTAGAGTAGTGTAGAGCAGTGTAGTGTAGTGTAGTGTAGTGTAGAGCAGTGTAGAGTAGTGTAGTGTAGAGCAGTGTAGAGTAGTGTAGAGCAGTGTAGTGTAGTGTTGTGTAGAGCAGTGTAGAGCAGTGTAGTGTAGTGTAGTGTAGTGTAGTGTTGTGTAAAGCCAACAAGTGCTTGTCCTCCTCAACCTCCGCTGTCACCACACACACACACACACACACACACACACACACACACACACACACACACACACACACACTTTTCACTATTTTAATTTGATATTCAGATATACACATATTGCAGATCTATCGCCATGACTGACTGAAGTGTGATAATGAGTGTAATTACGGCCGAGTATTTCACGCAACATTCTCACAATTATTTTCCAATATTAAAACTGATTCGCGTAGTAACACATAATTGCCACAAGAGGAAATTGGTGGTGGTAGTTTATGACTGTGTGTTGTTAATTATTGACAGGTGTTACCGTATATGCTATAGTGAATATTGTGTGACTTTAGCACCTGCCGCCCTCTTATCTAACCTCAAATTCTAAAGGTTCATCTTTTAAGTGTTCCTCTGAATTGAAGGTGAAATAGTGTACGTAACTCCTTGATGAAACAAAAACAGAAATACATTAAAATCTTCTTTCTTGTCGCAACAGTTAGAAAATAAAACTGAGACGGAGAATCTATGGAGACACGTGTGTACTTTGTCCCTATTGCCTCTCAGTTAGGTAGAGTCTCCGGGCGGTGACAATGATATTTCTGGACATTATTTTAGCGTTATAGCCAACCAGTTAGATGTATTGTTCACTTAAGAATAATAATTGTTGTAGGAACCTCTTAAAATCTGGACCTTGGTTTGTGAGTCATGCTAGAAGTAACACTCCCGCGTCATGAAGAGTTAGAACTTTAAACTTGGTTTCCATTCGTGGAGATATTATGAAAGCCCAGTTTTCTATATAAGTAAGACCGTGTTAAAGTTTTCTCGGTGACCGTGAGTGTTGTCGCCCGCGTAGTGTCGTGTGTAGAGTTGCTCCCTGGCACACTAGACACCCAAAATTTTGAACCACGAAAACATGTTGTGGTGGATGACGCAATTAATGGGGGTGATAGGGCCGCGTTATCCTGTGTGAGCCGTGTTTACGCACCAACCAGCTGACTTTTGTTGTGAATGTTCCTCTGTCCGGGGGTGTAGAGGCAGGTTACTTCTCTCTACCTCCCTCACGATGATATGATTTTGATAATTCCATTTAAATTTTTCTTGTTTTGTGTAGAACCTAAGACAAGTGAAATGTGCCTGTATTTATAGATCGTGGTTGATGACGTACTTAATACATCAAAATAACAACAACTACTGTACTAGGAGTAGTATAGGTTGTGGCGATGCTAGTGTTATGGCTGGTTGGCTCAAGTTCATACGGCTCCTATGGTAGCTAACGTAATGATTTTTATATGGCCGGCTCTGGTGTTGTCTAGCCGTGCGTCCGCTGTAGTTATACGTTACTTTTATCTTTAGTTCTTCCCGTCAACTAGGAAGCCCGTTGTCATCAAACTCGGTACTGTAGTCATGCCCACTAGCTGGAGGTGTGTGTGTGTGTGTGTGTTTTAGTAAGATAGCTTCAGCCGCGGGGTCATTTTTCTTCGTAGACAGTTTCTATCACGTGAGTAAAGCGTGCCTGGCCCAGTGTACTGTATACCGGGTGTTAAACGGCAGACTGTAACAAACACTTCCCTTCAACCCGGTGTTATATACAGTACAGCACGAGGCGGAAAGAACATTGAAACGTGTTATTGCCAGCTGCATATGTAATTAACTCAGGCCCTTCTGTTAGATGTTCGTTGTTATATATTATAGTTATTGGTGTGATGGAGAGCTCTGACCTTCCCCCGCTGGTGGGTGATGGCATTACCGTGTTGTGAGGCTCACTGGGGGGCGCCACTCACACCCTCATAACCTGGGGGAGTGTGCGGGGTCTCCTCTTCTTTCATCCATATTTTCACCCTCTTCTCTCCCTGTGCCTCACCCTCAGTAGTCCCTCACGTCTCGCATCTCACTCTCCAATACTCCCCTCCCAACTCCCCTGAGTAAACGCGACTCTCCCCTCTCGTTTTACCACTAAAGGCCGGAGTCTGCGTTGCCTGGCCGCTATACAGTAAATGCAACTTAAAAAAAGTCTTAGTTTATCATTTAGAGTCTAAATGATAAACTAAGACTTTTTTAAGAGTTCATACGACCACCACAGCTAAGTTACGAACCGTTAGTGAATCGTTCTTATGGTAGTTCGTATGGACTTCAGATTTCACGGTAGTTATGAACTTCGTATCCCAGCAGTGTTAGTGAATCTGGGCCAATAGGTTGTACAGTTAATACACCATCAACAAATGGTGCATATTTTCTATTATAGGTACAGTGTGGATCTGGTTCAGGCTGCCTTACTGGGTGTTGAACAATGCAGACCAGTGCCTCAACATGTGTACCTTATAGCTGTAATACTCATCAGTGGGAAGAGATGTACCGTATTATGCAATGGGGTGGCTGCACTGACTTATCTTTTTAGTGAGCAGAACATAACTTGACAATTTCGGGGGGGAGAGGAGGGGTCATGTTTACTCATATGCTCTCTTTTCCTAGGCCGACAGGGGCTAAATTTGGGATCACTGAGGTGACACTGCCTGTTGTAGAGGAAGGTGTGGTTCACGAGGGATTGACGCATGTGATGGATGAAAGGTAATTAGTGCCAGGGGAGGGGAAGAAGAGGGATTGCCAGAGAAGTTGGGAGGGCTGCCAGGAGGTGGAGGGAGTGCCAAGGGGGGGGGGGAATGCCAGGGAGAGAAGGAGGTGGTGCCACTCGTGCCGGAGATGAAAGCATCCATCAAAGTGCATTCATAAGATACCATGAACCAGAGTGATCAACCAGCACCATGTGTTCCCATGTGTGCTCCTGTGTCCCTACCATGTGGTGTGTTCCTCCTGTGTCTCTACCACCTGTGTCTCACCATGTGTTCCCTCCCTGTGTCTCTACCATGTGTTCCCTCCCCTCACCATGTGTGTTACCTCCCTCCCTGTCTCTCACCATGTGTTCCTCCCTGTGTCTCTACCATGTGTTCCTCCCTGTGTCTCACCATCCTGTGTCTCTACCATGTTCCCTCCCCTGTCTCACCATGTGTCCCTCCCTGTGTCTCCCTACCATGTGTTCCCTCCCTGTGTCTCTACCATGTGTTCCCCTCCCTGTGTGTGTCTTCCCTCCCCTGTGTCTCTACCATGTGTTCCCTCCCTGTGTCTCTCACCTCTCCTGTGTCTCTCACCATGTGTTCCCTCCCTGTGTCTCTACCATGTGTTCCTCCCTGTGTCTCTACCATGTGTTCCCTCCTGTGTCTCTACCATATGTTCCCTCCTGTGTCTCTACCATGTGTTTCCCTGTGTCCCATGTGTCCTGTGTCTCACCATGTGTGTCTCTCACCATGTGTTCCCTCCCTGTGTCTCTCACCATGTGTTCTGTGTGTCTCTACCATGTGTTCCCCTCCCTGTGTCTCTACCATATGTTCCTCCCCTGCTGTCTCTACCATGTGTTCCCTCCTGTGTCTCTCATGTGTTCCCTCCTGTGTCCCACCATGTGTTCCCTCCCTGTGTGTTCCCTCCCTGTGTCTCTACCATATGTTCCCTCCCTGTGTCTCTACCATGTGTTTCCCTCTCTACCATGTGTCCCCCTCACCATGTGTTCCCTCCCTGTGTCTCTACCATGTGTCTCTCACCATGTGTGTGTTCCTCCTGTGTCTCTACCATGTGTTCCCTCCCTGTGTCTCTACCATGTGTTCCCTCCCTGTGTCTCTACCATGTGTTCCCTCCCTGTGTCTCTACTATGTGTTCCCTCCCTGTGTCTCTACCATGTTTATTATGATTGTAATTTTTATGATCTTGTGAATATTATGATTATCATTACTGCCACTGTATTAATAATGGTATATTATTATTGCTTTTATTATTAGTTTTTATTTTTTCATGTTTTATTAATATTCATGATTTGTGATTGCTCTTATTCTTGTAATTGATTCAATGCATCATCATCATCATCATCATCATCATCATCATCATCATCATAATAGTTGAAAAAAGGAAATGACTTGGGTCTTTGTTTCAACAGAGAGGAACAGCTGATGACCCGACGCCGCTATCATGGACGACAACAGCAAACGACAGGGCACCAGGTAACGAGTAGCTGTCTTCCTGTAGTGTGGATGTTCGTAAAACTCTTGGTTTTACCTGATTCAGCCTTTGGTCTATTTAATCCATAATTAAGTTTGGACTCGCTATCTGCTCATTTTATAAAAAGCTTTTAACCCATTTTGGGGGACATTATTTTGTCTTTATTTTGTGTTCACAGACAGACACATAAAGAGGAGTCAGTTGTAACTGTGTCTTGTATTAGGTGGGGTAATGGATGTTGTTTTTTATGAAGTTTGATAAGGAAGGACATAAATTGTTGAATGTTTGATATCATGATCTAAGCCTATATTTCACATAATATGTACAGTACTTAAAACATGTTTATATTCTCTTTCAGAGTATTTAAGAAGAGTTCACCAAATGGAAAAATCACAGTGTACCTCGGGAAGAGGGACTTCGTTGACCACATTACACACGTAGACCCGATAGGTGGGTTGGGTCTATTCTCAAGTCAATTATTGGTTGGTCGCTTCCCGTACTGTGTATGGTAGCCAGAGCAACACAGCAGAATATTTACAGTACTCTATCTACATATTTTGGATTTCTCTTGTATAGTCTGTGGTGAGAGATGATCAAGTTTGTTTACGTTAAAACGGGTTAAGAATAGTGTACAATATTTACCAAACCATGAATGTGAGAAGTCATACAATACAAAAGGAATTATAGCAATAGTCTTAGGACAACTATGTTTTCTAGTGAGTAATTTTTTTCTCTTTGTAGTAAACGTTTTTATTCTGCTCAGTGATATACTGTAGACAGCCTATTGTACCTTTAATTACCGGTATATTTTGCCTTCAAATGTGCCCTTAAAAATTTATTGTATGCTATACCAATACTGTACAGGTACTTGGTGGATACAGCACTTGTCCAGCTGACATGATTGTCTACAACTTTACATATACTGTACTGTACTATGTTGTACAGTAAATTGAATTTGGTAACAGATTTAGCAGTACAGTACTGTAATCTTTTAGTTGCTTGCTGTGCTCTTATTCTTAAGTGGACTTTTGAATAATTCTCACATTCCATTTACAGATGGAGTAGTTCTTATTGATCCAGAATACCTGAAGGACAGAAAAGTTTTTGGCCATGTATTATCTGCTTTCCGGTATGGCCGTGAAGACTTGGATGTTCTCGGCCTCACATTTCGGAAGGACTTATATCTAGCCTCAGAACAGATATTTCCTCTTGATCCTGCAAGCAAGAGGCCACTAACTAGATTACAGGTACATGTGTCCTTCCTGCCACACCTTTTGTTATCTTTATGCCACTTTCACAGGAGTAATCCATGCTTAGAATGTTCCAAATAGGTACAGAATTTATCAGTTGAAATAAGTTTTTGTTAAAGGGATGTCTCTTCTGTGTCTATTGTTGTAAAACATTTGTTAAACTTTTTATCTGTTCACGGTTATCATTTTCCTTGTGTAAATTTTTTTACTCAAAATATTTTTAGCATTGCAATTTGCAGCTCTAATACCAATTGTACTGCTCTATATCCCTGTAACTCTCTCTCTCCCTATATCTTGTTAAGAGAGAAAAAATGCTTGTTTATGGAGGAAAAAAAATGTATCAAGAGATTTGTTTCCAAGATAACTTATCATATAAGGGAAAAAGATGACAGTGAACTAGACTACCAGTATATAGTGTGTCTTGAGCAAGAGATATTTTGAACTCTTAGTGAGGGAGTTGATGTCCTTGATTTTCAGTACACATTTGACATGATGTAATGCTGTTCAAATAAATTCATTAATCTTCAGAAATGTACAAAGCTTGACTTTTACTTGCTTTATTATTTCCATCAGGAACGTCTCATCAAGAAATTAGGACCAAATGCCCTTCCTTTCTTCTTTGAGCTCCCCCCACATTGCCCGGCATCAGTTACGCTGCAGCCAGCACCTGGGGATATGGGCAAACCATGTGGGGTGGATTATGAGCTTAAGGCATATGTTGGGGACAGTGTTGATGACAAACCTCATAAACGGTATGTAGTGCTTAAAGAAGGAATGCTTATTAGTACTCTGTTGTTGAATTGACAGGTAAAATATTTATGCAGTTTTAGATTTGGCAGGATACGATGAATTCTTTAATCCTTGATACTGCAAGAAGATACTTACTATTACTGTACATGGTTTCTTTAACTTTTGACAAGAAGTAAGACATAATAATAATAGAACACGCAAGAATTTCAGCAATGGTGATGGGTTTCTTTGAGGCCCATATTTGAGTAAAATAAGGTGCAAAAATGGTCAGAAAGGTGACAAGAACTCTAAGATGGTGTGGTACATTGTAGATAAATTGTATTTTGAATGGAACGAAAAATATGTATAGTACTCATTTTCCAGTCTAATAAACAAAACAAAACACATACAAAATGTAATTTTTATAATTTGTGGAACTATACCTTATCTTTGTTATTGCTTTGTAGGAATTCTGTGCGGTTGGCAATCAGGAAAGTAATGTATGCCCCCATGAAGCAGGGAGACCAGCCAAGTGTGGAGGTTAGCAAGGAGTTTATGATGTCCCCAAATAAACTACATCTTGAAGCATCTTTAGACAAAGAGGTAAGAATGTGTTTTTGTTAGACATGACTCGCTTCCTCTCATACAGTGTAATTTAACCCTTAGAGTTGATATATCATGAATATATACAGATCCTCTCTGTTTGCTATGTATGCTTATACTTCATAATATTCTTTTTCAGTTATATTACCATGGAGAAACAGTAGCTGTTAATGTCCATATACAGAATAATTCTAATAAAAGCGTCAAGAAAATTAAAGTGTCAAGTAAGTGAACTATATTATATAATTGTAAAAAGAATTCTATTTGGTTTCTTAGTGCTTTCTTGTTTGTTCTTAAACGTCCTTCCCACCTCTTATTTCCCCCTCCCCCCCCTCCATGTTGCAGCTTCTTTACCTCTTAATCCATCCTGCACAGATGTGAGAATTAAGATAATGGACTGGTTGAGATAAGATGGTTTGTTATAATTATTGTTTTAGGATGTAAGGGCTGAGCTGGGGGTTCTGTTGAAGGCTGCTCTGACCACCACCTCTTCATCTTTTAACATTAGCAGGTTTTGTTTTCTATTTATGATTAGTGCAAGTATATAATTCTCTCATGCATGACACTACAGAGGTTTTCAACAAGCCATGGAGTGAGAGTTAGAATGTGGGATGATGGTTTGTATTTTATCATATCATTAATGTATGGTTAGAAATGGAGAGGAAAGATCCTCGAGTGATGGACATTGTTGAACAAAAAGGTTGAAGTGATGGATGGATTGCTCACTGAGAAGGCATATGTGGGAGAACTGGGATACAAATAAGGTCCTTGTGAAGAGTCAGTTGTTAGGAGGGAGACTGGTAAGAAATCAAGTGTGGGGCCCAAAGTTGTCTTCTTCACTAAAAGGATAATTTGTACCATTATTAAAAGTTCAGTCCAGTTCATCTTATAGTCAATATTTTTATGATATATATTCACCATGTATAATAACATAAATCGTCTTCTTAAGAGTAATGAAATGCATTAAACCAAACTCTCATTGGTTAAGTGTTTTAGCTCCCATACTTTTGATTGTAGTGCTAATACAGTGCTGTAATTATGAAGTATATCTGTATCTGTCCTTCTGTAGTATATTTCAACATCTTTATTTTTCAGTTCGACAGTTTGCAGACATCTGCCTATTTTCAACAGCTCAGTATAAGTGCACAGTGGCTGAAACGGACAGTGAGTAAGTATTAATGCGTTTTCAGTACTGTATACTGTACTTTATTTCAAAGAAATTTCTTAAAGAGGAAATAATTGCCATCCATATAATTATAGGTAATACAGCTGCCAAAAAGAAAAGTAGCATTGATATGTAAAGTAGAGTACAGTAATTCTCTATTATGAATGATAGAAATTTGGGTTGGTAGTTTGGGTGTTCACAAGTGTATACCATTACTCTTCCAACTAATTTGATGTATTAAACTCCTGCAGACTTCTGAGTCTTCAAAATTAATTTCTTTCTCTGCAAAATTAATTTATTTCTATAAAACTCTGCTATTGTAGCATATTTTGTGAAACATCTTAAATTATATTATAAGTATTGAGAACCACGAGTGATGGCACAGAGTTGCCAGATAATGTATGTGTTGATTGTAGAGTCAGTGTAGTATCAATTTGAATTTTGAATTTTGAATTTTGTTATCTTAAGAACCATTAAATAGTCCAATATTAAGTGAACTTACCATCAAGTACCAGGCATGTTTTTTTGTTACAGTAATTCTTATACAGTACTGCAACATGCTAGTCAATTATAGAATCCCTAATGTTATTTTGACTAATACAAAGAGAACTGTATTGGTAAACTTTGCTGTCACCACACAGTGTCTGCTAAAACACCAACCTAGATATTCTTTCATAAACTTTAGGAAATATTTTCTTGCATTAAAGTCAATAGTTTTTGCATGAATTATTATAGATGTACACTGGTTATGTGAAATGTTGGGTATCTTTAATATTCTTGATCTTGAATGATTGTCAAGTCGTTGTTATATTTCAGACAACTTTAATATCAGTAGAAGATGGCTTTAATTCTCCATTTCCTTCAGATAGATAAGTAAATATATATTCCAGATTATATATATGCTCTTGTAATTCACATTGTGTTATATATTCATCTATTTACAGAGCTTATTAATTTTATTTTATTTGGGAGTTACTTAGTAGCACTTGGTACTGTATTTGTTAAGAATACGTAATTAGGGCTTTGGGGACTAAGATCATTATCATTACTTGGCACTCGAGACAAGTTTAATCAGGTGAACATACCATACAGGGTGTACCTGAACCACGTATCCATCTATTATGAAAGTTTTATATATGTTAAATAACTTTTTTCTTTTGTAATTTTGATATTTTATTTTCATATGTTTCAGTAAAGCACTCCAGTTTTCTCTTGATTTTTTAAGTTATTTATTTTGTATTACACTATAACTCACTTTATTTCCACTTTATCCTTCCAAAGAAGTAATAATATTTTTTATAAAATATAAGATTTTTTTAGATGCTGTCTGGAAATTACATGTATACAGTATTTGAAATACTAGAACATTACCTAGTTATGAAATATATGACAGTGACTTTACAACATATGTTATTGGGAGACAGTTGTGGGTATGTTAGGTATGTTACGTATTGTAACACAGGGAGAGAAGTGTCCTGTTCCCAAGTGGGAATATTATTTATTATGCATCTCCTGCCAGATAGAATGGGTAGTGTAGTATCTTACTCTGCTTTTATTTTGTAGCTGTTTATTTGTTTGTGGTGTAGGTACAGTATTTTGAATTCTGTTGTATTGATGATAGTTCAGAGAAAAAGGGAAGGTTAAAACAATAAATTTCAGTACATGTAAAATGAACAGTTACAGTCAGTTCTGCTATAACGCGATAGTTGTGTTCTTGTAAAACATCATGTTATAGAAATTCGCATAATAGAAATATCAGGGCTTATGGAGAAAATAGGGTTAGGTGCAGATTACTCCAAATCGAAAAAAAATTCAGTAGTTAGCCTAACACAAAGGATAGCACAGTCTAAATAAATGTTACATTCTTATCTAATAATGAAATCATACAGTAAATGTTACACTTTACCTTGAAAAAATATGAATATAACTTGATGGGGGAGAAGGTTGATGTTGAGGTTGAGGAGTCATGCAGACAGGATTTGACAGTTGTCATCATCAGTATCATCATCATCAGGTGCAGTTTTTCTTTAGGTCTTCATATCTTGATAAGGCTTTCTCTTTAATGGTGAGGAAGCTGGTCCCAGATCGCTTTTTCGTTTGATCTTCTATCCAAATACTAGAAGCCATTCCATCTCCTCAAGTTCCTTTGGCCATGATCTCACACTTTTGCTAGCACTCAAGGTTTTTCCACCAATACAGCTTGCTTTAATCTTTGCTGCATTGTCTCTAATGGTGCGTAAAGTAGACTCCTTTATTCCCGTTGCACGCACAATATCAAATGTTCTTTCCTTATTTTCAAAACAATTGACAACATCAAGCTTTTCTTCAAGTGTGAAAGCCTTTCTTTTACGATCACCACCGGAAATGCAGTCACCAGAACGCTTCCCGGAGATGTTCTTCTTTTCCATAGTCACAAAATTGGAGAAACAGTAATCAGAAATCACTGAGGATGCTTAAAAACTTCACACGTGTTTGAGACTGAACGTGTGGTGTAAACAGAGCGCGTGGGTATAAAACGCTACGTAATTTGATTTTCTCTTTTTACTTAAAGTTTTACAATTTACATATACTGTACAGGTATACTGTATACATAAATATTACATAAATTATTTCTGCAATTCTTCACAAACAAAACACATAACTCAATTGAACATGTGATGTCGAACATGAACTGTAAACACTGCATAACCCCACGCCAAGCCATAACAACCGTTCGAGTGGAATCACATTAGAGCAAACGCGTTCGCGTTTTACAAATATTGTCCCTCTATTCATCAATCGCGTTAGAGCCAATTCACGTTGTCAAAATACGCGTTATAGCAGAACTCACTGTACTTTGAGAATTCTAATGCAGTGTATCTCTCACATGATTGGATTTTTTTTTTTTTACTTTTTCTCTTATTTCCTCTCGAGTATATTTTCTAGTTTAAATAATGGCTATTATATGAACTTATTGATAGACATTGCTAGATAGACAGGTTACATATTACTGGATAGGTGAATAAATGGATGCAATGAGAGGAGGATCTTAACTCTTAAAATGGCAGCCATCATCAGATAAATGGATAGTTAGAGAATTCTTAGCTGCCATTTAAGGGTTAATAGGTAGATGGATGGATAGATATATGGGTCAGTAGATAGAAAGATATTTAAATTACTGAATTTTCCTGTCCATACAGCTCTTTTCTCACACACTGGAGATATTTGTATTATAATAATGTACTGTACTGTATTTTTAATTATTTCCTATGTAAATTTAGGCGTTACATTTTCAGAAAGGACCATAATTTAATTTATTGATTCTTAGTAGAAATTAATAATGTTGTAGAAGTATGTTGAGTTGTGTGGTAGTTTCTGAATATAATAATGGTATGTTTTTTTATATATGAGGTATAGATATTATTGCTATAATAAATTTACACTATATCAAAGGTATGGTGTTTATATATGAATTAATGTACTGATATCTCTGCATTAAACTAACACTGCATTAAAGATATGGTTTTCATATCTGCATTTTAGATATTTCTCAAAAAACTAACTCTGTACAGTATATTCAAAACTCTGACATTAATGTGTCTGTTACAATGTAGTATAGTTTAGTATATACAGTATATATATATATATATATATATATATATATATATATATATATATATATATATATATATATATATATATATATATATATATATATATATATATATATATATATATATATATATAATTTTTTTTTTAAGCATGAAGCAGTAATTTTAATATAATTAACACTTGGTATGATTAACGAATACTGTATGTTGCTAACCTTCATGACTACAGTACAGTATATAGTACTAGTGAACTAACATGTTTGTCATGGGTTGCTGTTGTTTATGATGTGTGCCCAGCTTACAGCTAGTAACATGTATGGTGGAGTTTGTTGCTGTGTAATGGTTGCCTCGCATGTGTTTCATTTATGGAGGGAGCATTGGAATTAAAGCCATAGATATGTTTGTTGTAATATATATATATATATATATATATATATATATATATATATATATATATATATATATATATATATATATATATATATATTACCTATATTTTGAATATACCTATGGCATTGTGCTTATTTTTCTCTTAGTCAGCTTGATCATTAATGTACAGTCATGTCCCCTTCCTACTACTGTACTGTTATACTCCGTCCTCCTGTTATCTTGTCACAGTTTCCCTGTTTTGTCTTCCTGGAATTAGTTTGTCTGGATATTTTTTTTTTTTTTTTTTTTTTTTAACACCCATTATCTTGGGTGTAGAAAGTGTGTCCTGTTTATCAGTGTTCTAAGGCTGCCACCTTTACAGTTGAGGAGCCAAAGCAAAATTATTCACTTATTACTTTTTTAAATTTCCTTTAAATGATCCCGTAACATTATGTCAAGCCCCTGAATTAAAAGCTAAAATTAATGGTCACTTTGGAGTTTCAGTTTTCAAGTATCTTTGAATGGCATCCACAGTCTGTCCGTCTGTTATTCGTCCGTCCGTTCATCCATATGTGGTGTTTACAATATGCTCATTGCATCTATTTTCGGAAGCAAAATCAATTTTAACATTAGTGCGGGCTTGACTTACCGGTTTCAACCAGTTTATTGGTTTCATAATATTAAGGCTTCAAACTTTGATCTACAACATTCATTATTTTGATTATTTGATATAATAGCCTGCCCTGCCCATCACAAAATCATTTGTGGTGAGGGCAGGGTAAAGTTGGCAGCTTGTATGGTGGTGCTGTGGTGACGTGTGTCTGGTGTGCGTTCACAGGGACGGGTGTCCTGTATTGCCGGGCTTTACCCTCTCTAAAGTGCTGCACCTCACGCCCCTGCTTCTTAACAACAAGGACAAACGAGGTCTGGCTCTAGATGGCCAGCTCAAGCACGAGGACACCAACCTGGCGTCCTCATCAATGTAAGTAGTGCCTGCTCAGACACTAACCACTAATTACTAATAGTCATTAGGTGCACCTGTGGCGAGCTTCTCCAGGGAGTGGTGGCTGATGCGGCAGCAGTTCACCATACACCCAGCATCAACACTCTCAGCAGCCTTATATGCCAGATGTACATAGAGATTATATTTGCATTAATTACATACAGTAAACCTCAAAGCAAATGCCAGAAAATGGATGAGGCTTGTTGAGCATGTGTTGATGAAGTGAGTGTAGCAAGGAGGTGGTGGTGGTGGTGGTGGTGATGGTGGTGGTGGTCACAGAGGAGTGGTTGTGTTGTTGCAGGGAAGGCTGCCCTGTGGGGCCTGGTTTCTCCATCAGTAAGGTTTTCTCACTGACGCCACTTCTGACCAACAACCGTGACAAGTGGGGGCTGGCCCTTGATGGCAAGCTCAAAGATGAAGACACCAACCTAGCATCCTCTACTGTGTGAGTAACACGCATCTTGTGGTGTGTCCTCACTCTTAAGTAGGTATGGTGAATGAAGAGTGTAAATGTAAACCTTTTATGTAAAAACCTCTCACCCTACCACCCAATATTTTAATGTAGGATAGAATTTGTATATATGAAATCATCATAATCCTTATCATAAACAGATCCAGCAAAAGAACATCAACATGAATCAGTGTATATTACTGTACACTGGAAATGCTATTGTACCACCTTCTTATATCCTCATCTTAAGCGAGAATGGTAGTGAGTATTTTAACAATCATCTCTACCTAACCCTATTAGCCTCTCCTTGTATCATGTATAAGTACTCTAGTTATTTTGGAGTGTACTGTACTGGAAAATTATCGATACATATACAGTATAGTGATATCCGCGTTAGCCGGAATACAGTAACTGGTGCAGAGCGGTTCAGGGATTGAGAGATTTCCGGGTTTGGAAACAAATTTTCTCATTCCCAGAAAATTGCGCACATCTCTAGAATTTTCATGGATACCGGGGAAAGTTTTCTGGGGGCTTAAACTATGGATCTTGCACAGGCAGACACACTCCTATTTAAGCTATGGTCAAGAATGAAAATATATACAGTACTGTATACACTTACAATATATTGTAAATAAATAACTTACAGGTATATACAACTGTACAGTATACTCTATACTATACTCACCAGCAGATGCTGTCATTTAGAGCTTGTGATGCCGGCAAGCCAAATGGTGATATGATAATACAAGATGGCCTGCCTTTGACCTGTACCATCTCCTGTAGCAGGGGTTGTTAAATTTCACTCTCCTTTCCTTCCATGAAGGAGGGATTGTACACGCACTTTGTACTGTACATACACCCTCTACACACTAGCATCTGTCCACTCTGCTATGTACAGTATAGTCTTGGTTTACGCGGATTTCTTATACGCGGTTGGTCATTTACACGGCACCTGTCCAGACGCGGCAATTATTAGTTACGCGGTACATTCCAGCATTTACGCGGGAAGCGGCGCGGACAAGCTGCGCGCTAGGTCTCGCTTACGTCACCGCTGATGTCAGATGAAGTATCGGACTGTGATTGGGCCACGCATTCCCTCCGCTGCTAGCTGTGATTGGTCTATTTAACCTTGCTTGCCCATTCAACAAAACATTACCGAGTTCTTCACCTGCCACCCACCACAGCCAGCCCAAGTCAGTGATAGTGAGGATATGGACTTTGAGGGGTTTGACAAAGAGGCCCTGCTAGCCTCTGTGGTGGATATTGATACAGGTGAGGGCCAATAATCTGCCCTCTGCCTCGGAACCAACCCCCCATCCCCGTGTGCCCAGCCATCTCTTTTACTAACATAAGTGTTAAAAAACCTAATATTATTGATATTTCTCTTAAATTTTAATAGTGTGTGCATACCATCATAAAATTAAGATATTATTTTTACTACAGTGTATGTATTGTGTCGGAAAAAGGGTAGTCCGGGGGTCGGCCCAGTCTCTATTTCAATTAATCCCATTTGTTCTGTTATTTCGTTTACGCGGACCTCCATGGGTTTAATTGACTGCGTAAACCGAGACTATACTGTACTGTACATTACTTTACATGTGGTACTTTCACACTTACTGAATGTACAGAACAGTATATATGTAACTTAATAACTTTCTATATGTTAACACTGCTTTGATGGTATTCTCATCTGATTGTATTCTGGTACAGTACTGTACAACACAGATCATATGCAAAAACAGCAGTGAGCAAGCAAACAAGCGTGTACAATGGCAGCAGGCAGTGAATTAAGAGTGACATGATGCAAGAGTTAGAGGAGATAATCTGTGAGATAACATCAGCCAATCATAGGCATCCCATGCAGTCACATGATAGTAGTGGCCAGTCGTAGATCACGAGCAATCTGAGCCTACCCACCCACGTGCTCAGCACGCGTCCACGCGTTGTAAACAATGCAATTTCTCGGAAAATGTCCCATGCCAAGAACGGAGATGTTCTCAGAATTTTGCGGAAATGCACAGGATTCTATCCTCGGAAATTCATTTCCATGCCTGGAATGGAGACATGTTCCCTGGAAGTTCTTGGAATGTAAAAAAAGAAAAAAATCCAGCTATTGGAGTGTTCCGGGATCAGAGATTCCGGCTAATGGAGAGATTACTATAACAAACTGGGCACCATTTTTTTTATTATTATTATTGTTGTTGTGGTAACTATAGTAGCTTCATCTGCATAGTAATGTTACAGTAATAGGTGTGTATAAGGCATGCAAGTTTAGTAGGGATTCCTTATAGCAGGCCGGTAACATGTGGGAATGTTGGATTGAGAGGTGTCGGAGGGATAAAGAGTTTTCCAATTAGCTGAAACTTTGGATCTTAGGATCTCTCAATAAACCCTACAATGCAAATTTCTATGCGCAGACCTCGCAGATTCATGTCTCAGAAAAACGGACTTCTTTAACACTTATTCCACTCTATGTAAACGATGTGGCTTAGAAACAAAGGAAAAAAATAAAACTATGAAATAAGAAAAATGAAAAGCATGTTGGTGAATGAGTTTGGAAAAGTGTATAGAAGAGAATCAATAATTAACGGGAATTTTTCCTATTCTTCCAAGCCCCATTGTCCATTATATAGTAAAAAGGCCAGATTCAAGAGAAGTTGTGGAAAGAATGTACTGTAGACTTTTCAAAGAAAATATTTCTTTTACAATATTTTTCATAAAGTTGGTACAGTGTTAAAGACTTTTGCCACATGGTCCCTTTATGAGGTGAGTGGATCTGCAGTCTTGTTTAATCAGTGTCCAAGTGGTAATGTTTTTGTTGCATAATGACCCCAGGGGATCGTTGATCGACTGTCTGGTGTGAGACTGACGTTTCTCAGGTGATGGTTAAACCATGCACATCAGTTAAGCGTTTAAATACTGTATTAATAAAAGTTTTAAACGGTGATGGGTTCTGTCACCCAGCCAGTAAGTGGAACAGCTGTTCATTTGTCTCAGTGTGGTTGAATTTTGTTTAAACTTATTCAAGCAGGTTAAAGGTTTAGCCCATATTATTGGCTAAAGATTTTCACCTCTTCCACTGGAAAATATTGTGTGTTCATTTTGTTTATGGAAACAAAACTTGGGGAATCATTAAGAAGGACTTGTTGCTCATCACTCTGAGCTCAGTAAATGAGCTCTCTTGTAATATGTTACTATTTAAGGGTAATTTGACCCTTACCCCCTACCCTATGAACATCTTGTTCAAGCCTCTTATTTTTATCCTGAAAATTAGTTTATATCTATACAAGAATATTCCGTTCTTGATTTTTTGTTGTACAGACTTGTTTAACTTACACCAGTTTAGAACAATAGGACTTAGATACAAAGCATTACTTCACACACACACACACATATAGACAGCCATGCTCTTCAGTTTTCTTATTTTTTAGTTTTACATCATATTTTCTTTATTTCTAAGCCACATTAGAGTATTGTAATGATTTTTCCACAACCTTTATAGTTTCAATACATGTAACAATGGCAACAACCCATCTCACAGGCCACCTCATCCCCAGTTTTCTCCTCTTCTAATGCGTCAAGTTAATATTAAACTGAATTTTGACCTAACGTTAAGTGAGAAATGGTGTATCTTTTATCGCTAAACCGAATTAACATTCAGTGAATTAATGCTAAACAAAAGATACCTGTATATTTACAGTATATATGAATAATAAAATACTTGAGGTGTACTGAATCTCCCAAACATTATATAAACGCTGTCATGAGACTAACATTGGCAAAGCCATATAGCGGATTTCCAACAACACTAAACTACCTGTATTTGTGCATCACACGACGAGGGAGTGTCTGCCCTATCTTCCATATACAGTACTGTACTGTACAGTATACCGGTAGTCTTTGCCCTAACTCAGCAAAATTGCTGTTGATCCCCACCCTCATTCACATTAAAATAATTTTGTCAGTGAAGTCGGCCAAATCAACATTTTCTCTATTTGTTTTTTTATTATTATTATTAACAAAAACCATTATATAGTTGAAAGAACTTAAATTGTGAGATCAGTTAGATACAGTATATTAATGATGTGTGAGTTTGCTTTTCACTGCAAAGTTTCTCAAATCAGTTAGTGATGAATTAGTGAATCAATTCTTTTGCTATTATCTTCTGAGAGTGATAATTAATTTTCATGACAGCAACTGCAAAACACACCATTTTACACAAGTGTGATGTCACAAATGGTAGAAGATTGTTCAGGATACTTTCTGACTGAAAAAAAAAAATATATGTACTCCTTTTAATGCAGCCAAAACTTAGAAAGGTTATCAGGATAAAATTCCTGTTATAACAAACTATTACTTGTTAAATTTATGAGTTGTTCTTATTCGAAAGTTGTCAACCAAGGACAGAGTTAGTAGCAAATGGATTCCTGTGTAGTGTTCAGTTGTTTAATAAAAGTTCATTGTTGGTTTCTGTTTCATAGCAATGAAAAATCTGTATGATTTTGGGAATATGTCAAAAACTGTATTTTCTAAATATCTTTTCCATAAATATAGTTTTCTCATACAGTACACGCATTTTCTTTATCGATTTGCCATTCTGGGTCAGAATATTGGTGTGACGACTTTGCATTGACTCATTCAAATACAATACAGTGTATTTCAGTTTTTCAAAAATATGTCAGAAGGTATGGATGTATTGAGAGAATGGGGCATGAAAGATTGTTGAAAGTGTCGAATTCAAAAGGGGATATTAGGAAAGAGAAAGAAGGGCTGAGCAGACAGTAGAAGGGTGGGGTGAGAGAAGTACTGGAAGGGAGAGAGATGGACATTCAAGAAGCAGTGGTATATGTGAAAGATTGAAAAGCATGCTGATAAGTGGTTTTGGGCAGTAAATGTACTACTGACATGTTATACCAGGTTGTATGAAGCATTGGGTAAACTGGTTAGAAATTTTAGGGCCACTTTATGGAAAATGAACACTGTAGCAGAGCACATTTGACAAGGAGTCTGGAATGAATGAATCACAGAAAATATAGGAGAGTTTGTTTGGCTCTTCGTTACACATACCGTGTGCCAAACTGGGAGAGGCCTTGCAAGATTGGAGTGAAAAATGGGAAGTGAAATTTATTTAACCTTTCTATCACATTTTGAATATCATGGGTAGTAAGTATAGATAATTAGTTTTGCTCTAACCATATTGACTTATTTAACCCTAGTTTAGTTTTATGATATTTTTCTTTGTTAATGATAATACCAGTTTGATTATTTTTCTTTCTTTGTACTGAATAGTCAAAATGGTCTGTAAAACTGAAGAAGTCTTTAAGGGATATAGATAAATAGTATTATAGCACAATAGAGCTTAGAAATGTTGATTACTGTACTGTATACCCATATGTAGCTTCACCACTGTGTGTGTGTGTGTCTATAAAAATTGACTTACAGGTTTTGGAATTTCTCACTGTTCATTATGCAAGGCTGGTGGTTTTAGTTTTATAAAACTTGCCATTATTTAATTCATATGACAATGATGGATGTGGTCATTACAGATATTTTATGCTTACCGGTATGTATAATGAATATATAAGACAATTATAGCTAATGTTTGATGTCACCAGCTGTTTATAATGAGAAGGACAATGTACTGTAATTTTTACGTAAGCATTTAAAGTGTACAGTAGATTGAAAATGTTAAACATTATACCTTCACTCTTTTATAAGTATTTGAAGACTTCAGAATTGCTTCAATACTTCTTTATACCTGAAGTTTCTTAGATTACTATAACTGCTAATTATAGAAAAACAGTGAATATGACCACTAACTAGTTGGCTTTCTTAAGACTCCTCATTGTTACTCCTTATAATATATTCAGTACTTATGCAACATTTGTCATTTCCTAAGAGGGAGTGTTATGTTGATAGTATGTTAGTCTTGTTAGATACTTATATATGTATAAATTATTTTCCAGTATCACCGATTCTTGTCAGAAGGAAAACCTGGGTATTATCGTGCAGTACAAGGTCAAAGTGAAGCTTATTCTTGGTCCACTTGTAGGGTAAGGCTTTGCTCTCAATCACTGTCTTTGCATAAACAGATAATGTTAAATATTTTGATGTAGGCAAGTATTGTACATAGTATAATGAAACTTTTTAGATACTATATGAAGAATGATAAGCATGATAAATGTATAAAAAAAAATTTAAACAAGAATCTAATAGTTAAATTAAATGATTACTTTAATCTATATACTCTTCTTATGTACTTGCAGTGACTTAGTAGCAGAGTTGCCATTCACCCTGATGCACCCAAAGCCAGAGGAGGACCCAGAGAACATGAAGCCAACTGCACCGGCAACATCTTCCCCGACAAAGGACTCCGAGTCTACTCCACCGGTGGATACAAACCTTATTGAACTTGACGCGTTAGTAGAATTATCAGATATTATGTTTTAGCTTTAGATAAACCTAGTCTATGGTCCCTAAAACCACTTCAGCTTCTTGTTATCATACAGGACATCAGGATCATATTAAACACAAATAGGTAATGTTTTATGTCTCGCCAAACGTCAAAAGATTTTAAGCCGTGTCTTCTTGTTTTATGATTCTTTCTTGGCATCTGGATCCTAATATAAACATTAACCAAGTAGCCATGGATGACAGAGACCACTAAACAGTACTGGGTTCATGGAGATGGTGGGTCAGCAATGGTGGGTCAGCAATTCCTGTGTATACCAGTACTGAGTTACCAATTAATTCACAATTTGGTAATACAAGGAGGAAAAAGTTAATTGACCCAACCTTGAAGAATCATAAACACTCGTGTAAAGTGTAAAAAATTGACAATGGTGAGACTTTTCTCCTAAATAGTTTATTAAGATATGGAAAAAGGCTGACTATCCTTTAGTTTATAGAGGTAAGGGGGGTGAATTTTGATCACCAAAATTTATCATTAAAGGCAAATCATCCCCAACATAAAGTACCTGCCAGTTTTTATATGAAAAAAAATGTAGAGATAATCAGTGGCAAGTTACACGCACGCACGTGCACACACACACACACACACACACACACACACACACACACACACACACACACACACTACTACCACCCTAGATCCCTCATCCGAGAATTGCTGTTCAACACCACAACCGCATCCAGCCCATGCTGTACGAGCACGTACTGATAGCCATAAGAACAGCCCAGTCCAAACCATTGTAAAAATTATCAATAACTTGTAATCAACCAGTGTATTCACTCCCAGTCAATCTTACCTTTTGCACTGTCACTATGTTGAAATGCCCTGTAGTATGACCTTCTCCCCACCTAGTCATTATATATCATATTTGTATCACTTATATTACTTGTATATTATTTGTAAATCAAGAGACCCATTCCCTAATTATGCAACTGTATATTTTCAGTTTTCTGGCTGCCATGCTCTTTCAATAAACCATTAATAATTATTATTAATATTATTACACACACACACACACACACACACACACACACACACACACTATGTAGACGTAACTCGTGGTTCACTGGTTTGACTCGTCATTACATTAGTGTTAGAGAATTTTTTTGTCTACGTCTTTTATACTTCCTCTTATTCTTTTCTTTCAGACTCTGTATGTATCAGTTTAGTGTGCAAGTTTCAAAATCTTTCTTTATTCATTGTATAATTTGAAGTAAATTTTTTAAATCTCTCAATTTTTATATCATTATTGTTCTAATACTTTCTCCATTACCATTTCATATCTTTCAGACTTCTTTGGTTTTATTAGAGGTTTTTGCTGTTCTTGCAATTTTAAAAGTCTTCTTAAATTCTCATATAAACTGAAGTACTTCATTTAAGTAATTTGTTCATAAATATAAGCGTAACAAGCTCTGGGTACTTCAGGAGTGCTCCCAAAGGCACATCAAGTTTGGGTCTAAGCCTTCCTGTAGGAGTTGATGGGTTCTTCAAGATTCAGTCATTCCTTGGTCCTATCAAAGCCAAGTTAGAGCAACTGGTAGGCAGGCATGGGGTTGGTAGTAACAGGACTGAGGACCCTCCCGACCCAGTTATTCAGAATCCTCATGCCAGCGAGGCAGCTCCAGATACAACCACCACTTCCAAGCCCAACATCTCTGAAGCTGGGTGCATGATAGTAGATTTAATCAGTTTTAATAAGCAGGAGGATGATATTGTGTGGGTATTTTATGAGTACTAGAATTTGCATGTCTGTTAATGAGTTTCTGCATGTTACACTAACAAATTGTACATGTGTGCATATTTGCAATATCTTGTCATATCTTGTACAGAATTGGTTTACCTTTTATGACCGTATGTGCCTATTTCACATAAAATGAATCCATATATATGTATATATATATATATATATATATATATATATATATATATATATATATATATATATATATATATATATATATATATATATATATATATATATATATATATATATATATATATATATATATATATATATATATATATATATATATATATATATATATATATATATATATATATATATATATATATATATATATATATATATATATATATATATATATATATATATATATATATATATATATATATATATATATATACAGTAAGTTGCGGCATTTAAATCGACCAAGATTTTTTGTTCCAAATTCAGGTTTAAGCCTATACTCGCTGTATAAGTCGACCCCCCAAGGCCCAAACATAGGCTAGGCTAGAACTGAAATGTGGATATAGCCTATGGTGAAAGTGTGTAATAAGGCCACACCACTTTTATCATCATCCCAGTATAGCACCTTGATAGTACCGCTATATACGGTATGATTGTAGAACATTATGGAACACCTGGCACACGATCCGCTATTTGCATCAGCTGGTGTAAACAAACTGCCAGTGGAGCCACCAACACCATGCGGCCAGCTGCGAAGCTATGGGTCCATTACACTGTCGGCACACAGCTTAGACCTAGACTGTCATATGCTTATTGCCCCCCCCCCCATACACTGAACAATCCTACATGGCAATTTACTAAACCATCGTGGCCTTATGCTCTTGCTGGCATCCACTCATTACCCACACACCAACCTGACACCACTGTAGATGTCTTCTTGTCCAGTTGTAGCTGTTTAACACTCACAGTATTCAATTTTTAAACAGCTGAAAATATCTTATCCCCATGGCTCTCCCAGCAAAAAGGATTTAATATGACTCAAGTTTCACAATCTATAGCGTTATCATAAAATTGTGCAGATGGCACCATATCGTAGTACCGGGTAGTTGTCTGGCTGGCCACCTGGGTTTAGTGGCGTTCTGATCAATTGTTTACTGTGCATCAGCTATTGGAAATGGCGTGTGGTGTTGTGTTCATTTAATTATACTGGAATTTACTCTTTTATTATAATCTTATGTTAAATAAGTTTTCCAAACATGAATTTCAGTAGGAAATATTAGCGGCAGGCCACGTGAGTTGCGCTAAGTGATGCACAGCGAGTGTTAGGCAGGCTGTTCCACTTGTTTACCACTCTGGTAAAGCTTCACATTTTATACTCGGCGTATACTCGTTCTGGTGGCTACAGTGACGAGTCTAACTTGGCAACAATGCCACCATTGATGTTAACTTTAGCCATAGCATGCCCTCAAATAATTGGGGTTCATACAGTGTTCACGTTAAATAAAAAAATGTGTTTCAGTGGCTCTCATTATAATGGTGGTGTTAATACTTTAAAGTAGAAGTGTGGCATTTTCTAGAAAGTGTAGGGATATACTAGTCAAAGACCCAGGCTGTGTTGGCCTCAGGTTACCTTCCTGCTGTAACTTGAAGACTCACCATTAACCCTCGCAAGCTGATGATGCAATATTCATCTTCCTGAGGCGGCAGGCTGAGAAACCAGGGGGTCCCTCTTCATGCTGCACACTCACAGGTGTTCATTCTACAAGTTGAAAGTTTTCACATCTAGTCCATTGCAATATTTACACCTTTTTATATACGGTGCATATAACATCTAGAATAGTCCATCTACAATATGGTGGAGTAAAAATCGTGAAAAGAGGTTCTGTACAATGCTACCTGAAATTGTGTTAATAAAAATTAATTTCTTAATAAACCCAAGTTATATAATTATGATATTCCTGTTTTTTGGTTTTTAATACTTTATTTTCATGGACTTTGCCTGTATAAGGCTCTTATTAACTTAAAACACAAAGGTAATGAATATATTTCATGAAAATGCTTATAGATTATTTTGTGAATAATTATGTTGACATGCAAAACAGCCTGCCACCAAGGTCACTTACCCTTGAATGTTCAGGGTGCTTGCTCATCCGAGACCCCCGCCCTTCCCCCCAGCTGATAGACCTCTCCTCGACTCTTCCACATTCTTGGTGACCCTCCCTCCCTGATTGTCTGTGTTTACATAAAATAATTATCTATAAAATCATATTACCATTCTAACTATGCATACAGTTCTAGGATACCTTGTGACTAAATGAATCACAATGGACAGGGCAGGATTGGTGATTCATTCCATGGTGCTAGGTGGCAACAGCTAGGTGGGATTAGCAACCGAGTGTAAGGGAGCTGGGGGTGGTGACTCATATGGCAAGTTAGAAGACACTGCGGTGGGGAGTACTGGGACGGGAGGCAAGCTGGTGGGTATGTCAGGTTCAGATTGCTGACACTTTCTAACCTTACCTTGATCCCTCTCTTCAACAGTAGGAGACACAAGCAGAAACTAAATGTCCCCTGTTTCCCTGCTGTTATTGTCACTTTTAAAACTCAAGAGCAGAGAAGACAAATACAGTACACCACTGTCGCTTTTACTGTACGAGGTCCAACACAAAAATAATGAGATTGACCCTATAACTCGGGAACCAAGAGTGGGAGGAGAGGGACAAACAGACGGTTATTGAACATGTTCTAACCCGTCACAGTGTGACAAGGCTCAACTCGATTACTTCACTCAGTACAAGTGGACGTGTGTTGAAGTATAGACGTGTTCTTAAGCTCGGTTGGAAAATGTCGGACTTAAAATCTGAGCAACGAGGTAACATCAAGTTTCTTGTTAAACTTAAGAAATCCGCGACGTAAGCTTTTCAATTATTGACTGAGGCTTACGGAGAAGATTGCACGTCTCTTGCACGCATTTTGGAATGGCACAAACGATTTTCATGAGGCAGAAAAATCATGAAAGATGTTGACCTCTCAGGCCATCCACGCACAGCAGTTACCGATGACAACATTGAAAAAGTGCGAGATGTGATTAGAAAAAGCCATAGCTGAGAAGGTTAACTCAGACAGGGAAAGTGTTCGACTCATTCTAACGGAAGAATTGAACATGACAAAGGTTTGTGCAAAAATGGTTCCAAAAATGCTGACATAAAAACAATTCGCCATTGCGCCAGCCCACAATGCTTTGTCTGTGAAGCAGTTTTTAGCCAATAAAAACATCACTGCTTGAGCACCCACCCTATTTGCCAGACCTGGCTCCCTGCGACTTCTACCTCTTCCCAAAGATCAAGTCCGTGCTCAAAGGAACCAATTTTTTGTCAGTAGAAGAGGTGAAAGCAAAAACGACAGAGCTACTCAACAGCCTTACAGAACATGATCTGCGGAATTGCTTTGATCTGTGGCAGCATCGTATGCAGCTGTGTGTCAACTCAGAAGGGAACTACTTTGAAGGCGATCACAGTTGATTTTCTTAATTTGGTAAATAGAGTTACAGCGTCAGTCGCGTTTTTTGGGTGCCGGACCTTGTATTCCTACAACAGTGCATCCACCTTTGAAGATGTAAGAGAAGGTTGCAGCCTGGACAACACATGTGGTTTCACTGCCAATGCAGGCTGGTGCTTTTTCTAGCCCTCGCCTTCCCATCACCTTTATTCTTCCCATCTCCTTTACTCTTCCATTGCTCCGTGACCAGTCTTCCTGCTCCAGCATTGATACACACACACACACACACACACACACCCCAGGAAATTATGAAGTATCTGTGTAAATGAATATACCTGAAACCACGGACGGTGCATCAGATGCATTTGTCGTAGAGGGTTGAGTTGGGGAGACTTGAGTGTGAAACAAATAAGGGAGGAATGCATCTCCCCAGGCTGATTTGGGTCTGCTCACTGCCTGTCCATTGGCTACAGTGTGCCAAAAAACGGGGGGAGTGATGCAGTGTTAAATTCAAAATATTCCACCAAGAAATAAAGAAAACCATTTGGATGACACATATTATGTCATCGGCTTGTAAGGGGGTGAGATTTGCACCGCACCCCTGGCCTGTGAAAGGGTTAATTATCTCTCATTTTCATGAGTATTTAGCTTTTTTAACTACTAATTTCAACAAAATGTAATCTAAATTAAGAATAGATTTTGCATGTCTTGACTAAATTTTACCCTGAAAACTAGCTGTACATTTGTGGTACTGAAGAAGCCTAAAGTATCTGAATATTAAAATTGAGCTTGAAACCACAAATAAAACATTTAAAGTTTCAAGGTTACATAATTGTTTTCTTTGTATATTCTCAAACAAGTTTGATATTTGTGGATTATTTGTGTTTACAAATCTTGATTAATTTATACACTTACATAATTCATTCCTTTTATAGATGTGATTTACACGTAATGGTCTTCTTCTTTGTATCCAAATTTAATGATAGTTAGAAACATTTACCTCATAAAGATTCAGGTAGCAAAGATAGAGGATATAGATTCATAGAAAGTATCTGAAACTGATACCAGAATAGCTGAGCGCTTCACTTGTATCATCAAAAATATATTATCATTGATATTTTAGCAAATGTAAGTTTTTTTATTTAATGTCCTAATACTGTAATATATTCTCTTCCAATAGGGATGGAACTACTTGCTATGCTGACCAAGATGACGATATTATCTTTGAAGATTTTGCTCGCCTTCGGTTGAAGGGTGAAACAGAGGCATAGGAAGTTTCATAGAATGCAGGTCAGGATTCTTAGTACAGTACAATATAGTGTTCCCTCGGTTAACGAGCACCTCGGTTAACGAGTTACCTTCCATAAGATTCTTAACTTCGGTTAATGAGCAATCCCTCGATTAACGACTTTCTTACGAGCCGACCTCCACATGTTTTAGCTTGCATTTGGCGGTCCACCAGCTGTAGTATTAGTCCGCCAATACAGTAATCGGTTCTAGGGCTTAAATTCCTTACCCTTTTAGTAAATATCAAGAAGTTTATACTATTCAATAATTTTAAAAGTTTAATATTAAATTTTTTAGTCCTTTTAACAATTATTGAACATAATTGAAGGTAGGGTCACTAGTTTGTGGCACGCCATCCAGCCTACCAACACAGCATACAGGTGTCAGTCTTTGTGTGGAGGTAACATCTTGCTTGAGACTCTCTTCAACTAAACGCTTTTTTTCTGTGTTTACAAGCAAATTATTGGTCATTTTGAAATTTATTTTACATATTGTCAATATATAATGCAGTGCAGTGTTGATTTAAAGAAAATTATCTTGAATTACACCAAGAGAACTAAAATTTTATGGGTGAAATGGCGCATTGGGGTGCCTTCTCTTCTCCCTTCTCCTCCACCCCCATTCTAATTCCCATCATCATCATCATCATCATCCACGAGCCTTCTATATACACACCTCAAAGTAAGTGTGCTTTTCTACCTTTTTTGTTGAATTTAGGCATTTTTCAGTGAGCTGGAACCAATTACCCAAAAACCCATTGAAACAATGGTTTCGGTTAATGAGCAACCTTCTAGAACGGATTGTGCTCGTTAACCGAGGGACCACTGTATACACATGTTTTTAAGGGTGAAATTAAATATTGATTCTTGGGTTTGTTTAATATTGTGGTAAAACTTCATTGTATCTTAATTCTTTTTATCCTGAATGCATATTTAATATTCATATAGAACACTGAAACAATTATAGATCATTTACATAATTTAAACGTAACTTATGTTGTACAGTACTGAGATTAGTACAGTACTGTAGGAATATTTGAGAAATACAGTGATATCTCCATTAGCTAGAATTTTTGATCCCCGGAACTTTCCATTACAGGTATCCCCCCGATCTACGATCTCCCTTTCTATTATATTCCACTTTAACGATAGTGATGTATTAAGACCCCATATCTATGATTTAAATAATCTGCATGAGTGATGGTAATTGTCTGGCCAAAACACATTACAGTCACAATAAACATAGCAAAAATCACTTCACAGTCACCAAAACAGAGTACAATGTGAAATTTAGTGATGCCCTCTCTCTATAAAGTACTGTAAATAATACAAAATAATGCCAATGATAAGTAGCAACACCGATGCGACCGACAATCATTGAATTACTGTACACTATCTTGGGCCATGTGGGATCACCATGGGACAGAGCTTGGTACTGTAGTACACAAATTGTTCTGGCTAATGGGGAGATTACTGTATAATGTTAACCTATGAACTGCATTCCATTATCAAGATTTTGTCAAACTTCTTTATGATTTTACAGTATTAATGAATTTGAGTTCAGTCTGTAAAACTTAATGGTTGATTGGTGAAGTATTAAAACAAAGGACTTCTCCATTTATATATGAGAATTAATTTATTGTTCTTATATGTTCAAAATAATTTTCAGATGTATGGAGTCTACAAAATAACAAATGTTATTTTGGAATAATACTGAAGAAATCAGAAGATACACAATGGAAATAAAATGTTGATGTACAGTAGTTATTGTGATGATAACAAGTGAAAAGAATTTGTAATCTCATCATGTGACACTGAATTCAACAACCCTTATGTGAAGGAAGGTACAGTATAGTACTCAGTCAACAGTCTGTTGCCATGCCGTAGGTGTCAAAATTATGGAATTGCCTACTTGTGCTTCATGTTTTAGCTTCAGCCGTTTACAAACAATACTGTGCTTTTTTATTATTTTTTTTTCATTTTGTACACTTGCTGTATATGAAATGTATCCTTACAACAGGACAATACTTGATAGATTTTAGTCTGTGTCCTAGATTTTAGTGGCTTGATCAACAGAGCACAATCAAAGCTTCAAGTATAAAAGGATTAATTACACATCTTAGAGTGAGTGCTTGCTCTGTGACAACGAAAGTATGTATTATTGGTTCTTATATCCCCTTGAGGAAACCCTCTGCTTGACTGGATTATATCAGAATTTTTACTTTTTAATTATTTTATTTATTGAGGTACCTCTTTGTTCAATATTTTTTCCATTATACTGATGTTCATAGGACAAAGTGGGTCATGTAAAATTTGAAGAACTAAGCAATGGGTATTAATGTAAAAATTTCAGCTGAAGTATTTCTTTACTCCTCTTTTACATTAGAATTTTGCAGTTTATATTATTGTTTAATGCTGTTTCTAATTAGCCTCTGCCACGGTTTTCATGTTACCCTTAAGTCTGGAACCAAACAGTCATAAAGATGTAGTCAGGTATTGTGCACAGTTAAGTCAAGATGGTCCAAGTGAAATAACAGGAAACTTATGTCATTGTATTTTAAGAGGGAAGTTACCTCAGCACTTGTGAGTTACCTCTAAAATAATTAATGTGTTGTCTGTATGGTATGACACTGTAATTAGTTGAAAGCATTCCTTGTCACTGGGGATCTTGGAGATGTGTTTCCACTCATTATCCAGGCTGTGTTAGGGAAGAGTTTTGGGAGGTTAAGACATAATCCTAAATGTAACTGTATAATTTTATAGAACAGGATCTTTCTAAGTAAAATATCAAGCTCATTTATGTTGGCTTTATGATGAGCATCAAATTCAAGAATAGATTTACTGTGCATTATTATTAATCTGTACAGAACTGGTTATTTCCATTATGACCACTAAAGTAATTGTCTATATATCTGCTGATGATTGTGCCATTTTCCTCCGTATTTAGTGTGCCTCATCCAAAATCTAATTGAAGCACCATTTGTGTCTGTATTATCTAGATACTGTTTGTTTGGAAAAAATGGCCTGCTTTCACTCCTGATGAAATTTAGGAAAATATTATTTCAAAAATTTATTACCATGAATATTGGCGGTGATTATGGACTAGATCTCTTTAAAAGGTATTGTAGTCGATACATGTATTGGCTCTACCTCTGATTGATGAAGCATTAACACAAAACTTGATTAATTTGCCATTAATTAGAATTCTTAATTGTTATACTGTATTTTTATTTTATATGTGAGAACTTGTGAATTATTAAATACGTATATCTACTTTGTTTACATATATGTTGAATTTATGTAAATTTGTAATTTAACAGCTGAAATTTAGAAAATAGAAAATTAAAATAATGTACTGTACCTTAGTGTGTTTGCTCTTATATATTTTTTAATGATAAAACTATGTAGATTTGATGATACTGTAGGAGCTGGGTATTCAAGTTCCTTCTGTATTGGTTAATTATAGTTTTTATACAGGTGATCGAAGACTCATGGGAGAGATTGATTGTCAGAAAAATCTGATCTAGAAATGACATTGAACTTACTAGCAGGGATAAAATAAAAGGCATTATGTTATTATTTAGATTGAATATATCATTTTCATTTATTTCATTCTTAAAGGAGATAATGAATGTCTAAGATGTAAAGAACAATACCAATGCAGAAAAATATTTTTTTAATGGTATGAAAATTTGTTGTCTGGTGTAAATTATTGAATATTGTGTGACATTTTTGGCATCTCAGCCATTCATGTGTTAGATGTAGGAATGTGCACAAAGTTAGGCACAACATATTTTTTAAGAAATTTTGTCCCTCATAGCCTATTCAGTGAGTCACTTGTGTATTGTACACTTTTGTTTACACTTAGAGTGAGAAGACTATATTTGAAATGGGTTAAGTTAAACTCTTTGACAATATGTTTTACAGTTCTTAATAATCTCCTGTGCTGTTCAAGAAGAATATTATAAAAAACATTGAGGTATATTTGTGTGTGTTTGTAAGGGGGTTGGATGTCACCACTGTAGGATTGATATTTACATATACTCATTATTCATACAAATGTGGTATTTCAGATAACAAATGTGATTTTGTAGTATTTGTACGGCTTGACAGTTTTATCAAATAGATGTTGCTAGGCAAGTACTGATAGAAGTGAGGAGTAAGACAGGTATGGAAGGTTCACTGCCTGTAGTTAGTGTTATTTTAAGTAGAAACAAAACAAGAATGTCAAATGCTCCCCAGAAAGCAAACACTTCAAAGTGGCATAAAAGTACAGTGTGATGTAATAAGTATAGATGTACAGTGCAATTTCATAAACTATTTTTCAACCTTTGACCTCTTACATGGAGACTTTAATATGATATATTATACATCATTTAGTGATGATATGAAAGTGAGTTCCATATGCCCTGTGCCCCATTAAGAGTGCTATGGGTACAGCACCCTGAATATGAAGCCTTTTTCAGTGCATAAGAAGACAGTGATTTTAAATACAGGTTGGACCTTGCTAATCCGGAAAGCTTGGGACCAGACCGGTTCCGGATTAGCGAAAATTCCAAACCATCAAAGCCGAGGTTCAAAAAAGGCCAAATAATGTATAAAATGTACTATTACTGGTACCAATACAACTTACATCAGCATAAATCAATCCCAGGCTTACTGGACCTCTTTATGACAAAGTGTTAGTGCTATGGCATGAGTTAACTGTACACTGGTCCCTCTCTTTATGAGCATTCACTGTGGGAATTCGTATATTATCTTCAGAACTAAACAAGAATTTATTTGGAATACTATACTTTGTAACATTCATTGTCATAATATCCTGACCACTGGGGTTAGATGTACAGACTTTTCCCTGTGAAAAAGCCATAATTGTGAGCAACATATTACTGTACAGTACTCACTTTGTACTCAAATGTACTATGCTAAAGGATTAAAAATTTTATCTTGTGTACAAATTATTCTGCTAAGTCAAATCCTTATTGCCTTCTTGCTGGGGGGAGGTGTGGTGTTGACAGGGGAGATTACCAGGTACCTAGTTATCAGTGGAGGAGGAGGGACTCAGGATTATACAATAGGGGGAGTCTAAGTTTTTTACTTAGAAAGTGTTGCCAACTTGACTTAGCAGAGTATAACTTGTATTGTTGGAATTCTTGCAAGATAGCAATTAATTTCAGTATAAACATCCCATAGTTTACTAGACTTAAATTTTTTTGTAAATAACTTAGTACATTTGAGTACAGATTGTGATAATTGTAATGTTATTTCCACAACTCTTATAGCATTACTGTTAACTTTTAGTAATTGTGGAACATATCCTAATTTTCCCCATAAGATTAAGTATTCACTATATGCATCCTGAACCATCGAAGCTGCTGAACTATTGGTCCTAGATTAGCGGGGTCCAACCTGTACTAATGTATCAATACAAGGGCCCAGATTCACTAACAGGTTATAAACTTTGTAAGCGCTTAAGGAGTTCATATCTCCTGTGGTGGTGATGCACTAAATAGTTAGGAAGTCCTCAAATAGATTTAAAATGGCTGACTTTTCTTGGTAACTTACAGTGGCTCCGGAGGTCTCGTAAGCTTCTGCAAGGCGGAAATAAGATCATGTAACTCCCGTTTTCTACTATACAATTCGTACCAAAACAGACACAGCTGCCAGATGTACTTCAAGCATCACTAGTAAAAATGGAATTAATGATTGGGTAATACAGGAGTTGTTTGATTTCATTCATTTTTTTTCCCCGCAGATCCATAATCTTTTTCTTTTCTATTTTTAATTTCTTTTTACTTTTATTTTTTCACCCCATAGGTCCCGTTGAGGGTCGATGACCTGTGGGCTATTTCCCGCAAAAAAAAAAATAAAAAATAAATAAATAAGTAAATAAGCAGATAAAAAAATAGAATAAAAAGAGAGTACAACTTTTTATTCTAATTATAAGTTGTTGTTTTGGGTATTCTAACTACGATCATAAATCACCTGTAGTGGGCAGGGCATGAAGGATGAGGGAAATTGTAGGGTAAAACACGGTTTAATATGGTGGGTTCGCCTCCCGGCTAGGAAATTAGATAAGGTTAGGTAGGTTTCTTCGGTTGGTTAGGTCAGGTTTTATTCGGTTCTACTAAATGTTGCCTCTTTTAAAATAAATACTATAATGATAGGAACTTCTGTGGAAAAAATATATGAAATTGAACAGTGCCTCTGGTGTTAGCCATCTCCTCCAGGATGACCCATGATTGCTTTAGCTCATGACCGTGCACTCTGTAGGGAAAGGGTATTTAAGAACCCTTTGGACCCTCTACAAATTGATGACCACCTACTGCTACAGTACTACAGATTTCCACGTAGGGATACGTTCTGGCTAGATATTGGTCTAGTGGCAAGGTCGTCTCATGTGGTCCCAAGACTCCCTATGCAGACGTTTGTGTTAATAGCTTCAAGATTTTTCACAAGTGGTAGTTTCCAGAGTGTAATTGTTGAAGCTACTAGCTTAAGGCAATTGACTGTGTCAGAGTGACATTTGCTCCAAAAATAACATTACGTACTGTTCCATGATAATATTATTATTATCGTCATCATTATTACTATTAGTATTGCTTTTATTATTGTTATTATTATCGAAAACTCCATGATCTATTTTCTTCTATAAATGTTGTCAAAAGAGATCACAACACATGCATCCGACGCAGTCTTCTGTTGTTGTGACATGATTGGCTTACATCTCCTACTCAGTTATGTATCAGTCGCAGTGATTGGCCGACAGGAAAATTAAAAACACATCACCACCATCTGTTAGCATTATATGAACTACTGTAATGCCCGAGTTCATACGAGGACCATAGCTAAGTTATGAACCGTTTGTGAATCGTTCTTTCGGTAATTCGCATGGGCTTCCCGGCAGTTATGAACTTTGTATCTCAGCGTGTTATAGTGAATCTGGGCCCTGGATAGTGTTTTGACTATGAATTTGGCAAGAGACATTAATCTTTGACATTGTCTTCTGAATTTGGTGTTCATCACAATGCTCATGTAAAGTTCCATCAAAATATGTGTACAGTACAGTATCAATACAATAGTCTGACCTTTGACATTTTTGTAATCTAACTGTGTCAGACAGTTCGATTTGGTGTTTGACTCTTTACTTGACGATATGTAAACTTTCATAAAAACAATTGCAACAGTACTAGATATAATCTAGACCATTTAACTTGACTTTTGACATAGTAGACATTTGAATTTGATGTTCTCAACTTTATCTAGCGATAATACTTATTGACTTGAAGTTTCATCAGAATAAAAGAGTCACATTGGACAAGTTTATGATCTATCTGTGATCTTGACCTATGATATACTAGTAAATTCAGTGATCAGCACTTCAATTCAGTGATAATATACAGCAGTGTGAAATTTGGTTATACAGGTAATTTCTACATCAGAACAAGAGTTATACTCTAGACAGTTGTGACCTTTACTTTCCACAGATATTTGAATTTGGTGCTCAGCACTTTGCTAAGTGATAATACAGTACACATTCTTGCTTTGTTGTGTCAAAATATTTTAATCCAAACAGGAGTTACACTGGACAAGATTTTGACCTCCCTGTGACCTTGATTTTTGGCCCAGATTTTAATTGCGTCTTCTGCACTTTGTCTCCTTAGTATACATCATCTTTTAAAAATTCCATTAAGATCAGTCTGGCTGTTTCAGAGATATGCTGGATGGATAAAGTGGCATCAATTATATTTCTCCTTTTCGGAGCTTGAAAAAAAGGAGAATTGTAATGCCATGAGACATTTTAACATATTTTATGATATTCTGCATGATAAACAATAACATGTACCTTTAGAAAATGTAAACCCTTTGAGAATTAAGTTACATCTCGGAAAGTGTTGTCAAAAGTTTCATTAGATTCCTCAAATGCTTACAAATCAATGTAAACTGAGCTGTAAATTACTGTCTATATAAAAAAAGCATATTATGAGGTTGGAACATGCGAAAGATTAATCTGAGGTATTATTTTAAATGTGTAAGTACTATTTTATTATAAAACTGCTTAGAAATATACATTCAAATGAATTTGTTAATATGTGATACTACTAGACAATAAATTTACATACATAGAGTACTGAAAACAGGGTGAAGACACAATGAACAAAATACAGTATTAACAGGATTTTTTCCTATGTGTAGGGACTTTTTTTATTTACTAATTACTGTATTCTGCGCCTGAACATTTGATCGCTGTTTTTGCTTAGCTATAACAATTTCCAATTTCATATAAAAGAAATTGCATTTTAGCTATTCGGTTTATTTCACTACTCTTCATGACAAGTACAGTACTCCTCAACATACTGTTTATGGAACCAAGATAAAAAAAAATATTTGAGAAAGGGTCTTGAGCATGATCGATTAAAGGTACTGTCAGTAGTTACTGTAAATTTTGGATACTTCAGACGTGTTATTCTGCTATTGGGATCAAGCGTCTGTGCCATAATTTCCAAATTAGAGGAAATAAAAAACTTATCTCAACATTGAATACCTTGGCTTTTTCTCTCTCTCTCAAAGCTTTTATTTTGCATTGCTTAGAATCACTTCTTAAGTACTCCTCAATATTCTAATGAAGTATCCAAGATAAACAAGCTATATAGGCATGAGCTAGTTTCATTCTGCAATGTTTTAGCATGAGGCCTTGTTCACACACGAACAAAGTCTTGCCTTAGAATGTTGCAGAATAAAACTCCAACTGTATTTACCCACCATCACCATAAACTACTCTTTTCTCATTGTAGATAATTCACATAAACAAACTGCATTTGAGTAAGCAGTCTTGTTAATGACAAATGAAGTTTTGTTTATCAATTTCTTTTCTCTAATGTATAAGACTACCCTAACTTTGCTATTAAGGCAATTTTTTACAAGTTTGATTTCATTCAAGATCACCCGATATTATTCAAGACGATTTATTAAGCAACAAGGGTCAGAAATTGTAATTTGGGTACCATTTTATTGAATTTCCCAATAGAATGAAACTACTAAACTGTGACATAATGTTTTCATTTTATTCAAAATTACAGTCGTGTTACATTTTAAAATACAGGTGTATTGATTAATGAGATGGGGTTAAAATTTTTACTCTAGGTAATTAGTCTTGCTGATGATTAAGTAACTTGACTCGTTTTTATTTGCTCATTACTAGTAGTGTCTTGTTTGTTTTTGGACTGCCATTAAAACCAAGCTACCCATTGCCAAGAAAGTTTTGGTCCTTAATTCTTAATTGATAATAAAAGAATAACAATGTTGAAATAATGAAAAATCAGATCTCCCTCAGGATTAATGTACAGGTAGTATAACTGATGATTCGTTAGTGATGGCACAGCCACCACCAGGCACCAGTACAATGTTTCTTGACCAAGACTAGCAGACACCATAATGAACTCACAACATACTCATTTCTATCAATTCTGCAAGTGGAATAAATGTTACTGTCCCCCTTTAACACACACAACCACAATATGAAGTGTGCTCTCATTTGTGAAGATACCAAATTTTGAGTATACAGGTACTTTTTCTTATTCTTTCAGGCCTTTACCCACTATATAAAGCGATGCTAAAAATGAACACACACACACACACACACACACACACACCTACCTCTCCCCCATATACAGTACATAGTCATTCATTCATTCATGCATGGTACTCCCCTTTGACAACAAGGCTCTAAACTTGATTTTCCTGTCACTGCAGCAAGCCAGCATCATCCATCATCTGCATGTCTTTCCCCAAATATCAATCAATGCTGTACTGTACTCTGCTCATTCACTCACACTTGCTTTCTTAATGGTAATCCTCCTTATTTCAATTGCATCCTTTTCTCCATCTTTCCATTATTTTTTTTAGTCTTTCTCTCATCCTCCTGCCATTCATCTCTGACTTGTAAACTCTTTTGTACTAAACTTTCACTTTCCTTTCTATTTCTTTTTCACTGCATCCTGTTTACATCATACATTGCTCAGTGACATTCTTTTTGTCGCTTTCAATTTGCTCCCTGCCCTTGCGTCCGGAGTCTATGCTTCTTTCCTACATAATAATGCAAGCACAGCAATTTATGTGTACACCTATTAACTTTCTACTGCTCTGTGGTTCAGTACATCATATATTTGCTGACACATTATTTCCCACTTCTCTTCCATTTAATTTCAGACTAGCATTTATTGTTCTCTTCTCATCTTACTTTAATCTCTAGTTCTCTTTCACTATCAACTTTTCCATAAGACCCAATCACTAACTTGTCGTGACTTTCTTTTGAATTCCCCACTCAATTGCAGCATCGACTGTAAGCAGCAACTGACTAACCTCCGAAAACCATTGATTCACCAAACTTGCACCTATCACTCTTCTTTTCTTGGTACCCCTTCCATAAATATATCAAACTGCAGTATAATGACATAACACATTCTTGATGTAATCCTGCTTTATCTGGAAATTGGTTTCCTTCTTCCCAACAAACTAACATGCTAATTTTCCATATGAACACTGGATAGTATTTTACAATTTCCTATTTATTCCAGACATTTTTAATATTAATCTTTTCACTTCTGTTTTTTGTATGCATTTTCTACACCCGTAAATGCCACAGACAAACTCCTGGCCTAAATTTTCTTATAAGATATTGTTTTGCAAATTTTGTCTTTGAAGAAGATTAATTAATTTAGATCTTACAATTTGCTAAATGTATTTAGGGACAAATTGTTAAGGTTTCTGTAAATGAGTGAATGTACTCAGTACCCATGATGTCATTTTATGTATGTGTGGATCTCTCTCAAATACAAATGTAAAAGATAGGGGAGTCACTTTTCCAGCCACTGTAAGTCAAATTTATGTAAATGACAAATGAAGTCTTTTGTACATAGGTTTAATGATGTAAACCAAAGTGTTTAGCATATGTCCAACAAGGCTGACTTATATATATATATATATATATATATATATATATATATATATATATATATATATATATATATATATATATATATATATATATATATATATATATATATATATATATATATATATATATATATATATATATATATATATATATATATATATATATATATATATATATATATATATATACAGTAGTGAAAATTTTAATTTTATGTATGTAGAATTGTCAAAATTGCACATAATATCAACTGTATGAATGAAGGCTCTGTGTTTAAGTTATGTTGTAACAAGGAAGCATAATGGTTTATATTATTCAAATCCGTGAAAATACTAAAGATGTGTTACAGTAATACAGAGTATTCTTTATATTCAAAAGAATGTATAAAACTTACGTTTTGCCTTTAAAATCTTTCTATGAAGAAAAAAGTATGAATCAGTGTTCAGTATATTAGACATTTAAATATCCTGAAGAATTGGAGTTCAGGCTCCAACTTACAGTACATACATTTACTGTAAACATTAATTCAAAATTCCTTTACACCAACATTCCTCCTTAAATGAGTACACCATGTATGTGCTCTCTTGCTTGAATCCATCCAAATCAATAATAGGTTTAACAGGAGGTTGAGAGCAATCACTTTTAATAAGTAATGGTGAGCTTGCTACCTTGGGTTTTTTGTGTAGTCTCAGATGAATACATTGAGCTCTTAGAGTACTTGGGAGAACTTTCTCATGTAACAGTAACCTAGTCCTTTTCATACATCCCCAAAAGGTTGTAACTCCATGTACTCTACACAGTTGTAACTTATTTACTGGGTCATAGTTTATGGGGGTGTGTAAACTCCCAGTAGTACCTGGATTTTGCTTGCTCTTACACTCCTGTCATGACTCGTGGACTAGGGCTCATATTCATGAGATACGAGAAAACGTTACTTGTGATAAAATACTATTGTTCAGTGCATTTCACATATTTATGTATTTATTAGACTTATTTCATACTGGCTGATATCATGAATGTAGTTTTTGCATGTGTTCAGTTGGGATTAATAAGCTAAAAAATACCAATTTGACTGCTCTGAGTTAAGTGTATAATTGTGTGCAAGTATTGGCTTTAGTTTCTCTCCTGAATATAACTCATTACTCTTAAAACCTTGCTCATGTGCCCTCTTATGTATCATTTTAATTTAGCCTTCAGCTTTCTGTAAGAAATGAGAAATAGTCTTATGTAAAAATTTTAAACTACAATATTTGTTAAAGCTGTACACGTATGAAAAGAAGGATTGTAATTTTTATATTGTTCCTCAGCCCTCCTGTATTTCAAAGCAGTACTACTTTGCACAGTATAAAGTCTTTTCAGAGATTGATTAAATGTACAGTTCCAATAGCATTGGTCACAAATGTCCAAAACTTATTTTATGTCCTTTGCATAAGACATTATTTTATGTATTTTCCTATATATTTGTGTATAATAATGAATAAATGTAAGTGTACCACAGTGCAAACTTTCTTCCTCCGGTTTCCTGTTAGTAGCATTCAAGCATCACTATTTAGTGATGTCATTCCCATTCAAGTCGAAAGCATTATTGTAAGTTTGCCTTATATTCATCGCATTTTTAAAAACATGTCTGTAAGATAGTCTTATTGAAAACAAATCTTTACAGTTTGGAAAATGTTAACACTTTAGTCACAAAACGGATATCGTATTATGAAGTTTGAATCACAAACACAAAGTGTACTAAAATCTGAAGAATAGTTATGTACTCCATGTAGGTTTTCTTGAAAAAATATTTTGGAACTTATTCCTATTATATTTGAATACTGTAATTAAATTTCATGATACATATGAAGTTACAATAACAAATGGTTACTCTTGTATGTTCAAACTGCTAGTCTTGTATAATGCTCAATTCTCACTGTAATAGTGGGTTGGTAAAAGAAATGCCTTCCACCTACTGCAATTTGATACTGCATTGCTTGTCCAGGGAGTACTAGTTATACATTTTATAAGCTGACACTTCCACTTTATATTACAGGAACCCAGGACTATTACCACGAGATGTTGTTCCATCAAGAGCATAATACCTCAGTTATTTTTGGTATCATATTTTGCATGCAAGAGCCTCTATAGCTGGTTGTGGTGGGCCTCTCTTGAAACTACTGGACTGTGGTACATCAGTTTTGCTTGTGTACTTCGATTAAAAATTGCAGTGGTGAGCAGCACAATATCTTTCTCGAGCACAAGATAATAAATGAACATGTTACACACAAGCCACCGTAACACAATGTACAGTCCCCTTCATTAGTGTGTTTACAGGGGCTCGCCAGGTTTTTTGCAGTATGGAATCAAAGTACCTGTAAAACAACATTAAAACAAATATCTCAATGTAATAATTTGTGGAATGTTTATATGACAAGCACTCGTGAAGAGGACTGTACCTACTGAAGGAAAATTGGAGCATCCTAACCTATAGTCTTCACTCTAACCTTGCAACTGAGAGCCGAATGCAAGAACTGCCATCGTGTACATGATGCTGTGGTATCCCGATGGGCACTTGGCAAGAAGCACTCTGCTTAAAAAACAAAACAAAAAGTGTGATTCATTATTGAACGTCGGCGATTTCCATGGTGCTCTCACCCCCCGCCCGATGCATACTACCATGGAACTATATTTTGAAACCAAAAGAAAAGAAATAGAATTGGATTTACATAAATTGTAGAAATCTGCAAAGGAATAATATTTTTTTATAAGATATTCTCCATATGGAACAGCATATGAAGAATTTTATTGTACTCTTTAAAAGAATTCCAGGTTTGTGTGGGAACATCCACCAGCCTCTACTTGCCTCATCGCTGCTTATATCCTCCAAATTCTCCTAACCATCATTAAAGGTAAGCCTTTAAGATAGCTAATCCAAATAATTTATGTGTAGGAATGTATGCAAATCAAATTAAGCTAAAAAAAAACCTCATTAGTGGTCTAAGTAGAGTGGTGAGAGCTGCTCCATCTGGGATGGTGAATGACCTCCCTTATCCGGAATAATATCGACCCAATTTTCGTAATGAGTGCACTAATTAATCAGCCAACACTACCAAAATAGATACTGTATTGTATTAGTATGAATATTTAGTAGCCTAAATTTCATATACTAGGTAACCAGTGCCAGGTAGTTCCCAGACACCTAATACATCAACTTTGTTTCATTTGTGTATCAGTTTAACCACAACTTCAATGTCAAATGCATGTACTTTTTTTAATTCCCTTAGTGACACAATGTACATTATTGCAATAAAGAACTATCTTCCCACTTTTTGTCCAATATTTGGTGTGGTGGTAATAATTCACTCTACCGTTGATTTTCAGGTTTTTGTTTTCAGTATAGACGGCACATATCAAGGGTTTCCATATGTTTGAAGCGTGGTGTTCATGTTTGTAAATAACCCATGATGATATCGTTCCTTGAAAGGAAAATTTTTCACTACAACATAGGTGAAGAGAGATACTTAGCACGTGGGGTGGAGCGAGTGTATCAATATTACTTTACACCATTCTTCACAACTCGCGTGACAAATCATGTTTGAACCTACAGTTCGACAAACAGATATGTAAAGAGAGCGAGAGAAGGTGAGAGTTATACATACAATATATACTAAAGCCGCTCACGGCCAGACTGGGATGAGAGTGGGGGGTAATGAGATCCGTCCAGTAGTACACGACAATGTTTATTCGTTCATATCTGGAAATACATGTCACACTATCAGTTGCAAGCACCAAACACAAACAGTATCCATTATATTTAACTCACATCCAGCAACAATAACAATCAAGTGATTAATTTCCCAAGTTGGCTTAATTCTGAATACAATAATACAATTGTTCAACACTCACTTGTGTCGGGTCTGTTGGTATAACATGCATGAGTACAATGGCAGGCGATTAGGGGCGAGTTATCATCGTACACTGAACTCTGTGGTTTCCACTATCACCGACTGTTTGAGTTAGGTCACTGATGCACGGTTACTTGATAATGGCTAGAAGTCATCTCTGGGCAGAGTAATAGGCAACCTAGTCTGCACACTGTACCACACACACACTAACCCTCATATGTTCAATACACATCTGGCCACCAGACCCTTATCGGAGCGCTAATGGACACGGTGCTGATGAAGTCACTCACTTCAAGCAACACTCCTCTCTCTCTTTTTCTCTCTTCATCACTACCACATCGCATGTCCCATGAGAAAGAACCAAAGGGGCAGTGCGATATCTATAAAAGAAGAGAGACTTGAGAAACTTCATTGTTTCTGCCACACACCAGCTTACTAGACGTTAAGGCGATTGGTCTGTTCTTTTTTATGAGCTTTATTGTATAGACAGTGTTAGTACAGGAAAAAACCGGAGTACCCAGAGAAAACCTGTGATGCTTGGATAAAACACCCTCTCACATTTTCAAAGGAAAAGGACTCGAACCCAGGACACATGGTGAGATATGCCTGTTACTTTGGAAATGGCTAACTGAAGTACGGAGACAGAATAGGGTTGCTAGATGTGTGGAAGCAAGTGGAATTGTGCATGAAGGATGTGAAGAGAAAACTGGGAGAATGGGTACAGAGGTAATACGCCTGGGCTATCACTCGCCACAATGTATATAACAAAAAATAACATTAGAGATAGGAAGAGTGGTTGAGAAAAATATCTTTAGAACAATGAAAGCAAGAATTAATGGATAATGACAAATAGATAAGCAAATATGAAAAATAAATTGAAGATATGAAGGTAGAAACGAAATATACCAGAACAAAAAACAAATATTAATGACAGGGTGGAGAAAAGATACAGGGCAATAAAACTTAAGTGAGCAAGGAAGCAACAATAATATAGATGAAAAGCCTGCACCGGCACTGTGTGGGGTACGTGATGTTTGGTTCACACTCAGGATGGGATGGAGAAAGGAAACTCACAATGTGCTCTCTGTATACATGTTGTATTGGATGTACAATGCAGCTTGGTGCTGGGAAGTGGCAGCGTGGTTACAAGCGTGATGTAGAGAGAGCTGGTTGGTGAGGATGCTCAGAGGAGGACCAGCTTGTGGGTCGCCATGCTCGCCGGCGGGAGCGAGGGCCGCCAGGCAGGAGGAGGAGGAGGTGTTGCTTGCTGGTTGGTGTAGGTAGAAAGAGAGAGTGGTCACACGAGGTCAGGTCTTATATTGCGGAGGTAGGCGTGGCTTAATAGTTGACCTCCGTCATGTAAGGCGGCGCTGGTTGACCTAGACCACCAGGCATACACTGGGGAATTCGCGGGGTCGGCTACTCAGCGACAAACAGCGTTTGTAGGGGAGGGATCCACTACAACTGCACCTCAACAACTAAGGTTAAACATTTCAGTTGTTGAAGCGCAAAGTTACCTAGGTTAGTGATAAGTTACTAACATCAAAGTTGCTACTGCTGTTCAATATATATACTGTATGTAAATGTGTATCAAAATTAGTTGTTACAGTACTTTATTTCATCATCATTGTCATTGGAATCATGAGTTAAGAGGTGAAAGAAGATTATTAGGGATTGAAGAAGCGTGGTGAAACTGAAATACAGTAGGAGTAAAACGATTCTGGGCTCAACCAGATCGCTTCATCTTATCTATAATATTTTTATCTTTGTTTTACTCTCTCGGGTTGTCAGACCTTTTATTTTAGTTTAACAAATTTATTGACAAAGCTTGGAGTACACTTTGCAAGCTTCTAACCGCTGTACACATATCCGCCATTTTAATCATTACCCATTTTACAAAATATAATGGAGTACAGGGTATACTTTTTAAGAGGGTATTTAGAATACATAATTACCAAAGAAGATATTTGCAGTATGAAAGAGGGCCCAAATTTTAGGAATTTATTATAATAGTTTACCATAAAATAATTGTTTTCTTTGATAGGAAGTTAATATATTTTTAAATTGGTTGTTTTTAGCAATATTTGTAAGAAATATTTAATTGTTTTATAAGAAGAAATTTAAAAAATAATTTAATAATTTATGTTATAAAACAAGTATTTTTTACACATCGACTTTAGATTGTTTATACTATCAAATATAACTAGGAAATATATATTTAAAAAAAATTTACTAGCAATTGAAAACTTGTATTTGAAATCTTCTTCTTCAAGAATTGAATATTACTTCTTCTTCTTCTTATTTTTAAATGAGGAGTCTCCCATTTTGTGGTTGATCCTCTTGTAATATTAATTATATTTAAAACCGTCGATGACGTGTTAATTGCAAGAGCTTGAAATTCACATTTGCCCCCAGACAAGCAGTACGGCACATGAGCCTCTTATAAGTTTAACAGAGTAATGGCATAGTATTCATGGGAAGAGTAAGTACATCATTAATTGATCTAATGAACAGTGCGTAACAGAGACGTAACCGATTGCCCAAGCCGCTAACGAGTCGATCAGTGGTGAAGAGGATAAAGGTAAAAAGTAAAAGTTAACATTATTAGGAACCTGCCACGCTTTGCCATAAAGTTTATGGCATAAACAAATGAATTGTACCAGAACCCCACCCCACCACCACCACCACACACCCATCATCCTGTAACTTACTGACAAAACCCATGGCCCTTCAAGCACTTGCGTCCTTAATGCAGGAGTCACCAAGGCAAGCATGAACTCCGCATGCTTCCCTGTAGGGCGCTGTAAACGCTTTTGCGCTTCACCTTGCAGCACACGATGCAAGGGGTGCCCAATAAACTAGCCCCCTCGCTGGGCAAACCTGAATCTGTGTCATTACCATACATCGCAGGTTTTCTCTGGGTACTCATATTTCCTCTTGAACTTAACCTGGGCAATGAAGGTAATAACAATGAATAGACTAACCGCCCGAACAGCTAGTAAGCCTATAATAGGTGTTTAATATTATTTAAAGTCCCCAAGAGGGTAACTGTAACTGTATAAAGGCGGACCTTTTTTGTGCAACAACACAACCGGTGTGGAGGTGGGGTGGGAAGGAGCAGTTAAGGTTTAACTGCTCTTTTCCACCCTTCCTTCACTTGCATTTCGCGGCAGTTTACACCTTAAATAAATTCACGCCTAGGTGGTCCTTCAGCAGGGCTATCCTCGAACACGAGGGTAAGTCATTATTATTATGCAAGAGATATATATATATATATATATATATATATATATATATATATATATATATATATATATATTATTTTTTCTATTTGGGGGTGGGGGGGGTAGTGAAGTAAAAGTATATCTCCTTAATAACAAGTGGCTGGTGCAGCAGACGTCGGCGGACATTTAAATTTTCCACCAATCTCCGAATAGCTCTCATAAATTTAAAGTCTAGTCCACCATATGTCTATTTTTATTACAATTATTACATCGTAAAATAAAATAAATAATATTTTTATAGCAATTTGGACTTAAATATTAATTATAATCATAGTGTGATCATATGTAAATAAATTTATTTTAGAGAAAATAAATGGGCTAAATGGGACCTGTATTTGAATGGACCAATGAGCAGTCAGTTCTGTGTTGAAGCTCTGTCCCAGGCAGGAGCGCTGGCCACCAGACAAAGGCAGTCACGGGAACCGAGGAGTTGGTCCAGGTAAGCGCGCTTTAATATCGCATTAAATTGGTATTTTATCAATAAAATCATATTATCACCCTTTGAAGAATTGCAATAGTGTTCACAGGTGAATGTGAGTTGAATATTTATTGAGATATTGACTGTTCACACCACGCGACGACCATGTGGTTCAGAGGCGAATGGCGACCGGTACAAGATAAAGTCAACCAACTTGTTTCTTTAAATTTCACTGCAGTCAGGGTATAGAAGGCGCTCATACCTGATAATTTTTAATTTGTGCCAATATATATTGTTAAGGTTTTTATTTCACCGTTTTTGTGTAAAGACAACGTATTGTGGCATAACGCTAAACAGGATACGGTAAGAGATGTTTCCGTGAGTGGCCTTCATGACCTCCAGTGTTGGGAAATTCATCTCGTGCTTCGCGGAAACCACTGGTACATCCTCTTTAGGTTTTCAGATTTCATTTAACTTCGTATAAAAGTTATCATGTATGTAATGGTAGTGCATTGGTTTTATTGGAAAGTCATACTCGCAGACGATCTGATACAGCATTACCGAAAGCCTGTCGCAAGTACTTAATGTGCGTTTGTGTGGTCATGGCGATGCTCCTGTCTCCGCATTTTGTATGGAATACTGACTAATATGTAGAAAACACCGGCGCTTCTACCCAACAAGACAATTTATATTTATTTCATTGTGAAATGCCATGTGTGGAGTTACGGTCCGACTAATTACCCAAATGTAGCAAAATGTAGCCGCAATGAAGTCAAATAGTGGTCCTACATGAATAAATCGGACTGCAAATCACTTCTCGACTGGTATTTGGTGTCACGAAGTCACAAAAAATTGGTAAACTTAATTTAAGCTGAGTTAATAGATCCGAGTGCATGTACCTAACTTAACCTAACCTCGACTAGTATTTGGTGTCATAAAGTCACAAAAAATTGGTAAACTTAATTTAATCTGAGTTGTGTTAGGTTAGGTACATGCACTCGATCTATTAACTCAAATTAAATTAAGTTTACCAATTTTTTGTGACTTCGTGACACCAAATACCAGTCGAGAAGTGATTTGCAGTCCGATTTATTCATGTAGGACCACTATTTGACTTCATTGCGGCTACATTTGGGTAATTAGTCGGACCCTGGAGTTAGGGCCCCGTTCACGTATATATAAATCATAGTGTACTATCCACAGAACTTTATATGGAGATAGAGCAAAAAAAAAAAACTACCCGGTAGTGTTTGTTGGGAATTTAAATATATTTTATTTTGAATTCAGATGTGATTTCTTAAGGTTTTTTTTTCTTTTAGTATTTAGGTTTAGGGTATTACAGTACTATTGTTTCAGTCATCCAGCAAAGTTAGGTTTATCCCATGTTTTTTGTTGGGTTTTGAACGATTCTTATAATTTCAAATAGGTGGTTGACCGAAACGTTAATTTTTTCTAGGTTAGATTTACAAACCAAGGTCTTATTGCAACTATATCTTGCGTTAGTCAGGCCACACCTCGATTATGCAGTTCAGTTCTGGTGCCCTTATTAAAGAATGAATATCAATTCACTGGAGTCGGTGCAGCGAAGAATGACGAAAATGGTTCCGGGACTTCGAAACCTTCCTTTTCAGGATAGGTTAACGAATTTAAACATGCATTCCCTAGAAAGACGAAGAGTGCGGGGAGATGTGATAGAAGTATTTAAGTGGGTGAACGGAATCAATAAAGGGGATATAGATAAAGTTCTTATAATATCCGAGCAGGATAGGACTCGTAGCAACGGATATAAGTTGGATAAGTTTAGGAGGGAGATAGGAAGGAATTGGTTCACAAATAGGGTGGAGGACGAGTGGAACAAGCTTAGCAACTCTGTAGTAAGTGCTGGATCGCTTGAAAGTTTTTAAAGGAGGTCTAGGTATTCATGGATGATAGTGGTTGTAACTCGACAGGAGCCGCCATGCACAGGCCAACCGGCCTATTGCAGACTCCTTATTTTCTAATGTTCTTCGGAATTTAGCTATTGAAATTGTTTTAGACAATTCTAAAATACTTCTAGGCGGTATTCCTAGCATAGACTAACATAAATGTTTCAGTAGTTAAAAACTGGGGCGCTCCATGTCCGAAAGTACAATACCTTAGAAGTGGAAGGACCAGGGATATGTAAGAATGTGATAGAATGATCATCTTTCGTGTAAAACTCGACAATAAAATTAAAATAATCGGAGGAGCACAAATGACAACCAACCTTCACCACGGCCATTTTGAGACTGGTCAGTGAAATTACCCAGGCTGCTTCCTTTGAAAAAATCAAATGTAATTGGTAAAAAAAAAATTGCGTGAAGATATTGATACCTCATTGGTCACGGCTGGATGACGTCAGTCAATATTGCGCATGCGTGATGCGCCAATATCTCATGGATGTAGACTGAAAACTACTTGCATCAATTAAATTCAATTGTCGCTATTATCCATTTCCTCCAGGCGTATGTGGTTCAAATTGCTCAGAATAGGGAGACCTAAATGTTTCGGTATTTTACAACATTCGGGGGCTCTGTCCAAAAGTGAAAATAACATTTTCTATCCCAAGCAACAGTTATTTGTGCAAATTTAGTGAAATTTATGTTCATGTTGGGCTCAGAAACCGAAAAGCAACCACAACGCATTGTGGATGCTTGTAAACTAACCAGAAGCGAGATTTTGCTGTAGGTGAGTTTGGATTGGGTTAGTTTAGGGTAAAATGGAAACGTAAAATTTTGCTTGCTGGTTGTTTTGAAAACAACCACCCAACGCGTTGTGGTCACATTTTGGTTTGAGCCCAACATACTGTATATACGAGATGGGTAAAAGTGGTGCTGATGAAACGGGTATAGAATGTGGTGGCAAAATGGGCACATCCAGGCTGATATTGTAGTTAGTTGGTTTTGTCGGTTTGTGTTTTTACTCCCACAATAGCCATTTACTTCAAAGTCCTGTCTACTTTGTGTTCAAAATTGCATTTATTTTTTTTAGAATTTATTTATTTATATATTTATTTTTTTCCCTAATGAAGTGGCCCTATGGCCATAATAAGAACATGAGAATAGAGGAAACTGTTGCGGGCCTATTGGCCCATACTAGGCAGCCCCGTTTATACTCGACCCATATCGTTCATGTCAGTACAACTTATATTGCAAGCGTCCCAGTGTGCATAAGTTAATGATGTTCAGTAACGTGTTCCACTCGTCCACTTCTATTACTTTCAAACCAGTGTTTACCTATCCCATGCCTATATCTAAATTTGTCTAATTTAAACCTATTGAAGAGTTCATTCATGGTTAGTTTTTGTTTTACCCAGATTTCCATTTATACACCTTGATCATATCGCCCCTTACTCTCCGTCTCTTGAGGTAGTGCAAATGCTTGGGATTAGCCTCGTCATTCTCCTCTGAATCGGGGTTACCGTTAATCCGTACCTTGCTTTTCCGTATGTGCCGATTGGTTACCTTCCCGCTTTGTGTTTGGTTAGCGTTTGGCGTCAAAACCATTTTCTTGTTGACAATATATATATATATGTTTAATGGAAGTATGAATGAGAAGTAGGTTTTGAGTTGGACAACTTTTCAGGGATGTAACCTTTCAGTAACTCCATGGGATGCTTGAAAAGTAATGGGCTGTTCCTAGCACACACGGAGGAAATTTTGTTGGGAATTTGATTACACCACCATATGAAGCATGGCTCAAGAATATACAGTAGTTGCTAGTAAGTGAGCCATGCTTCATATGGCTCAAGAATATAGTTGAAGTAGGAAAACCTAAGTATAGTATAAGTATAGTAAATTTTAAAACTGTTTGCATTTTTTACGTAAATTGAGCATTTTCTTCTATTAATGTTTTTTTCCCCACACAGGTACTTGAAGAAATAGCAGAACGCAGTCACACCTCCCTTTATTGGAATTGTGTGCTGGGAGGCATACATTTTGTGCCACGCTATTATTTATAAATCGCTAGCCTGGAGCCCTCCGGCAAAATGCCAGCACCGGCTGTTGCCCGTGATAGCAGCCCTGGCCCCAGTCGCATGAAGAGCTTCAAAAATGCAGGCAAAGATATGGATGTAAGATTGTGAATTTATAATCTGTAGCTAGTGTGGCTAAAATGGGAGATTTGTTGTACATTCAAATTTCATTACCTTGCAAGTGATATGTTAGTAAGTAATTTATATTTTTTAATTTTAAGATTGGTTTAATTGCATTTTTGTCACAGGAGATGCGCAGACGGCGACAAGAAACTAGTATAGAATTGCGAAAAGCTAAAAAAGATGACCAGCTTTTGAAAAGAAGAAATGTCTCTTTGGATGATCCAACATCACCTCTTCAGGAGAACTCTTCGGTATGCTTTTTCTGTTTTGTATATATATATATATATATATATATATATATATATATATATATATATATATATATATATATATATATATATATATATATATATATATATATATATATATATATATATATATATATATAAATCAGTTGGTGGGTATCATGCGACATGATGGATAACCTTGCACATGCGCGTCATATGATTGTGAGCAAGTGCCTTGGCTTGCCATCACCTTGCACGTTCTGTGTTAGGCGTTGGAGGACAATGGTAACTGTCACTTACTGATAATAATGTGCATCTGAATCCATGATTCATCCACTTTAGAGGAGGCTAGAGTAGAAATTACAGACTTGATAATAAGAATAGTTCACTAAATTATTTTAGGTTTTGTACAAAAGCTTTGGATATGGCCTATTAGTAAATTTCAAGATTTTTATGGTGTTTCTTATTTGAAGTGAAGGTTTGTTAAAATATATTGTATAAAAAGTGGTGATGGTCATGTTGCCAATTGGAGTTTTTTTTTTCCCCCCGTTTTCTAGGGTCCCACGATGAGCCTCGAAGAAATCATCAATGGTATTATTAGTACAGATAGCAGTAGGCAAGTAGTTGCTACACAAGCAGCAAGGAAGATGTTGTCTCGGGAGCGTAATCCTCCTATTGATGCTATTATAGAGGCTGGTATGGTAAATCCTCTCATACAATTCTTGGAGAGAGCAGACAAGTGAGTAACCCTAATTACAATTAGAGGAAGACTTGGTGAATATCTTTAATACATGATTAACTTTGCACATGCGCGTCATCTGAGAGTGTAAAGGTGCTTTGTTTCACCCTCGTCTCGCACGTTCTGTGTTGGATGTAGTGGTAAGCAGTAGTGCTGGTCACTATAATTGATGATAATGTGCTAATGATTCTATGATAAGTTTCGGGAGTTACTTATTTTTATTAAATTTAGTAATGAAGCTGTGTTTTGCAGCCCAGCTTTGCAGTTTGAAGCAGCCTGGGCACTGACCAACATTGCATCTGGCACCGCACAACAAACTCAGGCTGTTGCAGGTAATTTTATTTGTATATACGTAAATATTGTCATTTTACGGCCATTTTTCACACTGGATTAGTCAAGAAGTGATTGTAAATTTAATCTACATCAGCAAACCCGATAATGTTGGGCAATTGTTCCTGGCATCCTGCATCAGGAGTTGCATCAAATAAAAATCCATAGGACAGTACAGTGATGTTTCCGTTAGCCAGAACAATTGGTGCAGAGCTCTTCCGAGAATGAGAGATGACTCAAAGCCGGAAAAAATTCCTCCTCCCTGGGATTTTCCGGGTAATGGAAAATGTTCTTGGGACTTCCAGAAATTGCCCATTACATCATCTCTCAAGCCCAGAAAAAATATCCTTCGCCCAGAGAATTTTCAGAATAACGGAAAATTTTTCTCAATTTCCAGAAAGTCGCCTGATTTTCATATCTCAAACTTGGAAGAAGAAAAAAGACCCCCCTTTCCCATCCCCAGAATTTTCCTGGGACCGGGAAAATTCCGGCTTTGAGAACGATTTCAGAAAATTTCAATTCTGACTGAGTTCCGGGTTTAAGGGATTCCGGCTGAAGGAGATATTACTGTACTTATTCATTTTGATGGCATTTAGAAGTTCATACAATACTTATCATTCCATAGGCAGTATATTATATGTTGATAGGAATTCATACGATATTCTGAGTTGCAACAAGATCAGCAGTTTAGAAAAGTGGTAATGCTTGCTGGATGACAAATATAACACCAGTTACCTTCTGTGAACAAGCTAGGCCTTGCCAGAGAGTACAGATCGGTTAGAAATTTACTTAGTATATAAAGATGCCACTCTTCTCTTTTCATAACCGGTATCAAATAGTAGGATTTATAGCGCCTAGTAGTTCTTTACATTTTCCAATGGGAATCCAAGACCATTTTACTTCTTGACTGTTTGGTCTAGAAAGTTGCACAATGTGATGTTCTTTATAGATAAAGCTCATTTTCTTGTGAAGCCTCTGGCTGTACAACCAGTTATGCAACTGTATAAAATGAATGAGCCAAATTTTTAGAATTGCACACAAATTTTACTGGCTTAAGGCTTTTAATTTTAGGCTGTCTCAATATGCAATTAAATGCATTTGGTAGACATTGGCCTGGACCCCTGGGTGACCTACCACTCATCCACGGGTTCAAGTCTGAATATACTGAAATATTTTAATCCATACAGGTTTGGCCCCAAGGGTTTTGGTGAAAGGATACAGTATTTGACATGTATAGTTTTAATATTGTGTAACATGTTTACCTCTATTAACCATACTTTGTTCAGAGTACTAGTTGTTAAATTGTACCTAACCTTACAAGAACAACATGGTATATGGATTGGATAATGGCTCCAATTCAAAGATTTTATTTATATACAGTATATTGTATGTATTTATCTTGATAAAATCACACAGGAAAGGGGGAAACAATGGAGCCCCTTATCTTATCCACATTTCCATTGTGGATCTACATGATATATATATATATAATATTAAACACCTTAAAGAATAGTACGTATCACCATTTCATATTTTAAAGAGTAACCAGTAGCTTGAGTGTCATGTAAATTTTTTTATCTAATATCTTGGCGGATTTGACATGTTGAATTTGTTTCTGGGCAAGGTTCATAAAATACAGGTGAATTTAATCTCTACATTCTATTTTTACTTACAGCTTCTGGAGCAGTAACATCTTTTGTGAAACTCCTACGATCACCACATGCCAATGTTGCTGAGCAAGCTGTATGGGCATTGGGTAATATTGCTGGAGATGGGCCTGAGCTTAGAGATTTTGTTGTCAAGGCTGGCATTGTTAAGCCTCTCCTTGAACTCATTAAACCAGAAACCGAGGTAACTATTTTAGATATTGTACTGTATGGTATGTGTATTGGGTAGTAAAAGGCAACTGTTCTTTAATTGGATAGGTGAGAAACTAATATACAAATACTTTTAATTGTAAATATATTAAAATTTAATACAGCTCCTCCCCAACTTAGGACCTGCCTCAATCGTACCAAAATTTGGTCAAATTACGTATTTTCGAGTCCCAGAGTCGGTACAGACAAATTTTTGCTTGTAATTCACTTTAAAATGGCTGGCAAGCTTAAAAGTGCGTGTTTTGTGGTGCTGAGAAGAAAAAGAGACGCCCATTTTAGATTTGCTATGTATTATTAAGCATTTCCGACTTACGACCTGGATGTCGGTTCCTAACCCCGCCCTAAGTAGGGAGGGAGCTGTACTATTATCAAGGAGCTACCAATTTTCAGCATGCATGTCTCAGTAGCTCATTGGTAGTGTTTGCTTTATAAGTTGTAGTAGCATCCCTTTCCAAACTGGATTATTGGGTTGGGTTTTATAATTTTACACAAGCCCTTGTGCAGTGCTTAAGTGCACTATTGGTTTGCTTGTTAGTGGAATAACCCTTCTATGGACCAGTTTCCTGTGTATGGGGTGAGAAACCCACTAATAAAATTTTGAGCACAGCACCTGATTGGCTGCCGATACTTGGTATTATGAAGAAAAAAATGGTTCCAGGAATTCAGACGTGATTTTGTCCACAGCACACATTTCTGCGTAATGTAACCTGGACGCTAAGTAATCTGTGCAGAAACAAGAACCCATCACCACCTTTTGAAGTAGTCAAGCAATGTTTACCAGCCTTGAGTCATCTGATCTGCCACCCAGACAAAGAAGTCCAGGGTAAGTCTGTCCTCTACACTGTTGAGTAAGAATTTGGTGAATTCGGAAAGTTGCCATTATTGCTATTAGATACAGTCTACCCAAAAGTTTCTCTCTCTCAGCCAGCTACTGCTGCGCATTGCTTGCTTCAGTTATATGAACTTAGTGTGTTACTTTGAATCATTAAATTCATTCATAACGGTTGTTGTGGTTGGTAAAGACAGTTTCAAACATCTGAAACCGGCAGTGCAGCAATAGCAGGCTGGGTCGAGTTAATGAACTTTTGGGTGAGACTGTACAGTAGGATAACTTCTGATGCGGTACTTGCGAGTGAAAACCTGTTAATGAGAAATTCTTTCAATTTTGAATACGGGTAAGGGTGAGAATTTCATTTTCACAAAAGGCTTTGTGTTGGCATTATTATTCCTTTTTTCTAGCTGATGCGTGTTGGGCATTGTCTTATTTAACGGATGGAACTAACGAGAAAATCCAGGAGGTTGTTGATGCTGGAGTCGTTCCTCGACTTGTGTTGTTACTGAACTGTGATGAGCTTCCCGTTGTAACCCCAGCTTTAAGAGCAATTGGAAATATTGTTACTGGCAATGACATTCAAGTGAGTATGTGCAAAGTAAATCCCTTCTATTGCCTCCACATTCCAGTTATATAAAATTAGGATATTAGAATATTAATAGCTAATTATTTGCTTCCTAGATTTCCATACTGGGAACATATGTTATTTTTATGAACAGAGATTGCATATTTACCATCCTAGATCTACCATACAAATCTTTAATGGAAAAATTAATAAACAATTCTGGTAAAGTTAATACTGTATCAGTAAATAAGTTTCTTAGTTTTATACTACTTTCGGGGTTTCAGACACCATAGGTAGGCTTCACTGAACTTCATTCTTGTAAACAAACTCGAGGGTAGATTACAGGAAGTGATGATAGTAACAGTGGTATTAATGGTAATTTTAAGTTCGGGTGAGGTCGTAATGGTGGTGGGAACTGGTTGGAGGTGATGCAAGAGTGCACAGGGAATTATGATACTAATTACAGGTATTTTTGAGGTGTTACTAAAATTTTTAGCTTGTATTTGACAAAATATGGGTACTTTCTTAAAAACAAACAAATGGAGAATGTGCAAAAGAAAATACTGTAAGGATTAAACAAACCTGTGGATTCGATATTTCCTTCTCAAACCAACACAAAACTCAAGTGTCGCTGTTCAGGAAATGCTGGGCAGTTGAGGCTAATCTTGGTTGTTGCTCGGAGAACAATCACTAGTTCAGATATGCGATTTGAATGTGGACAATATATATCAATGGTTGGGGCCCAGAGTTGGTGCAACAGTCACATTGAGATGTGTGCCAAGAAAATTGCACAGCAAAGTGTGACCAGGAGGTTGGCAGATGGAGACAGTTGTTCATACTGGCAATCGTTGAACCAAGAATGACTGATTGTAACTTGAGGATGAGTTATAAACGAGATTTTGTTACTCGGGTAACCTGTATTTGCCTAATGGGCGATATATCCCCCCTTCTTTTTTTTGTGTGGTGGGTTAACATGATTACAGTATTGATGTTCACATCCTGATGCATATGATGAGTTTTCTAATATGACACTTTTGAAGGGCTACAATTTACAGCTTCCTTGTATTAACCAATATTAATGATTTTTTTTTTTTTCTCCTTCCCCAGACTGATGTTGTCATAAAGGCTGGAACTTTACCAGTATTTCCCAAGTTGTTGAGGCATCACCGCAACAATATTGTAAAAGAAGCTGCGTGGACAATCTCAAATATTACTGCTGGCAATGTGGATCAGATACAGGCGGTTATTGACTGTGGCCTTATTTCCCCTATATGTCAAGTTTTGGAAAAGGTAATATGCCGTAGTTAATAAAATTTTGAAAGATTTTATTGGTGTAAGGTGTAACACTGTAGTGTGGATGGATGAATTGGAAGGTATGGCTGTAAGGATTTTTTGTTTGGGGAAATTAGAACCTTGTTAACCCATAAGTTTGTGTCATTGTCATGTAAGATTTGAAATGGATGAATTAATAGTAAAAAAAATGGTCTTTGGGAGTACAAGTACATATTAATTTAGGTACTTATGAACTTGCATATCCAAAGGTTTGTTTCAATTAAATTGACATAACTTAGAAGTAATGCTTGGAGTAACTGATTATAAAACCTGATGTTCACATACTGAGGATTTTGAAGACATCTTATAATATGAGCGAGTTTTTATGATTAATGATTATCACATGGTAGGGTGGTTTGTTAATACTATTTGGGTATTGCAGGGAGACTTCAAGGCACAGAAAGAAGCTGCTTGGGCTGTAACAAACTTTACATCGGGAGGGTCCCTAGAGCAGATCATAGAACTGGTTAGCCAAGGTGTCCTCACACCATTCTGCAACCTGCTCAATGCCAAAGATGCCAAAACAGTCATGGTAGTTTTGGATGGAATCTGCAACATTCTTCAGGTTGGTGATGTGGTTTACCCAACCTATCGTGTTGAGTATATTTGTTAGTGGATGTGTCATTGAATTGCGTAAGTATTTGAAAGAAAATAACGTGCATTGAGAATGCTTATGAATGTGGAAAGTTGGGTTTAAAATTTTGTATGGGTGTGAATTGAAGTATAAAAGTTGCAAGAGGATGAACAAGATAAACACTAGGTGAATAGGTGCTAAGAAAAATACTGGTGGTAAGGAGTTGTAGAAGAAAAGTTTGTTAATCCCTACGCCCCGGGCACGCTGGCCGTATCCCCCACACTGGGTAAATCGAGAAAAATTAACTTCAACAAAAATTATTTTTAACCTTTTTAAATGATAAAACCATCAAAAAGTAAGCAACTATATATTGACCCTCTAGAAACTTCCTTGTGGCAGCAGTGGCAAGGGAGATTGAGGACAGTTGTTTTGGCAGCTAGTGCACATGGACATTACACACTTGGCAGCAATTTTTTTTGCTTGCCTTTGTGTCCAGGATGGCTAGTAATGCTTATATTTACTGATCATAATACTTATTTGTTATAAATATTTAATTTATAATATTTTTACTTGCATTATTTTTCATAAAAAGTGCTCGGCAACACACGCAGTCATCTGCCAGGCTGTCATTGTGTTTGGTAGAGCAAGTAATGCATAAAATAATTATCGGAATAATAATTCCACAAATAAATATTTATAACATAATCATAGCATTATTTTCCAGTAACACTACAGTACAACTACACTATTAACAATATTACTTTGATGCAACATAAATTGGACAGTGAACATGAAACAGATGTAGGTACTTACATTCAGGAAGCTTCCCTGTGGCCGAGCGTGTGGCGTAACACGCAAATATTCGCATTGGAACCTGATAATCCACACCGGGCATTCAAACCATGCTGCAAAAAGTAGCGTGTTCTGGATTGTCAACCGGGACGTAGGGGTTAAAGAACAAACCAGATTTGCAAAGTCAGATTGGACATGGGAGAAGAGGAAATCAGTGTAATTATTTGTAGATAGGAGAGGGTATAAACAAAGGGTGAAAGGATAGTTAGAAATGTTGGATGAGAGGGGAATTAGACCTCCAGAAGCAAGTTAGGTTTGTTCATGAGAAAGTAATGTGTGGAATGGATTTTGTGGAAGTGGCCGTTTTGAAGCAACACGAGTCTTGGAATTGGGGACACCGTGTCAGAACTCTTAGGTAGGACAATTAGAATGCAAACATGATAGATTCTGTAATGGTATTCTCAACCTGTTTTGCAGTGGAAAGAATGAAGAAACATTAAAGAATTGGACAGGTTAGAACTTTTGAAAGGTTTCCACATCCCAAGTATACAAATTCTCAGTTATTACTTTTTCAGACTGCGGAAAAACTAAATGAAGTAGACCGTGTGGGCCAAATGATAGAAGAGTGTGGTGGTCTTGATCATATTGAAGGACTTCAGAACCATGAAAATGAAGCCATATACAAAAAGGCTTTAAGTATCATTGAAACATACTTTGCTGTTGAGGAGACTAATGGTGTCAGCAGCACATCAAATGGACAAGCATATGATTTTACATCAGCTAGTAACATGCCTGATGGTGGATTCACTTTCTAAGTCAGTTTTTCTTTGATTATGTACAAGGTAAATGCATTTATTGCCTTACTATTGACCATCCAAGTTGCAGTTCAAACAGGTCCAAAATGTGATTGTTCTAGTGTACATTGATCAAATCTCATTATTTTTTAGATAAATCCCCAGTATCCAGTTCTCCATTGAACAATTGCTCCATGTTTGATTCCTTCTGTAATCAAGGACATGCATTTTTTTTTCTAATTTGCTTTGCCGAGTGAAATTGCTTGGTAATGCTTAGGGTTACTAAGTTTACATATTTCTTAACACATGTGTGAAGTTCTAGGTTTTTATAAACTAAATTACAATTTTAAATAGAAAAACTAAGTAATTTTGTGAAAATGCTTGGAATTCTAGTTCTCACAAATTTGTGCTGAAGTATATTAGCTTTTCCTTGACATTGTCAATTGCAAAGTCTTTGGGACCAAACAAGATTAGCATGGATGTACTGCCCTTAATCATCCAGTGCTGTGGACTCTTCTTTTTCCTGTCAAACATATTATTTTCATATCTATATCTTTAATAAATCTTTTGAAAAAAAAAAACTTTTTTCTTTTATTTTTCATTTATACTTGAAAATGGCAGTGGAGATCAAACAATTGGACAGGTGAGTAATGAATGTATAAACTACTAGGGTTTTACCAGTAAAGAACAATTGCTATTCAACTTGGCGAAGTACAGTATAAAATGAGGATAGAAAAATTGGGAATGTAGTGCTTTCATATATACTGTACTGAACACCTAAAACTGTCAAGGCTTGGATGGGTGGTGATAGGAAAGTGGCAATCTTTGGCATCTTTTGTGCATCTCTTACCGAATTGGCCATCTTTGGTATTTCGACATGCCCAAATCATCTTGGTCTACCTAGGCACAGAACCTTGTTAATACAGTTGAGTTGTGAAATAAGAAATTTGCAGGTACTTTTATTACTACCTCTTATAATTACACGGTCAAATATTCATAGTTCACTGCCAGTTGGGTGGTGGAATTAGCTAACCCCCTTCCTGTGCTCAGTGACCCTCCATCTTGAACTTAATTGCTTACAGCATTTTGTAATGAAACCATAATTCCTATATTATTTAGGTTCATTTAGTACTGGGTTAGTAAAACATCGTAAAGCGAAAAAAAAACTGCCCCAGAGAGGTTACTGTGTGGCATTAAATTCCTGGTTCTTTTGACGACTTCGTTCGGTCACAGCCAGCCTGGTGCCTGCCTATAACCCACAGAATAATGACGAGAAAGGAAGGAGCCATTTATGTAAAATAAATACCATTTGTACAATATCTGATAATGTATTTTTTTGTATTGTGTAACTTGGTTAGTGTATTAAAGCCATTTTGGAGCAGTTTTGGGGTATTTTTGGCCTGTGGAACCAAATTTCCATTGTTTAGCATCAGCCAAAATAAATGTTAAGAATGACATCCCCATAGTGATGGGGTTAATAACCAGTGATATTCATATACAGTAATTGTTTATCCTATCTTGAGTGTATGAGTACCTTATTTACTATGCTTTAATATGTCTTAACTTAATATTCAGTGTAATACTTGTACGTTTTCTTCCTCCCACCACTTGTAATTACACTAGGCTTGTTACTCATTATTGAACATTTGCTTGGTAAATCCAGATACAGTTGATGCTGAATGTGAAGGTCAACCATTATGCGGTGTGATGGAAAACAAAGGGTCTGAGATTCAAGTTCTGACGTTTATACAGTACTAAGTCAACCGAGTCGGCAACAATGTAATGTTTGTGAGGAATATTTGTTACACTAACGCCATAGTGGAGACACCCTGTATGGCAGTCCATAACCAATGATTTTCTGGCTTATTTAACTTTAGGCTGTGGACTAGTGTAAGAAGACCATTAAATGTCTGTCGGTAAGGATCCTTACACCACCTGACAGAATCGTCACCCAACCAGAAAGTTTTGTACCTGTCATTCTTACCAGTAATCAACCTTGTTGGTCCTTCCCATCTAATTTCCAGTACACAAGGAGCATACATTGTCTTATAGCATAATGTCTCCACCTCACAAAATCTTCCTTACCATTGTACCACTGTAGCAACATTGACTTCCAACAACCTATAGTCTGTTCACTTGAACCTTGCAATCGAGGCCAAGGGTAAGTTTGTAGCAAGACAGCTGGTTAGCTGGCACAGGGAAAATCCCTACAGTTCTCTAGTATTTAATCTAATGTATTTATATTCTGATATTTTAAGAGAACTATAGTGCTCTCTGATAATTTTTGCTCTATGGGGAGCAGAAACTAGTATAGTATGTGAAATGCTATGGTAACAAATATCTTAAGAACATGATGCACAAGCTCTTATGACCCCACTCCTTGCTATGTTGTCACTTGAAATTCTACCAACTATTCAGACTAAAAATGTTAAACATAAAACAAGATAATGTAGTTGCACAAGATGTGGTGAGGTAAAATATCCATTATATATATTTTACTAATGCTTCCATAACAGCGATAATTATGTGGTTAAAAAATATTCTGAATACAGTCCGCAATGTTAATAAATTACTCCTGCATTTTTTAACGTTTAATATTAACTAGTAATAATATGGATAAGAATACAATGATCATGTTAATGTCAGATTATAGCCTTTATTAAAAGCAAGATATGTTATAATAAATGAATGATAAACAGTACAGTATTTAAAAAAAATAACATTTCACAAATATATTAATACATAATATCCATGTATATACAGTGTGTAAGTTGTAAGATTAAAAAATATATAAAAATTAAGGCATATGCGATGAGTACATTACTTTGTTTCTGCCAGTATAGTGTATTAGGATTAACTCTTGGTCAGTGGAAAATACCAGATTGCAGGGATATTCACATAAACTTAAAGGAAAACATACCCTCTTTTGTCACTAATGTAAATGGCTTATGAATTCTGAAGAAGCGTGTAAGAAACAATCCTGTCTTCCAAGAACAAACCAACCAATCAGTGTGGGTAGATTATTTCAAGTACTGAGAATTATTCAATTTTTTGTAAGTTTTGTTGGGCTTTTCTTAAAATACCTAAGATCTATAAATGCTATTTTCACATCTTTACCAGACAAATTATATTTCTGTCTACTGTATATCTCCATACTGTAGACATATTATTTTTGTAAGATGAGCTATATATTTTTTCACCATATTTATAATAAAGCATAATTATGAATATGAAACAGGATATGGTTAAATGATTATTTGTAATTCTATATATTTATTCTAAACATGGGAAATGAAACCTTGCCAATTTGGTTATACGTACAGTATCTGACAAAATAACAAAACATAACTCGCTACATAGAAATGAATCTAGAAAATGTAAAAAAATTAAAAATTAGCTCATTATCACGTTCCTCTCAATAACAAAAGAAAAACAGCGTATCAGAGACGTGACCGACTGCCCAAGCGGCTAATGAGCCGATCAGTGGTGAAGAGGACAAACGATATAACCCCGACATTCCTATAATATTGTCATTAATATACAACATTACACCAGCCTGCAATACAAGATGCATGTTATTGTTGGAACCTCGTGTGACTGTCAAAAACAGCTGATCACTATGCCACCGCTGACCTCAGGGTCCTCAAGTTGGTGAGGTAGGAACAGAGATACTGACAACGTATGCTAGCACTTTGTAAAACCTGAGTTAAGTACTGCAAATGTGATACGTATATGTTCCCTGCTCGGTCCAGATGTCCAGTGTATAACCAAATAAGATTATGCAATGTACATTATTGGCATGACTAAACGGGAGATTGTTTATGTAATGAGTACATTCGTATGTGTTCATCGTTCCTGCTGCGCTCCTCACTAGTCCCACAGCTTCCTGTCTATGCATATCATAATTCTAACATTATTCAATGAATTTTTTTGTACTACAAATCTCACCTGCAAGTAATCTTCCTTGAGTACTTCAAACATGGCTTGACAAGTTGCAGGTATTATGCGAGACAAACTTTGTTTTGATATCCTCGTTCTATACTGAAGTGACGTGTAGGTGCACCCAGTTGAAAGATATATGAGAATTGCCTCTAGAGCTCCCTCATATTGGTATCCTTTTTTTTTTATATATGGTTCCACTTTCGCTAAGTTTGTAAAAAGTGTTGGGGTCCATTCTCATGTAATTGGTGAAGTCTTGCTCATGTCCATCTTGCAGTTCATGTAAAATCGTGGCATGACTTCCCAATACTTTTCTTCGACCTAACCACTTTGCACCATTCCCTTTTCTGCATTTGGTTCTTCTGTTTGCACATAGCAGCAATTATTATAGTACACAACGCTATGCTCTTCTCTTTAACTGTCCGGCGATTATTTCTGCGACACACCATGGTGATCGTACTGCACCCGCCACTGCCAACCACCTACTAGCTGCCGGCGCCCGACTATGACTGCCGCCAACCACCTCAGTGTGTACAACACACAGGCTAGCCCGCCAGGCAGTGCTCGATCGTGTGGACGGGGCTTAAGCTTAGACCACATGTACAAAGCAATTTAAGCGTGTTAAAGAGTGTGATCTTGGAAACTTAAGTCCATCTCCGTTAGCCGGTGTAGCGGACCAAAAGTAGCCGAAACAATAACTGCGTAGTTGATGACGGAGCACCTTAGCTTTCGTCTTTATTCAAGACATCTTGAATAAAGACGAAAGCTAAGGTGCTCCGTTGTTTACCTTTTCCCGTGTGATTTTATCAAGATATATATATATATATATACACATATATATACACACCTAGACCCCGACTTACGACTACGTGGACTTACGACCGTCGGGACTTACGACCGCCTCGGATATAGATAAAAAAATAATAAAAAATTTTAAATGACACGCATTTTCTATACCGAAACGTTTCCAGTTAATGTAGTCTCCATGTATAATTAGAAAATTATGGGGGCCCCATGTGCATTCAGCTGACTACATTAAAGGTTAAGTGCTCAGTCACACTGTATCCATTCCTTATTATTTATTACTTTCACTGTACTGTATCCATTCATCATTATTCATTACTTTTACTGTACTGTATTTCATTGTAGATTTTTTATTATTTCGGACTTACGACCATGTCGGACTTACGACCTGGATTTGGGTCCCTAACCCCGTCGTAAGTCGTATATATATATATATATATATATATATATATATATATATATATATATATATATATATATATATATATATATATATATATTATATATATATATATATATATATATATTAAAAACATGATGCAAATTGTAGGGGTAATACCCCCCCCCCTTCTGCGGATGACCGTTAGAGCAGAATAGTAACTTTCAGTACGGGGAACTTCTGGTCCGCCTATATGTGGACCTGAGTTATGTAGTGGGCGACAACTCCTAGTATCAAAGACTTTGCCTGGTATGCTTTGACGTCATTAACCGCGCATGCACAGTTATCGTTTCGGCTACTTGTGGTCCTCTACAACGGCACCGAGTGTGAACTCTTTCAAGAACAGCACTGGAGCAGGTTCAAATATATGTGGAGCTGGTGCATGCCCAATACTTGTCAATCAGTGCGTGTCAGAGACGCGACTGACCGCCCAAGCGGCTAACGAGCCGATCAGTGGCGAAGAGGAGAAAAGTAAAGTAAAAGTAAAAACATGACTAGGATCAGCTTTCTCATCAGAAGGATATTTGGGGCATCAGATGCAGCATATAAATTGCGAACAGAGCTACGCTCCTCACACATGATATACAGTATACATTGTCCATAATAAACCCTATAACTGATGTGTTTGGGAAGTCTAATGTTTAAAGTTATAAGATTGGCAAATTTTTTTTCACATAATTTGAGTTGGCAAACTTGTCACTTCGCTAGAGTGCAGGCTTGGTACAGTTATTCATACGAGATTCTGTCCATTTAGACAATATAGACAGCACTTCTCTCTACTGCCTTCCACTTTCCTTACTGTAAAGCTCGAAGAGGATATGATCAGAATGTGTCATGGCTATATCTTGTGAACAAATGTCCACACACTACCTATATGAAGCCTCTGGTGAGAACCCATATACAGTATTTACATGAAATGTTTTTCCAAATAAAAGACCATTTAAACTGGATACTTTTCTCCAACTGCTGGTTTAGTCCATGTCTTTAACACATTGTATACATTTTTACTCCTGACATTGGGAAAGTGTTCATGTTTTGCAATAATCAAGTGGAGACAAGTAGGAAACATTGTCTCAAAGTTTCATATCTTGTAGATAACTGGAAGTAAAGATTTGGTCAATTTGCATTATTGCACACAACTCTGTTAGAAAGTCAAAACTATGTTTTCCCAGTGTATTGTACTTTGATTGGTTTTGGCCTTGATTTCCGTCGGAAATTGCCTGGTTTTTAGTTATCGGGAGTCCAATCTTTTCTCGTGTTTTAGTTTGATACATTTGATAGAATCCCTTGGGGTTCGACTTTGCCTCCCTTGCTACCTTCAGTTCATTATTCTTCTTTGCTTTTCTTATCTCGGTCAGAACGAGTTGCCACAATATCACATGTGTTGGTCTTGACGATATTTACATTCGTTCTTAGGTACATAATTAGCTGGTCACAGCTATGTGAATTAGGATCCCAGGGCACTAACCTTAAAGACAGGAGCCTTATATCAACTACAACGCCGCTGTCTCGCATCCCGGTATGAGTATGACAACTGGTGTGTTATGCGGGTCCGACTAATTACCCAAATGTAGCCGCAATGAAGTCAAATGATGGTCCTACATGAATAAATCGGACTGCCAATCACTTCTCGACTAGTATTTGGTGTCACGAAGTCACAAAAAATTGGTGAACTTAATTTAATCTGAGTTAATAGATCGAGTGCATGTACCTAACCTAACCTAACTCAACTCAGATTTAATTAACTTTACCAATTTTTTGTGACTATGACACCAAATACTAATCGAGAAGTGATTCACAGCCCGATTTATGCTTGTAGGACCATCATTTGACTTCATTGTGGCAACATTTGGGTAATTAGTCGGACCGACCGTGTTATTCTGTCTAGCACTTTGCAAGATGCCTTTTGTAACATGCCAGACGCCAATTTCGAGATCTGACAGTATTTCCTGGACCTAAGCTTAATCTAATATATCTAAACGGGACATCAGACAAAAACTAAATCTGCAGGGATTTTGTCCATTAATGTTATTTTGGTGTTGGCAGTTATTCCATGGTAAAATGTCAGCTAGGATTCACTCGCTTATCTGATAATAACCCACACGCACACTGGGTATAAACCACGAGATGCTTAACATAACGTCTGTCCCATTTATTTCCCAATTACAACTCATTTAATTTGTAGAGTAAGGTAATTTTTTCACTGAATATTGTGAAAGTGTAATAGGGTTAAATTTGTGGCTGTCCTATTTTGTTTGTCCTAGAGAATTTTGGACTATTGTGGACTCAGTTTAACACGTTACATGTTAATAGTAAATAGTAAAAGACAATAATGAGCTACTATTGAGCTGTAATCAATGAAATATTTGTCAGGTAAACTGATAAATTTGGTTGTTGGTTAAGAGCTTTTATTGAAAGATGACAGGTGATGTGTTTTGTTCAAGCAAATGAAAAGCATACTTTTTCTAGTTATGTATGAGATTTGAAATCACCTTTTTACAGAACTTAATTTTTGTGTTTGGAAATATAAATGAAATAATTTCAATCAGATTCGCGAAAGTATAATCTAATGGCCACTCCTGTGGTAATTATGAAAACAAACACCCACATATAACTGCGAAACGTCATTACGTCTCTCCGTGCAAGTTTCATCTTGTACACGACCCAACCAACCGCCAGGGTCTGATGCTTTCTATAACTTATAAGGTATGGCGACGCAGCTGTGACAGATGTATCATAATATATTCTAGATAACCGTACCTTTTCACCTTTATAAGAGATATTGCTAAACTGAATGTGGCAACTGAAAAAATACAATGGCATTGAAGAGATTTGAAGGCTATTTCGTAGAATGACAAGGAAATGCAGTTTCATGATTTTGCGAACTTTATTATTAAAAGACATTTATAAAATCGAATTTATATATACTGCACATGTATCTATATGCATATACGAGTCGTATCTTGAAAGGAATGTGTGATTGCAAAAGAAAATGTCTCGAAAACCCACAGGAAATGTAGTTATCGTTCTTCAGTCATCTCATGAAGTACCAACAGAAATGTTCATGTAAGCTTAAAATATATTTATATTTATCATAATTGACTATAATTTTATGTAAAGTAATTATATTATATAAGTAATAATTCAAAATGACTGAAAATGGGGGATGTTTTGTTGGTATCTATTACAAAAGAAATAAGGCTTGTCGGTATAGTTGGTATACTGCCATTGGAGTACACACGTTGAAGCACGAAGGATGTTTCACAATACCTTCACGTTCTGTTAGCGCGTCCACTACTTGTTTCAACTCGCACCTTACCACGTCCTCAATAACGTTGGGCGTTCCGTTGGCCGTGGTGCTGGTGAAACTGGGTATCCAACATGTAGCAGTGGAGTGATAGGTGAAGAGGTAAGCGCGTCCATTCGTCTGTAGTGAGAAGTTAACCCAAGCTGTAATGGGAGTTTATACCAAAGACTTCCTCCAGGGTAAGACATAAAAATTTTGATGTCCTGTATTTACTACATCTGTGGAACTTAAACTTATTTATTGTGTGCACGCGTGTTTGGAGAAGAGAACAGGGATTTTTTTTATTAGTAGTACTACGTCTGAACTTGGGATATTAAAGTTTAAAGTTTGGAACGAATCATTACATTGAATTAACACCCAATTTAGGTAAAATTAATTTTTAGATGGTTTTCATAAAACGACAAAGATATGTGTGCAAACTGGTCAAACTGTGGGAGAGGTAGATGGCTATTCACTCGGTTGAACTATCATACAGGCTGTATGTAAGAGTAATACTTTACTATTCTTGTGCACTTATGCTAGTTATTGTAGGGACTTGAACGGTAATAGTCTGAAACACCATCTCATGATAAGGAGCAACTGAAGAAAACTACTTTACTGTGGAAGGAAATGTCTTTTAGGTCTTTTTATATTAGTGCACCGTTCTATCTAACCTAACCTCCGCCCCCACTGGACACCCCTGATTAGGTTAGATTGGGTTTGGTTTGTTTTTGGTGATTTTCTATGTTTTTTTTTACACATATTTCTAATACCCAAAGAAAGAACGGTCCACTACTATTATAAATTGACCGGCATTTATCTTGGTGATTATTATGTTATACTACACCTCAATAGATCAGGTCTTAAAGCACATAATAAATTTCGTAATTACATGAGTCGATTAACAATTAAAAGTTATGAGTTACATGTTATAGAAATCAATGTATTTTGGCACAGGATATAGGTACAGCAGCTGTATGTGAAACATCGATGTCTATTGGTATGGCAGCCTAGTGCACGTTCGGGGTGGGCAGTTTATACAGTGATAATTACTAAAATGGCCTTCTTTCTGACTAACCCAACTTGCCAGCCTAACCATTAACAACACAGTCCGTCAATATGGCTGCCGTACCTCTATCTAATGTGATCTTTGACGTACTGCTGCTGTACCTGTATTCACTGTTATATTTACCCATAGACTGTCCAAGAAAATAAAGGGTAACGTTTCGGATATTGTCTACCACAGAAACAATTTTGTTCGCACTAAATAGGCAGGGCTTTGAAGTAGATGGAGATTTGTGGGGTAAAAATGTGAAAAAGCTAACCAAGTCAACCTAACCTAATTAAATCCAAACCTAACCATGCTACCTATAGGTACCTTGTCCAACCAAGTGCCCTTTTTGCAGAGTGTGGAGATTTCATTGTCTTGACGAGTTTCCGTCTTTTAGTAAGAAACATAAATACAGTCAGTGGAGAAACATAAGTATAAGATTGCAGTTCCTGCACTTTAATTTCAGCTTTCTAGAGGTAAGAAGTAATACAGTATCCTAATTGCAATACTGAACAGTACTGTACAGATATTAGTAATAAATGGGTGGTTTAGATATGCAAGAATCCTTAAGCATATCTGTTGGTTCCTGTCATCTTTATTTGCAATCTGACAGCCACCTTATTTATAACAGCAGCTGGGTAGACAGGCTTATGGTGTAAATTAACTTGCTCATAGTTTCACTCTTGTGAGGTACCATAACCTGGAGCCACTTGTTTGTAAGGGGAGTACAGTACTGTACAGTATAGTGACTACAACACCACAGATTGCACAGTGAGATCACATTAGTGTATGAGTATTCTTCCACATTGTTTTATTGTTTAAAAATTTTTTAAGTCACATTCGACACTTCATAGTCACGGCAATTTTTTTTCTATATCATGTGCTTCGTACTGTATGTTATTGCACTACAAGTACGTGTTTCACACTGTGGTTTAGAATAACTTTATTGCAATTTACAGATTTCATGCTAATAGATTTGGCAGTTTTAATTTATAGACTGGGTGATGTAGACATTTAAAATAGTGATAAATATAGACATGAAGGAGTCTAAGACAGGCTAAGGTGCAAATATGTCGAACTGTCTTGTAAATTGGGTACGAGTTATCTTATAATTGGGAACGACTGCGACATGTTCTGATGGGTACGATTTGCTCGGATACGAGTTGTCCAGCACCCTGTTCAAGTCACAATATTTGGGTTAGGTTTGAAACCCACTGCTGGTACCAGACCATGAACCCTGTGAGGAGATAATGGAGCTAATATCTAAGAACATATGTGACATATTTTTATATGCTTAATATATTTACATTAATCATGACTGTTAATGTCCACATATACAAAATTGTGCTATACAGTACAGTCTTTCACTTGGGTGTGGGAGCTTGGTAATTTCTGAGAACAGCATAGCCACAAGTAGGAGTTATTCGATTTTGTTAATTATTTCCACAGATGTTTTTAACATTATGGTAAGTATTTTAAAAGAGGCAGCAACTTTTTATTTTAATTATAAGTATTTTTTCCTATCTACGATCATAAATCATCTGTGTGGGCAGGGCATGAAGGATGAGGGAAATTTGGGGGTAAAATACAGTGAAAAACTGATCATATGACACTAAAATAGTGATTCTATGTGTTTTGTATGTAAAAGAATTAATTATTTACCTCAAAAAAATCGACAGTCAGCGCTTGTTGTCTGTTTACAACTGACCCGTTTAGTCTGAGCTTACTGTCATGTCCACAAAAAATGCAAAATTACACCAAGACACTTCAACAAAATTGCATTCATTGGTACCAGATATCAAAGTAAGTACAGTACTTTCTCTTTCATATGTTGGGGGTTTAGGTAAAATTCTTTGGTTGGTTAGGTCCGGTTCTGTTAGGTTATGTGAATTGTCTTATTTTATTTATTAATCATCCATGGAACATCTGCGGAAAAAATGAATGAAATGGAACAACTTATGGTGGTAGTGCTGTTTTCAGACATTACCATTAGTTTTATAATTCCTTCTGAAATTAAAAGATCAATGTCTTCCAAGCATTGGTGAATTTTGGAAAGTACTGTACTGTATATGGTATATTTTTTAATGGATGATCATTATCATTTAACTGATATAAATTCATTATAAAGTATCTGATAAATTCAGTTATATTTTACACAATACTGTTCTGTTTAGAATTGTGGCTGTTTTATCTGCTAAAAGGTGCCATCAGGTAATCACAGCTAATCCATGTAAGCATGGAAAATGGCCATAAATTGGTGATGATGGTGGGTTCTGGGATTAGTATAATAGATTTTAGACCTGAGCAGTTATTCATGGGAAGTTTTCATTTAACCAAAGTGAAAGTCTGCAATTATTGTTTTTTCTTCTTTTCCTTTCTCATCACTTCCAAAAGTAAGTTAAGAGGGGGGTATAGAAGATTTTTTTTTCATATTTCAATTTAATTATTCTTCCTCACTTCTCTACAGTACAATATAAGAAAGGAAGAGGGAGATTCTTCTGATTTTAACTTTCCGGATCCTCTCCTACCTCTCACCTTCCTTCTGCTTGTATTCCTTCCCTGAAGTTGAGAAAGCTATAACAATTCATTGTAATTTTGTTGTTACCCTAATCGAAAGTTGGGGGCATAAAATGATGGTTTCAGACAAACTCGTATTTCATTTAATAACTTCTCATGTTCTCAATGGATTAATTTCAAATATGGCATTGAAATTATATATGGCAGGTTCATGCTAGGGAATGTTGGCAGAGCATTAGCTAAGGTGATTTTTATTTTACACAAAAGTGTACTTTATACTATACCAGTAGAGGAAGCAATGTTTGGCAGTTGGGTATGCTTAATTTCAATGTTTTTTCTTGCTCTTAATCTTGTACCTTACCCTTTCAACCTTTTCTTGCATCTTCCTCATATTTTCTTTCCACTTTTTTCTATTTGTCTCGCTTCCCATTCATCTCATTTTTCTCTCACACTTTTGGATGCTATCTCTCCCCCATTTATTGGTGAGGAATTTGGAAGAATACAGTACAAGAGGTCCCAGACTTATGAACGGGGTTAAACCTGAAATTTACAGTATTTTATTTACTTGACGACTTAATTTTTGCTTTAATTTACTGTATTTTGTCATTCTCTTTCTTCTTTTGTCTTAAATTAAGTGAGTTTAGATGTGTATAAGGACTTAGGCTATGATATAGTGGGATTTTAAACATTGTTTTGTAAGTACGGTATGTATGTAGCATGTGTTCCGACTTACAGTGAGTTCTGCTATAACGCGTGTTTTGACAAAGCGAATTGGCTCTAACGCGATTTATGAATAGAGGAACGATATTTGTATAACGCGAATGCTTGTTTGCTGTAACGCGATTTTTGCTTACTATTTCTCCAATTTTGTGGTATTAATTGTGAATATGGTAAAGAAGAATATCTCCAAGAAGCGTTCTGGTGATCGCTTTCCCGGTTATGATCGTAAAAGAAAGGCTATAACCCTTGAAGAGAAGCTCGATGTTATCTACCTCAAAATCACCCTTCTCCTCCATCAAGTTATATTCATAGTTTTTCAAGGTAAAGTGTTACATTTACTGTATGATTTCATTATTAGATATGAATGTAACATTTATTTAGACTGTGCTATCCTTTGTGTTAGGCTAACTACTAAATTTTTTTTGATTTCGAGTAGTAATCTGCACCTAACCCTATTTTCTCCATAAACCCTGTTATTTCTATTACGCGAATTTCTATGATGTTTTACAAGAACACAACTATCGCGTTATAGCAGAACTGACTGTACGTACAAATCCGACTTACGAATGTCCTCATGAGCGGAACCCGTTCGCAACCCGGGGACCCTTGTATAGGCTTTCCCTCCTAAATGACTGATCTGGTGAAATGATCTTTTCAGTCAGTGCTCTGTTTTGATGATTTGGTAGTACCATTGATAAGGTCATTAGATAAACTTTTATATGTGATAGTATAAGTTTAGAGTTAGGGTGATGAGTTTAGTCTTAAGAGTTCTGTAACATAGTGTGAATTATGGGACAGGTTCCACAGCCAATTAGATAATGAGATTTCATGCAGTCCACAATTACAAGGCTAGCTTTATTGTTCAAACCTAAGTAGGTTAGGTTAGAATGAGAATTGCTGAACTTTCCGATATTTTTAAGATTTGTGTTTCTCATTGTGTTGGTTCAGGGGTCACTTCCTGGAGTAAATTCTAAGATATTTTCCCAAGACTTTGGCTCCCCTGTCAATCATCCTGACTGGTTGTGATTTGAATGATATGATTATTTTTTACAGTACAGTACGTATCTGGTTTATTATCAAGTAAATTGTTCACTGATTAAAAGGAATACTGTACCATACTAATAACCTCCAGGAGGTGGGGAGTGACAATAGTTGGGACTGTAATCAATATACTGTACAGTACTTTACAGTGTTTATGTTTATCAATTACTTGATGCATTTCCAGATCAGATAGTATGCTTCAGCAAAGGCAATGGGAAATAGAAGTTCTAAGCAACTCTTTCTAGACCTTTGTACTGTAATTTACATAATTTAGTATAGATACTGTACTGTGTGTTGTACTGTACAGTACTAGAAGAGTGTGTTTGGCATTGGGAAAAGATGTACTATACTCTTGATGCCAAACTCATTGTTTATAAGAAGAGCCATATACTGTACACTGGGTGTGTGTGTGCGTGCACACATGTGCATATCAGAACAAAATGAATTGCTGGGCAGGACCCAGGAGTTTGGCAATGCCTACCGTCCCTGAGTTCTGATGCTACCCTGGATCAACCCACCATTATAACTTATGTAAACTCATTATTATTTTTCCTGATTGGGTCAGATATGAATGGTAATAAATAGAGGGATAATGAAGTGTGCTTTTGTAGATATATTTGCTACACTAAAAGCGTGTGTACAGTGCAGTATATTGCTGGAGAAATTTTGGACATTTGTCATAATCTGGAGAGTTACAGAATAAATATGTACAATTGGGAAATTTAGTTTGGTCTGATGTTATGCATTTCTCAGACTCGCAAAGATATGCGCAATGAGGTAATGTCTGGACTGTACAGGTATTACATAATGTATAAGAAAAATACTGTACAGTATATTAATTTTCAGCCAATGTACTACTGTACGTGAAAAATATACTGTACCTGTATATTCATTCATAAGTAAGAACAATGCAGTACGCACGCTACAATTGTTGGAAAAATAGTTGAAAAGGAAGGTGATCTGTTAATTTACTTTGTACCTTTACAGAAAATTTTGCGTACAACACAATTAGTATTGCTAGATACTCAAAGAGGAATCAGATGAAACAAATCTTGTCAGAATGTGTCTGAAGAAATGATAAGCCATATGGTAGATACCTTAAAATATTACTCTTCCTTTCAAGACACTTGGTGCTATTTATAAATTCAATTTCTTAAAGTACAGCTCGTAAAGACACCAAAAACAGACACAGATCATTATAAAGCTGAATTAAGGCCCAAGGTGCCTCATTATATCCTTACTAGGCATTAGTCACTGAGCACAGTACTGTACTGATTTTAAGACTTAATTATTGCACTGTATTCAGAATCTGAAGAGATGTGGAACGAGAAACCTTGTGAATCTATAACACTTGCCAGATTGGGCCATGAAAACCTTATGCTGTATAGTAGTAGGGTTCATCCACTTAAGTGATGTCACTTTTGAGCTTATGAATCTACTAATGACATGTTAAAAAGGCCTCTAGATATGTTAATGAAACATCAACAGATGGCCAAGAGTCCTGAAATAATAAGTAGATCCCAAATTTGACATTCACAAAAAAGATCCAGGCGGTATTGGAATGCATTGTTAGATTTATAAATGAAAGTTATTCCATAAGTGTTTGTGTACTTCTGGACAAGAGGATGTCGTGAGGTTTGGTGTCAACCTCAAGACTGAAAATATTAGTACTGTACAGTACAAGGTTTTTGTTCTGGTGGACATTTATGATTGGATGAACTTCTCTAGATATTATATACAGTGCCTTGTGGTTATGGTGGATAATGTTCAGTGACAGTGTCTGATGAAAAGCTGACTGTTTTGGGCGAAAGCTTATATAATAGTTGAAAGCAAATTGATCAATTTTGTGTCACTCTTTACAAAGCTGTGCTTTTGAATTTGTAGTTCAGTGTCTATGAATTGCAAAAGTCCAGTGGTTCAGTCTTAGGATATTATATTGAAGTTGTTTCTGATTTTGAGAAACAAGATAGCTATGACTCTTGGACATTAATTCAGTATAATGTACTACATTGCTAAAAGTGATGGTGAAAATGTTAGTTACAAATTATACTATGGTCTTTGAGGTACTGTGTACGTACTGTACTGTAAGAACTATTTGCCAAAAGAAAGAAATTAAAGAAGTGCGAAGACATTTCTTTGTCTTCTGCACATTATCACTGATTGAATTCCATTACCATACTGAACAAGCTTTGACTCATTAAAACATCCTCAGTATTTTTTAAGTAAAATTAATATTTATGGAATACAGTGAAGTTATTAGCTATTATGTCAGACTACCTGATGGGAAAATGAGTAATATAGTATGCCTATCAGATACAGTGGTAATACTGTACAGTGCCATATAATGAAGCAGTGAGACAGAAAATTAAAATGAATTAACCGCTTTACTTACAAAAACAGTATTGTGGACATCTTTTCAAGCATCTTGTACTTTCAGTGAATTTTCATCATAAAATGGGGAAAATTTTGTCCAGAAGAAGTGTACAAAGGCTCACAAGTGTTTACATTGGGTTCAAATACTATATGGTGAACTTACTCATCCAGAGAGAGAATTTAATTATCAATGTGAAGCTGTGTGGCTGTTAAAAAGTATATTATATAACAGTCCAGGTAAGAACAGTATCCTGAACATTTACAGTTTATGCACCATAGCTAATTGTGTTGCAGATAAATGCAAAAATATATTTCTTATGTAGCCACTGTACAGTATCACAGTAATTACTGGAATTGAATACTGGAAATATTGAATAGCAGTAGAATTCTATATATTATGATGTGTAGCACCGTACTGTAGTTGTATTTAATTACACTGAAATGACAAGGTATTTGACATCAGTGTCAGTTAATGAAATTTTTCAAGACTTAAAGTATTTTACTATTGCTATACTTAAGTAGAGTATAGAAATGGATCCTTGAGTATAGTACGGCACTGTAGTTTAATTTTTAATCCCATTAACAGGAAGACATCAGTAATGAAAGTTACAGTATTGCAATTTCATATCAAGAAATATTGAATGGTGTTGATCAGGGAGTGATAGCAGTGGTGTTTCAGGGTGGAGAGCAGGCGAGGGTGAGATAATGCCACCCGACCTGTCTGAGGCAGCACGCTCACTGGCTGTGCTCCCTCCCCAGAGCTGTGGGGAAGTACTCAGTGCTAGCCCCCCCTCCAGACCCTCAACTGAGTACATCAGCAGCAGCAATGGCATTGTTGATGTGGGTTTGCAGAGCCAGGAGTACCAATCCTCGCCTAGACCTGTAGCTGAGAACTTTACCTGCTACAATGGCGGACAGTCTCATCAGCCTCACAGTCAGGTGGTGGGGTCTGAGGCTGGAAATGGTGGTGGAGGGTGTAATGATACGGGAGCAAGAAAACCAATTTTGTCTTCCTTCATTAACATGTACCACCTCACTCCTGCTCTTAGAGCCACCTTTGCCTCTGTGGGAGCCACCGATAGAAACTACCTGTTCAGAGAGGTATTGCTTTTACCAGGGTATTTTACTGCCCGTGCTTGGTTAGTGTGTAGTTTTATTTCTATTAAGGATGCAGATGTTAGTTTTCATCTTTTATAGTAATTTTTATTATGAATAAACTGTAACATGTATCCAGTCTAAAGAAAAAGAAACATCTGCATTTTTCATATTTTATTTTTGTTATTGAATTGTTTATCCTGATTCATAAAGCATTTACACTGAGTTTTCCTCAACAAAGTTCACAATAGCCACAACCACCCAGTCTAGCATAATCATAAACAAATCAAATAAGGTAATTTACAGTACACTACTGAAAGTATTGTAGTGTACCTATAAATGGCATGAGATTCATTTAATGTGTAATTTGAAAATATTTGTTAGTGTTATATTGAATAATGACATGCTGTACTCTTTTGACCATTGGTTTAGTCTGCACTGGTTGGTTTACTGAGCACTACCCTTAATAGGCAGGCCCAGGGCTCAATTTTGGCTGAACTGTATTGTGACTGGACTGAACTTTTGTTCTTCCCAGCCTGAACCCATGGAGGGAAAGCTTCCAGTTTAAATGTAGTCTTCAGGCAGCAGCACATTGGGCAATTTTCCTCCCAACCATGCTGGGCAACACGGTCCGGCCAGCAGAACAAAGAGATGTTTTCATCACACTGGGACTTTTTGTTTGGGTTTAGGGGAAGCCATCGTGAAGTTTGTTTACAAGTGGCAGCGGCTGGCTGGTAAAAAAAAACCCTGGATAATGATTTAATAATACTAAAGACGTTTTAAAATGATGAATAAATAGAAACATGCCACCTTTTTATGTGTTATATTTTAATTTATTATTGTTTCATGATTTATTTTAATTTCTACTTAAATATTAAACACCTAGTATGAAGCTCATTTGAGCACTGGCCAGCAAAGCTCGCCGCCAAACCGTTGTCCATTTCTCCCAACAGGTGAAATCCTGCTGCTTGCTGGGCCGTCAGGCCAGCGGTCAGCAAAAACATCCAACATGTTGGGAGGAAAGTGCCCAGTGTGCCGCTGCCTTTAGTCTAGGGGATTTGGGGTGCACTTGTATGTACCAATATGAATTTATCCATTTTCTCTTAGGTATGCATTACTTTATACAGTATCTTACTTAGACAGATGGATTCAGTAGTTAGTTTTAAATTATAATATTTTTTTTTTTATGTTCCTCATTTAATCAAATTTTTTTTTTAGTAAAGTATATTATTATTTGAGTAAAATTGGGGATTTGTTTAAGGGAAATTGATTCCTGTACTGACATTTTTCTGTCTGTCTAATTCTGATTTATCTCCTTTTTCAAACTTGGTAGTAATTGAATGTTTATCATGCTTCTTTTAAGGGACTGTATGTGTGATAGTCACATTTACAGTATAGCTTTTCATTTTCACATTCAGAGTAGTATTTAAATTATATACACTTAGCATAACACAAGAATACCGTATGCAAGAATCTACCAAAACGTGTTTCTCTATATACAAATAATGTTTATCAAGAGTCTAAAATTAGTCTTTAGGCATCCTTGGACACAGTAACATTGTATGGTTTTCCTTCATTTCTTTGTCCCAATGCAGAATTAAGAGAATGGAACCTTTAATAATGCTGAGCTGCATAATATTTTGCATGCAGCTTCACATCAACACTATTCAGACTGAGTTTGACAATTACAATAGCTTTTATATTGGGGAGATATTACACCAGGTAGACAAACAAGTTTTGCTGGGGTATACATCACTTTCACTGATGGTCTGTGCGTCTTCCCATTTGTATTGTTTCAGTGATACCTCAAGATTGCTTTTAAGAGATTTGTTTAAATTCTGAAATGTACAGCCATACTTTGATAACTGATGCATATGCGTACTGCGAAAAGTCAACCGGCAGTGGATCAATGGTTATCAAAGCAATAAATCCCATGAGAATATAACGGATTCAGGAGGTTAAGGACCCGCCACCCCAAAAAACTCCCACCTACCCTTGATATATCTCTGTCGTGCACACTGTCAAGCTCTATCAAGACTCGCTCACCATTACAGTGTTTTTAAATAAAAATGATAAAGTATACAGTATAGTAAATAGCTTCATCTTGATATCTTTTTATATTTTATTTCTCATCATAATACATTGCTTCTCTCGATGATTGTTTAGTTACATTACTATGTTGTTGGAAGGAGAAGGGAGGGAAGATACAGTGACACGTCACCTACGATACAATGTAGCTTTTTACTCTCAAGTCAGAATACAAATTATATACAGTATTATATTTTTTGTTATATTATTTATAATTAATATTATGCTGTAAGAGGCTGATCATAGTAGAGTATAATAATAATAATGAATCAATATAGTCAGGTGGAAAGCTGGCCTGGACGGCAGTAGGGAAGATATTAGCTTCTCATACAGTTTCTCTATTAATTAATGTTTTGTTATTTATGTAGAAACATACACCATAAGAGGCTGATCATACCAGAATATAATAATGAATAAATACAAACAAATTGGCAAATGTGGCACAGCCAGTCCTCCCCCTCTCCTTTACGGATGGAGGGGGTGAGTGATCAGGAAGTGGATTACCATGTGTTTTGGCTTGTCTTTTATTTTGAAGCAAAATTATTTACTGAATTGTATTTTGTTGTATTAATTAATGCTGTATGTTATATTATTTATGATGAAATATAAACCATAATTGGCTGATCTTATGAGAATATAATAATGGATACTGTAAATAAAAACAAACTGGTGAACGTGGCAGTGGCCAGTCCCACCCCTTACACATGAACATCACTCACTAGCTGTCATTAGGCATACTGTATATCTGATTAAACCACTGTACACTATCCCTATTAGAGACATACTGTATACTTTACTTAAAATGCTAGCCATCGTTCATGGGTTAAATGGAAGAGGAAGTATTGCTGGGACATCTTGGCATGATTGCAGAACACATGTAACACACAAAGTTGGATCAACGGAGTAGTCAGCAAAACTTGTGGGGTATTTCCCTAATACATAATCGGTCAATGGGACCTTGGTTAATGGGGTATACTTGTGTATCATTGTTATGGTCCCAGGCACAGATCCTGACTCCATAACCAGCAGTTAGTTATTTGATTCATAACTGTTGAAATATAATAATTTTGATGAGTATAATAGTCGTATAAACAACTAGTTTACGCTTCATAATCAATCCCCATTTTGATTCACAATCGCATTAATATTTTTTCTACAGTTACCACAGTTTCTGTCTGCTGTTTGAATTCAAATACAACTCGGGTTCATGTAATTCTTTGAAACTTAATCTCATGATGAACTATAGTGGACATTTTCTGTTGTGGTGGGAATGAATAGCTGGTCAATTAACTCTAAAAACAAATTTGTGTGTCAAGGTCTTTAATCAAATGAAATTTGCACATGAAGATTTTGTTGTCTGCACCTTATTGCACTTGAAATAACAAGTCCAATTGCTTGGAATGGTGGGCAGCATGCATCTATGGTACTTTGTTTGCTAGATTTTCAAAGCAGCATGGAAGCCATTGGCACTTTAAATATTTGTGGGACATTAGAAGGTTGAATTATTTATTTCATTTTATTATCATAGGACAGTCTCAAGACTGACAACGCTATTGACATCTTTTGTATTATATGTAATATAGTAAGGGAAATCTTTCTATAATTTTCTTTGAATTTTTTAGTTTTTTCAATATACAGGTGCTCCTCTTCTTATGAACAAGTTACATTCCTGAGGCTTGTTTGTAGTCCAACTTTATTCTTGTAGGTACCAAACATATTGTAAAAAATGAAAAGATTGTGGATATTTAGTACAGCTATACCCTTTAATACAGCCTTAAAACCTGGCTCACTCTTCTCCTCTAGGTAATTTTTGTTATATCTGGAATTTTCTTCAAAATAATCCAGTCTCATCCACATTAAACACCTGTTCTGGCAGGTAACCCCCCCTCAGTGATGATGTTTGTATCTCTAAAAGTTTGTAAGTTGAACGTTCTTAAGTAGAGGAGCATCTGTATGATCTCGTATGATAATGCTTAAAGTGTTCTGGAAGTTGTTTTACATGAACAATAAAAAGATAAATTACCAGACATTATGTGATGTGCAAAATTATAGGTAATGTAATATTTTTAAGTAGAGATCAATCATTTACTATTTGATGAGTTTTGCTCCATCTCATCCAGCATTGATATTCTGTACTGTAGTGATCAATTTTCTCCATTGAGCTCTAGTGTTTGTAACAAACTAGACTGGAGAAGCAAGGCCATGTAAAGGAGATAAAAATAATTCTTATGATTTTTCAGGTTTTGCAGTTGTTGAAGAAATACCTTTTTAGCAAAGTCCACCTTTTTGATCCTGATGACAAACTGTATGTTAACTGTGCAAGTGACCCCTTAGGTCAAGCGCTGCAGGTCGATCGCTTCCATTACAATGATGTTAAGTGAGTATATCATCATATGGATGCATTCATTATACAGTACTTTGCTTTATATAACCTCTGCATTATGAATTGAATCAGGGAAACTTAAGACATCCTTATGTTATTTCTGTTTATTTTGTAGGCACTGTTACAACCTCAAATTTTTATAAATGGTTGGTCCTAAATCCCTGATTAGGTTACAAAGTATGATTATTATGACATTATTTACTTCCTATAACCAGAATGAATTTTGAGCCTTCCAAGAAAATTTTCTTATTTCGGGCATGGGAACAAGTTTCTGAGGATGAAAACGTGCACATTTTCCGGAAAAAAATCTGAAAAAATCTCTCCATTGTGGGTATGGGAAAAATTTTCCATGGAGTTCCGAAAGATTGTATCTTGCTCTGACGCATCCCCAGGGTATGCTAGCTGCTATAGTAAAAGGTTGTTCCCTCACTCGGTGCTGTTTTTACATAAAATTTGTATTGTGCAGTATTACAGTACTGTACCAGGACACAACCAACCAAGAATAGTGTTAAAGCAGTGTTGAGACATAAATAGTGACTACAGTATACAGTAATTTACATATATTAAGTGTGCATTATAAGCTCAAGATGACATCATCTGCTGGTGAGTTTAGTACAGTACAGTATATATGTTATGGTTATTTTGCTAAATAACTTACAAACAGGCTAACCAAAGTTAAAAAAAGAACAGGACCACTTAACTGTGTATTAATCTACATGAGCCATCCTAACCTAACCAAACCTAACATAACCTACCCTCTTACTTAACCATAAGGTTAGTTTAGTTTAGGTTGTCTGTTTGTAAGTTATTTTGCAAAATTACTGGCATGCATGCTGGGATATTTGCAAAATAACCGATTTCGAAAAAAAAAACATAACATATGCAGTACAGTACAGTAGTAGTATACATTATTTTTCACATTAGTTGAAACCCTAATTGGCAAAACAAAAACAAAGTTCATATGGTGTATAAAATCTCCTGTTACATTTAGATTAAAAATTGCAGTCGGTTCAATGTTCTTAAGTAGCATGAGTTGTAAATTTCCTATTCTCTTGAATATTCCACCTTGCAATATGGACAATACAGACTTCCACCCAACCTGGAATTCTGGCCAAACTGGACAGGCCTTCCACTCAATTAGCCCAGATTAGAGGAAGTTTACTGTATATATACAGTATATTTGCCTTTCTTTCATATTTTACTTTGGGTTCATTGCTTAACACTTAATTTCAAATTTTCCGAGTCTTTAGGTGCAATTAGTTAATTCGATCCTAAAACTTTTATGTTTATCTTTCCTCAATTTGTCTCACATATACTCATGCATAAGCTCATCTAATTACATCCCCTTTAAAATCTAATTTCACAATTCAGGAGTTTTCACTTCCACATCCTGTGCCTTGTTCTTACGTTCTCATGGGGGTGCGACCTTATTTTTTCTTTGTAATTTTCATCCAAATCTGATGATCCCTAACTATTCTGTCATTCCTATAATGTTTGTAACCCGTAATGTACCAGGTATCTAATAATCTACAAAATTTTGAAATATGTCTTCAATGGTCTACTGTACTTCATCAATTTCAATTGTGTGAAATCCAATACAGATGTACTGTTCATTCTAAAGGCTTCCTGTGCGCTCTTACCATTTTTTTCTTTTGTTGTATACAGGTATTCTACAGATTATGAATACCTGTACATAAGGTGTGGTTACATATCACTTTTTTATCTAATGATGGAAAGATCCTTAGCATTAAAAGAATGTTTGATTTTTCATACATACCTTGTTTATGATGATTAATTTCCATATATTAATTTCAGGTTATTGATAAGTAAGCACATTATCAGGGCACAACCTGATAGTGTGAATGGAGCCTGCTCACAGACTATTGGTAATGGTTATCCTCCAAGAACCCCACCTAGTTGTGCACTTGTAAATACAAATAATGGTTTAGATACAACTAATGGCAGAACAGAGTTGTTAGTGCCCACAAGTACTACAACTCCAGGACATTCAACTACTTCTGGGACTTGTTTTAATTCGAGGGAGCTCCTGTCTAGCCAGCAAAGTACAGGTAGCTCTATCCCTGTTCCTGGGCCCTCTAGGGAGAGTGAAGGTGCACCGGACCACAGAAGGCACAGCAGAACTACCAATCATTTGCCCTACACTGTCCTCATCCCTGAAATTCCAGATAGTAACTCTGAAGCAGAATCAGAATATAGTATTCAGGGATATGAAACTGGTATGCTATGAGCTTATTACAAATCTTTTTTAATTAATGACAGTAGTGTACAGGTATTTGAGTTTTGACATTGATTTTTCCATATACAGGTACCTCTCGTTTTGTGTGTTTTGTTTTTTTGCCCGTTTTCGAATTAACATGAGGTCCAAAGTCAAAAAAATATATATAATTTACACGTTTCGTTCACAATAACACTCATAAGTTGTACAATAAGTTGTAAGTGTGCATAAACAAGCGGGTTTTATAAACGGGGCTCATGCACACTCCAGTCTTGTCTCGGACGCCTCTCTCACTCACTTTTTTTTTGCATAAAATTTGATTTACACGACCTCTTCAAGAATGTAACCCTCGTCTAAATTGAGAAGTACCTGTACTGTACTGTATTTTGTATTTGATACAGCACTGTGTTTTATATGTTCAGTGTTCAAGTATATCATAATGTAAGTAACCATCTTAATGGCTTATACTGCAATATGTTACAATATATTTATTCTAAGCTCTCCTTATACACTAATGTAAATCAGGTATCTAAATTGATATACTATAGTCTGTACTCTGTACATTTACTGCACAGAACATAAATTATACAATATACTCTTGCTGAATTCTAGAAAGTACTTGTAATTCATTATCTTACAGGTCTCCATGCTTAAGTATGACAAATGTTTTTAATTGTCCTTTTAGGTTCTTTACATATTCTCTGTTTTACTGCACACAAAGATACATTTGCTTTTTTTTTTTTTTTTTGGAGAATTGAATCCAATAAGTTTTGTGAATAGTTAATTGATGATTGTAAATTTCAAGGTTTCGAAAGAAACACAAAGAGCATTTCCAAAGAAACTTTGCTCAATAGGTGATTTGAGATAATTGATCCAACTTACTACAGTTTAAGTACACTATAGGAAAACATGTACCTGTAAGTTGATAATTCATTAACTAGGAATTAAAAACAATTTAATAGTAGTGTTACAAGATATTTTGCCTTATTTTTCATAGAAGAATACAAGCAGACTGAGACCTCTATACTGTATCTCTATTCCTTTCAGCCCTCTGTCGTAACACAGAGTTTGAGGAAAGCGATGATGAGGAATTGGGTAATGAAGATTCATATGAGGAGTATGAAATAGCTTCAGATGACGCTAAGGAAGAGGAGCATTCAGATGATGATGATTCTGTGGTTGAGGTTGGTTAACAAATGACTACCTCAGAACATATAGAATATGTGGGCATTAATGTAAAAGTAATGCTAATTGACAATATTTTTTCCTAATAACATTTTACCGCTGGGAATATTACCTCCCTGATTCATAGTACTGTATCCTTCATTTTCTGTTTTTGTTCTGTGGTTTATTAGCACATCTGTAGGATATGATGGTCTTTTAGATATTACAGTAGCACCTTCAGCTATTATTGGATGATTGCCAGGCCATCAGTCCATCACAGAAAAGTGACATTTCCCTTATAACTTTATCACTGGAATTCTGTTTTAGTGGGAGTGCATATCCCTTGGTCACAAATTTCAAGGGTATGTTGTTTATACTATAGTACATGGATATTGACGTTTGTTTTTCCCCCTGGAACCACAGTATTTTGGAAGCTAATTTTTGCTTTTCCAAGTGAGAAAATTATCATAGATCAACATAAAATAGTTATTAACCTTTTAAAATATCAGAATATAAATTTGATAGATTAAATAGTAAAGAGCTGTTGTAACTTTTCCTACCCGCCTGCCAACCAATCGGCTGCCTTCGTTGCAAGCTTTGAGTGAACAGATTGTAGTTCTGTTTGACTTGGAAATATTGATGGAAGCATAACATCTCCTTTGGTAATTGCAAGATATGAATTTATTCCTCTGTCATATTAAATATGTTTACATAAATATTGGCACATGGTTTTTGGGATAGATTAATAATATATTAATTAATATTATATAAAAAAAGAAACATGGCAGTCATGGAGGAGTCAGAATTGTACATTTTTCAACTTTTGCCACATTTTGGATTTCATTGAAGACAAGTGACTAGATTTTAAAGTATGGTGATAGGCTATTACACATGTGAATGTTTTTCATAATCTCCATGTAAGTCATCTCAGAGTTAGTGCCTCACTTATATTTATTACAAGTAGTTGGTGACTACTGTGCAAATGTGAAACTACTGTACGTATAGGTGTCATGAGCGTATTGGATCTTGGAAGTTGGAAATTGATGTTGTAACAAGGTGTAGAATTAAGGTCCACCCTGACTATGAATTCAAGAAATGTGTTCATCAAAATAACAATACTTTTGTACTTTACAGTATGTTGAGATAGCCCTCCTAGCTATTCATGCATTGTGCCAAGATGACTCAGAGGAGGACTTTTGGGCAGATGACTCGGACACAGATGATCAGTCATTGGATGACCCAGAGTTGGTAGTTGAACGATGGGATTGCCTTAGTTGTGGAGTCAAGAATAAGCCTTTTGTACGTTACTGTGACAAATGTTGGCAGGTAAGATTGATAACCAAATATAATTCACAGTACAGATCCTCTCTTATACCGGCAACCTTGGAGCCAGGGCCTTGCCAGATGATAAAAATTCCTGTTAAACAGAAGGCTGATGATTAATGGTACATTAGCTACACTTAGCATAGTGCCATTTGACACAGTTCATAGTGAATATATTTAATAAATAAAAAAAGTATTGTGAAAATATTATTTATTAGATGTACACTCACCACAAAAAGTATTCAAACGGTTGGGCACAACAGATTTCAGAATGAGCACTATGGCCCTTGTCATCTCAGAATGGTTGGTATGCCTGTTTGTGAAGTGACTCAATATTTCATAATATATGTTGCTTATCTTCATAGTATTTACAGGTGAAAAAGTAATTTGATTTGCAATAAAACTTCCTCAGAGAGCAATGTTCAGATTTCTCATTTGTTTTGTCCTACAGTATTGTACAGCCCATAGAGTGTCAGATAACTTTTTGTGGCGAGTGTACCGTATAATAAATTAAATAGTAAAATAAACGAAAAATGTGTAGAATTCATGCAAACCAGGACATGCACAGTTATAGTTGGGCACTTATAATTATAACATTCATGATTCAGTGTCCTTGAACAGTTTCATGTTTTTACAGCCATGCCTCCCAAAAAATAATTTCTGTACAGAAACACTTAGAGATTGATAAAAATTACCCAGTAAATATAACTCTAGGCATATAAATAACTTTAAGCATTAATAACTGTAAGAATGCATAAAAGTATTGTACAAGTTATGGTGAAGAATTATTTATTATAAAGCTTGTGCGTCATATTCTGTCTCATAGTCGATCTTCAACTGTTGTTCCTTCACCGTGCTCTTGTTTAATAATGTCTGATTTACAAAAAAAAGACACTGTCTCTGTATAAAAGCTGTGCTTGGTGAAGCACTGGCAGATGATAATTGTACTTATTATGCACAATTTGGGTGATTTCAAAGGAAGTACAGCTGCTCCCCGACTTACGACGGGGTTAGGGACCCAAATCCAGGCCATAAGTCGAAATGGTCGTAGGTCGAAAATACTTAAATAATACATAGAACATCTAAAATGGGTGTCTCTTTTTCTTCTCAGCACCACAGAACTCTCACTTTTAAGCTTGCCAGCCATTTTAAATTGAATTACACAGAAAAATTTTGTCAGTACACAGCGCAATCACTGACGTTTGGACTCGAAAATACGTAATTTGACAAAATTTTGGTACGACTGAGGCGGTCGTAAGTCGGGGAGTACCTGTAATTGTGTATACCTGTATATGTAAAGAATTTAGTAATGTATTGCATTTTGAAATATGAAAAATATAGGATAAAAATTTAGGGAACCTTCAGTATTTCACTAAACTAGATAATTGAGGGCAATTTTATGAACATGTATGAAAATAAAAAAAAGTTTCTTTTCAAGTCGTACACTGTAGATGAACCAATATCATACATCTCACATAGCTTATGAACAAAAACACTGCTGCTGAAGGGTGTTGCTAAGCTATGTAAAGTGTTTGTGATAAACCAGATTTAGATCTTAGGACCTGCTTGTAGAAGGGGGAAGAATATAGTACAATAGCTACATTGCACATCTTTTAGCATGAAATGGAGAATTTGTGTTTATTCTTGATTCTCTCCACTCTGTATTGTAACTGGATAAGACTTAAAAGAATAAAAAGATAAAATACTAATTAGAAAGAATATGATTGTTTATATTTATATTTTTATTTTCAGGTAAGGAAGAACTGGTTACCAGACCGACCAAGGAAACGAAGGAGAAAACCTCGACCAAAGAAAAGGCGCACCAGGTTTAGATCAGAATCTATCCAGTCAGATGATCAGAGTAGTGAGAAAACTTTAAAAACATTTGAAAATTTTATGGTATCAAATTGTAGTACAGGTAGTACGAGTTACAGTCAAGAACTTGAGGAGTTACCGGAATTACCAAGGACATCATCAACTGCCTCAACTGTGTCATTAAAGAGTGGCTCTCCTTGTAGGAGTGTTTCCTTTGATAAAGGTAGGTATAGTTCTCAAGACTCTGGAATTTCTCTGTCTCAAGATCTTTTGATAGAATTTGATGAAGAGCAGAATATGGAAGACAACAGAGTACAGGCAGAGGATGTACAAGTTAGTAAAGTCCAGTTGTCTCACACACATCAGAAACCATCCATAAGTAGAGAATGTATTTCTACATCAACTCTGAGTTTGTTAACTGAAGCAAATTTAGATGCAGGTGCATCAAGCAGTCGAAAACGTAAATCTTCTATTTCAGAGGATGTCAAACCCCACAAAAGGGCTAAAGATTGTGAGGTTAATGAGTCATCAGATGAGGAGGAGAGTGATGATGATAGTCATATAGAAGTTCAAGCCAAAGGATTTGCTCAGTTCTTGCAGTCACCTGCTGGCAAGGAGAGGCTTAGGCTTAAAGACATTAATGTCGAAGCTAAAGGCATGGCGCAGGATTTAGAGTCAGCTGCTGGGGAAGAGAGGCTTAAAGATATTAATATAGAAGTTAAAGCAAAAGGCTTTATTCAGTTCTTACAAACACCTGCTGGTAATGAGTGGCTTAATTCTCCTGATGGAAAGCAATTTCTGTACTCTCAGAATTTCCAGGAGGTTCTTGTTGAAGCATATGGAACCGATATGAGCATGGGGTCATCCAGCTTAAATTCAGTTGAGCCATCATCGGGAATATCCTCTTTGTGCTCAATTTGTTGCTTACGCCCTAAGAATGCTGCAATTATCCATGGTCGGCTATCCCATCAAGCAACATGCTATCAGTGTGCTCGACGTCTTCTCAATAGTGGTTCTCGGTGTCCTGTATGCCGACGAAAAATTCACATGGTTTGTAAACACATCATAACATAGCACAAAAACAATAACAGATTTTACTTTTTCTTTTCATACACTTTCTCGAGCCCACATGATTACAAATATTTTTCTGGTACTTTTTTTTTTTTTTTTTTTTTTAGTCGATGAAAAAATTTTATCAGTTTTATGAACCAATGACTTTTCTATACAACACTTAAGGAAGGAAAATCTTTTGATATAATTATTTGTTATTTAAAAAATTTGCTTATAAGGCAATTCCTCTTGTATTTCTTTTCTCATTGGTTGTATGCCATATGACTTTATTTATGATTTCTTAATCCAACATCTCCTTTTCAGGCAAAACTATTTAAGTTCTTCCTTTTATTCACTACAAAATGGCTGATTTGCAGTTTAGAGATCCATACCTGAAACAGTTATTAGTACACAAGCAGGGGTTGATCAAGTTCTTAACGTTGAGGTTGAATAGCTTTGGGGTATAGGCTGTCTCTCTCTCATTTGGAGCTGTTTAGTAGTGTGTTTCAGAATAATCTAGAACACGTGTATAAATGTGATAAGCTTGACTTTAAAACATATTTCATGATTTTAAGTCCGGAGGAGATTGTGATGTCTTTATTCAGCCATTTCTCTTTACTTTCCCACCCACCTTCATCACCCCCCACCAGCAATTAACTTAAATGCAACATGTGCCATTATTCAAAATTGTGTCAGGATACATTGTTAAAAAAAGTATTTGTATAACGAATGCTTTGACAAAGTATTTGTATTCACAGAATAATCTGATGACTACCTAGTATTTTGATAATAGAAATCAGCTTATTTTATTAATATCATTCACTTGACTGCCGAGATTTCATCTTTGGATGATATATTCAGACAAGTGAGAGAGGGAGAGGATACTACATCAGTGTCACTTTCACTAAATATTTCCACATGCTGTAAAGTAGTTGTGGCCTATAAAGTGCAGGTACAAATGTGATCTACAACTTAGCATTGTTCACTTGAGGCAGCTTCATCTAGCATTTGTATACAGTTGTTTGATTGTTCCAACTTAGTGAAATTAAAAATATGCAGAATTTTGGTAAATAGTTCTTTGCTATATAAAATTACCAAAATATTCCGTTGCTGTGTTGACTTCATCGATTCATGGAAGATATACAGTACTCGTCACTTAATAAATAATGATGTAATGTTTTTTATACTGTACTGTATATGCATTGATAAAGTATAAATAAATATAGCATATGCATAGTTATGAAATGTTGAATATCAAATATTAATATATGATATACAGTACTACGTACTATACTACAGGTTGTACCTCTCTAGTCTGGCATTCTGTGGTCCGGAACGATATTAGTTTGCCCATGGAGAAAATTAATTTGAGTCTGGTACTTTCGATGTTTGGCTAAATTTTGCCTTATTTATCCTACTTTTTTTTTTGCAAATTACTACCTGTAATAAAGTAACATCCTAATAAACCAATGAAAATAACAGAGATAAAGTTAAATAAAAACTAAAAACAACAGAAAAAGTTTTTATGTTCTACAGCTTCAGCTAGAGTTGAACCTGATGACTTGACAACTTCGTCATCCAAGTAAAAACACACACTACAACATTGGCTGTCCTTTTGTTTTCAACTTTACCACCACTGTTGGGTAGAATTTGTGTTTTAATTTCAGAAACATTAATTACAATATATGTGAACAGTATATAAGTGTTGCTTTCATATTCTTATGTAGAGTAATGACGATATGTTTTCACATGTGCACACTTACATATGTGCAGTCTCACTTTTTTCTTTACCATTAATGGTTAGCTACTTTTATTTTTCCATTTATTAACATTAAATAAGATTACTTAAAATAACCATATTAAATTTTTACATTAATTTTACTACAGCTTCAACCAGGGTCTTATTTTCTTCAGTTTTATATGTAGAACCAGTCGGTCACTGGTTTGTAAACATTAACGAAAACAATGCCTCCTCGTGTTTTAATATTCTACGTATTATTAATGAATTGCATTGTTCATTTTGCACACAAACATTAATTCAATCAAAAAGACATTCAGTAATAAACAATAATGAATCTTTTGTACATAAGAGAAATGACGTTTTCACGATTATGCACGTCTGAACGTTGGCGGGCCACTCAAACCCGTCGAAATTCGAGTTCCCGCCATCGAAATTTTAAATTGTGTATTTTTTTTTTTTTTTTTTTTTTTTTTTCAAAATAAAAAACGTTGAATTAAAAACTCGCAAAATTTGAGAACCTACTGTACAACATTTAACCCTTCAATATGTCTTCAAAGACACCACGAAGCAGTGAAAGTGGTGCTAGTGCTTCCAAGCGTAAGCACAAGCCACTATCTATCCAGGAAAAGGGTGAATTTCCATGGTTCGGTCAGGTCCTGAGGTTGCCGGACTAGAGAGGTACAACCTGTAGTAGCAATAAAAAAATCCTGGTTTTACCAAATAATTAATGGATGCAATCATAAATATTTCATAATGTATTTGTATTCATAAAAGTAGAAGTTTTCATAGTTGTATTTGAATATCGAGGTCCTGTATTCACTGTATCCTTGTCTCCCACCCACCAATGCACACACACATACATACTGTATTCCTCCTTGACAGAAAATGCTTCAGAATTTGAGTGTTTGGGTTCTATTCAATGTAGTTATTTTTCTGCAAATCATTACACTATTTGAAACAAGGGACTTATGTTAAGGAATGTTGTGTGGCACTGGATATTACAATAGCTCATTAAATTTGTCCTTTACCTTTGTCTAGCCTTTTGGATTGTTTCACAGGATGTGAAGGGACTCGGTACATGCACAGTTACACTCTTTGCCCATACAGTACACATAACATATGAAAATAGCTTAAATTTAAAGCATATAAGCATGGATTCATAGCCGAAAGTTAAAAAGAGGTTTATATCGAATAATCCTCACATTTAATCAATTAGAATTTGTACCTATAGTATTCCCTTAGTTTTCAAGTACTATAGAGTATGTATTACAATATATTTGATTCTGGTGATTAAAGCTCCTACAGAAGTACAGTACAGTACTTGGATAATTGAGGAATGTAGAAATGAAACTGAAAATACCCATTATAATTTTAAATTGAATGGTTCTATTTTGTGGTTGCATTATTTTATTCTTTCTTAATTTACGGGCTTTCTTTTTACACAGATAAACGTTTCTTATAAATTATCTAGTACAGTACCTAGTTATCTATTTTGATAACTTTGAAGTACACCAAAATGTGATTTTTTTTAATATGTAGCATTTGTAGGTTTTGCAGTATATAACCAAAGAATTGTTTTTATTATATAATTATATATAGTATGTGTGTGTAAATTGTGTATTAACACGTGCATATCTACATAACATACTTAACCTCCACCAGTGAGGTTTGAATACGGAATCCCAGCATGGTAGTCATTGGTGCTACCCCCAGGCCACCAAGTGCACAAAGACCTTGTCTGTTCGATCATTATATGCTGAATATCCATTCATCTTGTCAAGCATCATGGGTCTCCAAAGGACCAGTCCTTGCTCCAGTAGTTCAAAGGTAACTACTCAAGCTTACTGGTAAACATGGATATATATATATATATATATATATATATATATATATATATATATATATATATATATATATATATATATATATATATATATATATATATATAGTGGGGTATGCTATAACGAATCTAATTGGTTCTAGAACCTTGTTCGTTATAGCATTCGTTTGTTATAGGATTAATCCGTTCCAGGCCCCCAAATACAACCACTTAACACTGAAAAATATAATATAAAATTGTAAAAATTGTAAAAAGTGCATAAATATGCATCTAAACCCCTGAAATAAAGAATATCATTAATATTTGTAATAATAAAACAATAAATTAGAAAAAAAAAAATTAAATTATGTTCGTTGTAGGAGTTTCGTTCGTTATAGCATTCTCAATTTTATAGGTAAAACCGTTCGTTATAGGAATATTCGTAGTAGGATCCGTTCGTTATAGCATACCCCACTGTATATATATATATATATATATATATATATATATATATATATATATATATATATATATATATATATATATATACAGTATATTGTATTAAATAACACATGTGAGTAAATTTCAAGAGGTACATGCACACCCACTAATATTGCCAGTTCCTGCCTTACGGATTTTAAGATATTTTTACAACAAACATAATTTGCTTAGGTATTCTTCAGTACTTTATGCTTTGGTAATGTTTGATCTACTGCCATGGTACTAAAGATGAAACATTAGTAAATTCAGTGATGGCACTCTCTCCTTCACTATCACAACCATTTCTTGCTGGTTTAGTTGTGTTTTTATAGTTTTGGACATCTCACATTGAATATGATTTTGTTTGGGTATTTTTAAAAAATTTAGTTAAAAATTGGCAAAGATTACTGTGAACACAAGTTTGTATTTTATAAGTTTAGGATACATGGAGACAACTGCAGTCAGGTCATCTGGGTTTATATACAGTAAACCCTCACCAACTCAGACCCCCTTGCTTTGGACACTTTTCCATCCAAATCAGACAATATCCAAAATGGACAGCCGAGTGTGGCCACCTGCTCGGATAACCTCAAGTCTCCCCAAGGGTTTTATAAGCTTCCCCAAAATTGGTAGTGTGAAATGAAGTGGATGTGTAGTGGTGATGTGGATCTATAGTCAAGGTCAAGTAAGTCATATCCATCATTGGTCTCGATACATCATCACAACTTTTAAGGTTAGTTTTGTTTTTGATTATCATACTTTTTGTTTCATACACCCACCTCTCGTTTTACGTGGGGATACGTTCTGGAAAACCACCGCTCAATTCAAAAAAGTGTAAATTAAACATAATTGTCCCATAAGAGTACATGTAAACGGTACAGGTTAGGGGAACCATCATATACAGCACAGGGTACGAACACTTAAACCAAGCACGTGGCCAACCTCCAACACACGCTCTCCTCTCTGAAGGCGGGTGATCGTATTTAATTTCACGTCTATTGCGATTGTTTTTCATGCCTTTTTAGCTTTAGGCACCCCAGAGGAGGCAGATGAACGTTTTCCAGACATGCTCAATGGGGAAAACAGTGTTTAAAACTAAAAAGGTACTTGATAAACACACAATGCAGATGAGAGCACAGAGAAAAGGTAGTGCTGGTGTAAATTGAGAAAGTAACACGCGGGAAGCTTGCTGGACGTCATCACAGTTGCTGTATAGAATACTCCATTATCTTCATCATTAGTAGTAATAATCTTTATTAAATTATTATTAATTATAATAATAAAATCGTAGATGTTGATATGACTGCAACTTTATAGTAATAGCTTACAAGTACCTCACCAGGCATCACATGCGACTCCACTGCCAGGCAACCAGGCGAATGTGCGCGGCAAATTTAAACAGTAATGAGCCCGTTATTTAAAAAATAGGTGTGCATAAATTAGCTTTTGGTATTAATTCAAGTTGCATTATTCCAAAAACGCTTAAATCAAACCTGCGTAAAATGCGAGCTACCTGTAATTCGTTATTTCTAAGTGTAACTAATTATTTTTTTTATTTACATAATGGTTCATAAGTAATATTTTATGTTTACTATACAAAATGCATCGTTGTCCATCCATATTTTCTTGAGAGTAACCGAGTTAGAACAGGTAATCAGCAAACGACTCCCACTCATATTGACTTTTATTGAGTACGGGGAAAACTTAAAGTTTTCATCAACGTTTTTCATTTGTTATTTATTTATCTATAATTTTCTATATTGAAATCTCTCAAGGTACTACTGGGCATGGACTTTCGAACATTTCATCTTGGACTACCTTTTCCCTCAATTAATCTGAGTTGGCGAGGTTTTACTGTATGTGTAATGTATACAAATCAATTATTGTAATCAGGCAATTGTATACAGAACATATTTGTTAATGTAGGAAAAACACATGCATATTTATTTATTTGTATTTTTGTGTATTTTTGCACCAAATGACTTCCTAAAAGTGGGAATTTATGCTATGTTATTGTGTGTGTTCACAAACACAAGCATTTTGCTAATTTAGCATTTTGTGGTGCTTTGGTAACTATTATATTATCAAAATAAGTGGCATGGTTTGCCCCATAATTCTTGTCATAGAGATCAGGTTTATTTAACATTTTTTCAGAAGCCTAACAAAAAATTTGCTTTTTGTCTAGGCTGCTCATCCCTATGACTGGGCATGATAAGTTCTGCAATATGATGGAATTAATAGAAGATAAAATTTTAATCTTAATATGGGAATAGTTATTTTGCAGTAGTATTGGGAGATTTCATTTATAGGTTATTATAGTAAGACATCCTAAATCAGAATCAGTTAAATATAAGGAGAACTTAAAGTGCATTACAGAAAATTTGTTCATGATTGTTTTTTATGTTTGCATTTTGTTTCAGATCATTAGCATTCAGCATATGTGAAAGCTAGTTTTGTGCACATCAGGCAGTAGAGTTTGTTATATTGTCAAAAACAGCCAGTCTTAATTTTCATTGTAATATCCAGAGTTATTACGACCCCCAGCAAAATACTTGCATAAGGTGAGTACAATACTGCAGCATTCATATGAAACAAAAAATTTTCATGCATGTTGAAAAAGTATGTGATACTCATTTTGTGTGTCACATGGTCTCATGTAACAATAATTAGTATCTGGCAAAATTTACATTGAATCTTTGGATTATTTTGACTAATATTAATTTCAATTTTTTTTTTAATATAGCTATTATAGGTATATTGCTATTTATTTGGACAAAAGTTATTAACTCACTATGGCAGATGCCATGACTCGCTAGAAGTTGTTGGGATGTAAATAAGCCCATTTAACTTAAAATGTGAACTCGACTTCTGAATAAACTATATAATATATAACATCATATCTCTTTTAACGGAGAAGAAAAAATCAAACAAATATTAGTGAAAAAGAAGCAACTTTCTTGTTTACATCCTCTAAGGCAATCATCGATCATCTCAAAACATAGATTCATGTCTGTTGCATCACAGTAGCTTCATATTTTTGCTATCTGTGTGTGTTTTGTGAACATTTTATGCCCATTGTGTCTGTAAAATGGTCTGCAAGTGCATGTACTGGTAAACCTTTTTCTAATGTTTACAGCCTATTTTGGAGCAATCATTATTTTGTCTTTCTCCATAAGCATGTTATAATGGACCCTTTTAATGGACATTTCACGTATCTCGTCCGTTATAAGAGGTATGATAGTATATAATACATGTATTTGCATAATTTTTTTTTAGCTTATGTAAAACTTGTTGCTAGGGAAGAATATTTAACTTAAACCAGGGAAGAAAATTTTTCAGTTTCAAGGGTTTGTGTGTACATATGCACACTTCAGAATAGTAAAGATTGGAAATTTTCTGCAGAAGAGCTTAGGACCTTTTTGAAGAAGTGTACTGTATATTCTGGGTACTGTAATGTATACTACTCAAATTGTAAATTTATAGACCAAGAAGCTAGCGGTTTTATTATAAGAACTATCTAGAAAGGGTTTGCTAATACTTTACATATTTTTTGTGACCCCTGTGCAACTAGTCTAAACTTCATAAAATATTTTGATTCCAATTTTCTAAAAAAAAAATCAATATACAGTAAAGTTAGAGATGGAACAATACCATCCTAACTCTTAAAGTTTGTTAATTATAATGAAAGAGGGTAAATGTAAAGGAGTTGGAGATGGTTGCATACCATCCCGATTCTGAACTGTCTATTATGATACTTGGCTGGCAAAACTAAATATATAACTACATAAGAATTCTTAATATCTGTACTTTGGTTAATTTTGCCAGTTTTGAACATAATTTTTTAAATAGACAACTTTTAAAGGATTCACTTTTTGCATTACCCCTCCTGTGTACTGTATTATCACTGCAAAATTTTTACAAAAACAATAGAGGAAAATCTGGTTTTATTGAATCCCCTTTAATAAAATGTCTTTGGGCATGACAATCCTTTCCCATTACTCAGAACATTGATTGATGTGACTAATTGTATATTGTGCTCAACAGCAAATGTTGTGTTTAGTCTGCATACTGTCCACTGCTGAATGCAATATTATGTAACTATTACTTTTTACTTCTTAACATTTACAGTGGTGGTGGGATTAGTGGATCTCTTTTTACTGACATAACCTGATGCATTGTCAGATCACTGATTGTATATAAGCTCACTTCTCTCATTTGGGGTGGGAGGGGATTAGTGCTCACATTAATGACCTGATGCTATGTCAGGTCACCCATTGTTGGGGTAGGGGAAGGAAAAAGGCTAATGTGCTCCAGTGTTTCCATTTTCCTGTAATTATGGTACTTTCACACTTACTAAATGTACAAGTACAGTACAATATACATAACTAATAACTTTTACATCTTTAACAAAATTTTTTGCTTGTACAATGGCAGAGGACTATGAATTAACTGTCAAGAGGCTAGGTTAGAGGGGATAAGCTGGGAGATGAATCAGGCAATCACAGGTATCCCATGTAGTCACATGACTGCATTAGCCAATCCCCTAGGCTCAAGTTACCCAAGGAGTCTTTGCACCCAGCACACGAGGACACAGCTGAACACAATGCAATCCTTTTTTTAATTCCCAGAACAAAGGTTTGGAGAGATTTTTCTCTTTATTTATCAAGAAAAATTCCAGGCCAATTGGGAATTCAGGCTAACTGAGATTACTGTATACTGTACTGTACAAGTAGAATGCAAGTATGCACACACCAATTTGCTTAATATCTTGCTATGCCAAACCTATATGTGCAAAGTGTGGGTGGCTGTACAATACCTCGTATCCCTCCACAAGGGGTGGGCCGACCCCATGGGGACCAACCATGACTCCCTACCGGAGAATCAGTGCACAGTTTGGAAGGTTCAAGATGATTGTACACTCTCCTGTCCCACCACCTGGGTAACAAAACTGGTGGCAATGAAATGAGACAATAATAGTTAATCCAATACTTACCAGCACTAATCCTTGAGTTAATGGAACTAGAAGAAACCTGTTTGTACTATACACTGTACCGGTACTTTGAAAATTTAATTTGAAATCGGTAAAAATGCCTTTAAAAAATATGGGATTATCACTTGCCTGTAATAATAGCATGAAAAGAAAGAATATGAAAATTTTAATGTTATATGAATCCTGAAAGGTTACACAGAAGCATAAACATAATGGAATGAAATTTATTTAAAATGACTTACAGCAACTGGGAATAATACATTTTAAATAATTGTATGGCAAAATACAGACCTGATAGTGCTCTATACATTCTGATCACATAGACTACGTATTGGTATGACTCTAGTCCTACTTCTCTATCCACTTGTGAAGGCCAAATAGGTACTCAGGATATTTATTTACAATAATATACACACAATAGTAATATAATAAGTTTATTAGGGGAATATCATGTCTGCCAACAACCTGAACATCAGGTGTATGGGGGCGAGAGGTCAACCGGACTACAGAGGAGTTCCAACTCCCCCGAACAGCATACCTAAATCTTTTGCTGCGAGGGCCAAGGAAACAGTACTTATTAATGTCCACCACAAGACAAATTCCTCGGCTTCCAAAATAACAACAAAACGGGTTAAGCAAAGATCAAATTTTATACTTCAAAACAGCCGAGTGTAATTAGGTCCAATGGCAAGACTCCTTCCTAAGAACCTCCCATTGGATTTGGTTTGGTAAACTCAGGATCTTCAACAAAGCTTCTGAAGATTTCAAGACCTGGCCAGTCACCAGCCACTACACCAAAATTGCCTCGGTCAGTTACCAGATCCCAACCTCACACTCCAACAATACAGAAAACATCTAATATACTAAGAAACGGCCTACACCATACTCCAGTCTTCCACCCCCGAGCAACTCCCTATAAAACTGGTAAATTTACAATGAAACGACCATCTAATCAAGCAATACACTCAAGGAAAGAAGCACCCAGACTCAATTAAAGGTAAGACCCCATCTTCCTCACCTTTCAAAATCAACATGTTACACTTCAAGCGTGGTATTTATATTGAAAATCCTGTTGCTAAATACCTTTAGGAGAACCCACCTTCCTCTCTCATAGTGAATGTTAAATCTCGCCACAAAATCAGCCCCTTGAAGATGAAGAGCGAGTGTTCTCCGAGAATGAAGTTGGTGAACCAGACAGAAAGGAAAGAACATGACACCCAGTACCAGCAGGCTCATGCGTTACTGAAGAGTTGGCAACTAGTTTTGCAAAATGAGAAGCTGCTCTCTTAGGGATCCAGGATAATCTGAATAGATTAGGATTGAAAATGAAAAGTGGCCAAACTAGTGAAGAGAAAGAGCTAGTCCAGCTAGTGCACATCAACAAAAGAATATGTACTCCTCTGCTGTGCCCATAATAGTGAATGAGGAGAATGAGAGACTATGGCGCCGCATTAAAATGTTAACAAATAAACAACTCGCTCTGGTTATGAAGCATAAAGGTAACAGGGTGATGGCTAAAGTAACCGTTGAGGAATACCTTATTGACGTTTGTCACCAAATGATTCCAGAAGTCCCACCCACAAGAGGGGGAGTGATATCTTCCCCAGAGCCTTGGCCATCATTAACTGGGTCCTTCATGGAAGTGTCCATCTATGAATCACGTGAAGCTCGGTACACTAACACACTCAAGTGAAAGTCAAATCTTTCGGAAAGTTTATCTGAAATACCAGTAATTAAATATTTGCATTTGTGTGGTTATTTATACTGTATTTGTATTCTCAAATGTGTTATATGTATACATTACTAAAAAATCCACCGAGTTTCTTATCAAACTTTTACCTTTTGATTTTTATTAAATACTTAGTCAATGTTATCATAGATAATTGTTTTTATACCGTATAAGGATGCTGCCAAGTTTATTGAAATGCCCAGTGTTTATGAACGTGAAGACGTTTTTATAATTATATACTGTATATAGCTTCAAAGGAGATGACTTACATGGAAAAATAGATAAATTTACATGTAAGATTACATTGTGGTGTAAATTGGTGGCTTCTAAACTATTCATTCCCAGGTTTTACCTTTATAATAAACATCAATACAGTTTTTGATTGTTTCATCATATCATTCACATTAAAACAAATAAAAAATTATTCTCATTATACATTAATTCTTCACTCTTGTTTTATTCTTTAGTTGTGAGAAGGAACCTCCAAACATTCCACCATTCCATTGTACTTAAAATAATTTATGGTTATACAGTATTTAGATACATTTCATCCTCAAACATTACCTCAGAATAGATTGGTGTAGCAGTCTATCATCAAAGATCCTATTTGGCCTTTACAAGTGCATGATAGTTTATACTAAAACTAATAATTATTAAAAATCAATTTAGGTTTCAGTTAACCCAGTGCAAACAAAGAAAAACCTACCTACTGTATATTGGTTTCGTATGGATTTTAGTTAAGATTGATAGATGCCAAAAGAGCTACACCTCTCTCATAGAAGCTGTGGGGACTCTGGTTAGCAGCCATGTTGAGATCCACAGTGAAGAGAATGTCTGTCCTGGTGGCATTGAGGTACACAGGCAAAGTTATCTTGTCATTTTCAGTGACCTCAACATGTACCCAATGAAGGGTAACCATGGCTAGATCAGTCATGATTGTTTGAGTCAGTTGTAAGAAATTTTCCACACATACAGCACCCTGAAGCTTCAGACCTGAGATAAGAAGTAATGCAGCTTAGAAATGTTTTACAATTATCAACGATTATATTATCTAAGCTAGAAATGATATTCATTAATTTAGACAGAACACTATAAAACCATTTAATACCGCAAAATTGTTTTGGCAGTTCATCTACCTTACTATTCCAGCCTCAAATTTCTGGAAAAAGCTATCATGTACCAAGTTACTATATGTACATTTGTTAACAAAAATTATCTTTCAAGAGGGGTCCGATGAAATTGGCACTGAACAATCCCGTTGTCTCGCTATGGTTGGAAGGCAATATGATTCATGAATAAAAGTATGCCTCAAGAGCCTTTATCAAAAACCTTTGTTCGTGGGTTTATTTTGTTTCGCATAAGAACTGTGAAGATACTCTTTTACCAAGTGTACATCAAAGTGAAACATTGAATAACATTAATACATAACTGTAATACTTGTTAGGAGAAAACTGTAGTTACTGAATCCAGTGCAAAAACAGTCATCACACCAAAATGCACTTTGTACAGTAATTTATTTGTGCAAAAAAATGGTATAGAACTCATGTTTCTTTCCAATACAGTCATGCGTCGGTTAACGTCCAATCGCATATACGTCCGTGCCCCCCCCCTCCCCCCCCCGCGCATGACTGTATATGAGGTAGCCAGAAATTAATTAATTGCTTGACAATATAATATGAACTTGCTGCACTATATGGAGTGGAACCAGGTCGTGCAGATTAGCAGTGTCCAACTTGCCCAGACTAAGGTGCCGGACAAGTGATTTTTCATGTCTCTATGCCCAGCGGACAACCCAACATTTTGAGGTAAATAACTAGATGGGAATTCGTCAGGTGCTGCATGACCCCCATCTTTCAGTACATGTTTAACCATGGAGGTCATCAGTGTACCAGGATTAATAACCCATATCAGGTGCAGGTCATTTACCTCTACTTTAAGTTGCCAACCCACCTTTTAGTCAGTCGGTCAACATTTCAAAGGAGCCATCAAGCTGAGAGACTGTAGAAGTGAGGTGACAGGAGTAATCACCTCGCATGATAAGTGTTAATGCCACTAACACCAGATCATGAGGTGGTGGTGGGGGGGGGGGGGTAGTTAGAGTAGGTGTTAACAGGTGCTGCCTCCACCTATGCACACCCTGCAGGTGAGGTGACAGGAGTTATGACATCCCAATACAAGGGTTACCACCACTGACACCATTTAGATTTTGACTGTTTAAAGCTGTTTATCTGATTTTCTATTGCAAAAAAAATATATATATAATACTGTAATAAATAAGTAAATGTTCCACATAATCTACACAACCTGGGTGGTACCATTGCCTCCATACTGACCCCCCCAGTAATTGACTTGGTCTAGTCTGACTATTATGCTGTATGAGTAACATTTTAACTGCAGTAAGGTTTGTACAGATACCACAGTGATATTTCCCATACTTCAAAAATCAAGGGTAAACAGCCTCTGCTTCCTTGTACCACATGATGAAGGATGTGGTGCAGTGCAATAAAATTTTTTAGATTTTAAGTTTTTCTACTTATTTTTAAATTAAAATTTTTAGGTGGGTTTCTGTCCAATTGTGATGATTTCCAAGCAATTCATGTCCACTAGTATATTGTGGATAAAAAATCTGTAAATTTTGGTTTTGAAGACATTGATGTTTACTTCAAATAAGGTAATACTGTACAGGTACATAGTGATAGTTAATATAATTTGTACTTATGTACAAGAGTTTGGAACAGGCTACATGTACAATACCACTATGATAAAAAGTAACAGAATAACTGCAACATACCTTTGACGTTAAATCCTCCACGAGAGGTAACCTGGCCTTCTGAATCGGCAATTGAAACATCAAGCATAAGTTCCTCTAATGACCAGGAGTTAGCCTGAGCAACACACTGACGAGTAGCTGTAATGTAAGCTTCTGGATTGAAGAGCCCTCCAAGCCAAACTGTAACATTCTGAAAATAGATGAAAATAAGAAAATGACAATTCTGTTGCACAAAAAAGTTCCTGCATGTGTGCAAATGAGTACTTACCTAAGGGTGTAAGTACAGCAGAGATCAATGTAATGAAATCATGACATTCCTGTACAGTACTGTACAACAGTACATAATAATTAGTCACATTAGGTTAGCACTTGAGAAGGTACTGTACAGGGGAATAAATACCAAACATTACTTACGACGTTTAAAAAATTTTCTTTTAAGTACTATATGCATACAGATCCTTAAACAGCATGTTCACGAGTACCTATACTGAGATTTTGAACAAAATCAATTTTTTGGACGAAATGCCAAAAATTGTAAGGCTTACCCCTTACAGTATTTTTGGCCAAAAATACTTTTTCTCTCAGAACTAAAATATAATGTGCCTAACTATTTAAGTACATCCAGAATAATACACAATCACCAAGCAATGACCTCGAAAACCCTTAAGTGGCGAGTAATTAGCATTGCAAAAGAAATGTACAATTATCTAAAAATCACTTGAACAAGCAATAATTCAGATATCAAATTTTAGTTAACAGATCCTTAAGCAGCATGTTTAGGAGTACCAATACTGAGATTTTGAACAAAATCTATTTTTTGGACGATATTGTAAGGCTTACCCCTCACAGGAATTTTGGCCAAAAATACCTTTTCTCTCAGAACTAAAATACAATGTGCCTAACTATTTAAGTACATCCAGAATAATACACAAGCACCAAGCAATGACCTCGAAAACCCATAAGTGGCAAGTAATTAGCATTGCAGAAGTAATTAAAAATTTCTAAAAATCACTTGAACAAGCAATTATCCAGATATCAAATTTTAGTTAACAGATCCTTAAGCAGCATGTTCAGGAGTACCTATACTGAGATTTTGAACAAAATCTAATTTTTGAAAGAAATTGTAAGGCTTACCCCTTACAGGAATTTTTGGCCAAAAATACCTTTTCTCTCAGAACTAAAATACAATGTGCCTAACTATTTAAGTACATCCAGAATAATACACAATCACCAAGCAATGACCTCGAAAACCCATAAGTGGCAAGTAATAGCATTGCAGAAGTAATTAAAAATTTCTAAAAATCACTTGAACAAGCAATAATTCAGATATCAAATTTTAGTTAACAGATCCTTAAGCAGCATGTTTAGGAGTACCAATACTGAGATTTTGAACAAAATCTATTTTTTGGACGAAATTGTAAGGCTTACCCCTTACAGGATTTTTGGCCAAAAATACCTTCTCTCAGAACTAAAATATAATGTACCTAACTATTTAAGTACATCCAGAATAATACACAAGCACCAAGAAATGACCTCGAAAACCCGTAAGTGGCGAGTAATTAGCATTGCAAAAGTGATTAAAATTTTCTAAAAATTACTTGAACAAGCAACAATTCAGATATCAAATTTTAGTTAACATATCCTTAAGCAGCATGTTTAGGAGTACCTATACTGAGATTTTGAACAAAATCTAATTTTTGGAAGAAATTGTAAGGCTTACCCCTTACAGGATTTTTGGCCAAAAATACCTTTTCTCTCAGAACTAAAATATAATGTGCCTAACTATTTAAGTACATCCAGAAAAATACACAAGCACCAAGAAATGACCTCGAAAACCCGTAAGTGGCGAGTAATTAGCATTGCAAAAGTGATTAAATTTGTCTAAAAATTACTTGAACAAGCAATAATTCACATATCAAATTTTAGTTAACAGATCCTTAAGCAGCATGTTTAGGAGTACCAATACTGAGATTTTGAACAAAATCTATTTTTTGGATGAAATTGTAAGGCATACCCCTTACAGGAATTTTGGCCAAAAATACCTTTTCTCTCAGAACTAAAATACAATGTGCCTAACTATTTAAGTACATCCAGAATAATACGCAATGACCTCGAAAACCCATAAGTGGCAAGTAATTAGCATTGCAGAAGTAATTAAAAATTTCTAAAAATCACTTGAACAAGCAATTATCCAGATATCAAATTTTAGTTAACAGATCCTTAAGCAGCATGTTCAGGAGTACCTATACTGAGATTTTGAACAAAATCTATTTTTTGGACGAAATTGTAAGGCTTACCCCTTACAGGATTTTTGGCCAAAAATACCTTTTCTCTCAGAACTAAAATATAATGTGCCTAACTATTTAAGTACATCCAGAATAATACACAAGCACCAAGAAATGACCTCGAAAACCCGTAAGTGGCGAGTAATTAGCATTGCAAAAGTGATTGAAATTGTCTAAAAATTACTTGAACAAGCAATAATTCAGATATCAAATTTTAGTTAACAGACCCTTAAGCAGCATGTTTAGGAGTACCTATACTGAGATTTTGAACAAAATCTATTGTTTGGACAAAATTGTAAGGCTTACCCCTTACAGGAATTTTGGCCAAAAATACCTTTTCTCTCGGAACTAAAATACAATGTGCCTAACTATTTAAGTACATCCAGAATAATACACAAGCACCAAGAAATGACCTCGAAAAAAGTGGCCCGTAAGTGGCGAGTAATTAGCATTGCAAAAGTGATTGAAATTGTAAGGCTACCCCTTACAGGAATTTTTACTTGAACTAAAATACAATGTGCCAATAATTCAGATATCAAATTTTAGTTAACAGACCAAGCTTAAGCAGCATGTTTAGGAGTACCTATACTGAGATTTTGAACAAAATCTATTGTTTGGACAAAATTGTAAGGCTTACCCCTTACAGGAATTTTGGCCAAAAATACCTTTTCTCTCGGAACTAAAATACAATGTGCCTAACTATTTAAGTACATCCAGAATAATACACAAGCACCAAGAAATGACCTCGAAAACCCGTAAGTGGCGAGTAATTAGCATTGCAAAAGTGATTGAAATTGTCTAAAAATTACTTGAACAAGCAATAATTCAGATATCAAATTTTAGTTAACAGATCCTTAAGCAGCATGTTTAGGAGTATCAATACTGAGATTTTGAACAAAATCTATTTTTTGGACGAAATTGTAAGGCTTACCCCTTACAGGAATTTTGGCCAAAAATACCTTTTCTCTCAGAACTAAAATACAATGTGCCTAAATATTTAAGTACATCCAGAATAATACACAATCACCAAGCAATGACCTCGAAAACCCATAAGTGGCAAGTAATTAGCATTGCAGAAGTAATTAAAAATTTCTAAAAATCACTTGAACAAGCAATTATCCAGATATCAAATTATAGCTAACAGATCCTTAAGCAGCATGTTCAGGAGTACCTATACTGATATTTTGAACAATATCTATTTTTTGGACAAAATTGTAAGGCTTACCCCTTACAGGATATTTGGCCAAAAATACCTTTTCTCTCAGAACTAAAATATAATGTGCATAACTATTTAAGTACATCCAGAATAATACACAAGCACCAAGAAATGACCTCGAAAACCCATAAGTGGCGAGTAATTATTCTCATTTCAGCTCAAACAACCTCTTCCCATGTCATTCTTGGACAACCCCTGGTGGCCCCTCCCCTCAATATTTAAGCTATCATTTGTTTAAACAAAGCCTGTATACAGTAATCATAAAACATATCACTGATAATTATCTCTAGAGAATTCATTCCCCAGAATAACTTAATACAGTACCGTAATATAGTCCATCTACTTGTGGGTAACTGTTCTTTACACCTGAGAATACAGCAAAATTTACCTTGAGTTCTGTGGCACCAAACTGTGCAACCTGCTGAGAGATCTCTTGAAGTTGTCTTACTCTCTGTGAAAAGTCTGTTACCCACTGAATAACGGTTGCCCCACGTGGCACTGTGTAAGCCTTCCACTGGTCAGGGATGATGCCCTTTACCAGCTGACTCACCATTGTTCGGTGGTAATTTGTTTGCTTTTTCTCACCCTGAAATAAGATTGGATATGATTATGATAATTAGAAAAAAATTCTGAAAATTATAAAACAGAAAATATGATAAGCAGCTTAGAGACAGTTGCTGGGCCAAGTAGAAGTTTTGTGGTGAATGATTAAAAAAGTTTGTAAAGGATTACGAAAAAATTACCATACAGTACATTAAGGTGTAAATAGTTTTATGAGAACAGTTATGGAGACTATGAAATGAGAACTGGAGGCAAAGATGGCCTATTGGAATTTTGTTAATGATTTTTCTTATATACATGGAGTAATTCCAGTTGGCAACTAAATATTATAACTACAGTCAAATAGAAAACTTTAAAAATAATTACTTGTTTCAGAAATACAATAATTGACATGACCTTGGTATTCACTTACTGATCCTGTATTCTTCTAATATTTGGTGTTCTCAACTCTATTTCCTATCTTAAGAACTCTAACTACAGTTGATCACTTGCAATTGAACCCATTTCAGATATAAGCACTGCTGGTATAATGTGCTTGCCTCTCACCAATGTGGCCAAGGTTCAATTCCAGATCAGATGTGAGAACAGTGATGACTAGTGTGATCTTAATGAACATTACAGGTTTCCCCGAGCACACTAGTATTGTCTTGTACTAATTACACTGGATCTGTGAACGACTATCTCATTAGGAACAACTGTGGTATTTATCAAACCAACAGCTTCTATTCATTGTGGGAGAGGAAATTAATCTCTTGGCCTCATTACTGCAAAACAAGGGATGGCAGTATTTTTTATAAATACAATCTTCCCCCAAGAGCACATAAACCCAAAGTGACATGTCTAATCCAAAGCAAAACTTCCTCAGTGTCTTCTTTTCCACATACACATGGATTGAGAATCACACACATGAGCTTGACCTTCAATCTTAGTCTCTTCAAAACAGTTCTCCCACAATCATCTTCCACATTAACTATAATTTAATAACAACAACCTAACAAGTTCTATGATATTCTTTTTATCCATCATTAATTTGTTTGCATTCATTATCAACTGGTAAATTTTTTCAAGACATGATACCACATTTTTTAAATTTTTATTCCTCAATACCAAATTGACGTGTGCCTACTTCTCCAAAATAATATTAATCCCGTCTTGACAGCACCCTAGATTTCTAAACTATATTTTTGAAGACAAGTGTTTCAAAATATTAAACTGAACATATAAGTACATACCTTACATATGAGAATAACGTCACAAAGATCACTCCTCACAATACGAAGTAATTTGGCTCCAGAATTGACCTCGCGTTCAAAGTAACGATACAAGGGATCCTTGATGTTATCTAAAGTGCGACGTAATGTGTTAACCGATTCAGGCAGGTGGGAGAGCCAAGTCACAGCAGACTGTTGAAGTGTCACCATCCAAGAAGGTCGACCCTGGAACAAAAAAAATACTTCTACAGTCCTGGAAAACTTATGAAATAAGAAATGAATACTGCAATTTATTTTTTTTATGAACACTGTTGGTACAGGTATACCTTGCTATATGTTGTCTTGCCATACCTTGTTTTACTTATACAGGTACGTTGTTGATGAATTAAGAAAAAAATAAAGAAAACAAAAAAAAATTCTTACCTCCACATCTTTGCGCTCAGTGCCAGGTGTTTCATCTCCTCCATATGCTAACTCATCATCATCCTCCAGTACCTGCATCTTTAACAATTTGCTGAGCATGTCAGTACCTGTAAATGGGATATTCAATTAATTTGACCACCTGTGAATCCCTTTAATAAAGAAATAATAATTTTAATAGAGGTATTTTCTTTGATTAAGAAACTAACAACCCAAACTCATTGTGTTTAGAGCCTGTGTTAAGCTACAGTATCCCTGTTCTTTACATCCCAAAACCATTCTACAGTTAAGTCATGAATCAACTAATTACATACCTTTGGTGGTGAGGAGGACCTTCTCAGCATTGTTTGGCAGTCCCAGCCAGGATGGAGACTGGCGATCACTGAGAGATTCAACCCAGTGTAGGAACTGGTCTCTTCTGATCCCATCCGGCATGGTGATATTCTGCCCTTCATGACCTATATGGAAAAACATTAATTATTTAGTTCACTACCTGTGTGAAAAACTCATCAGGTTCTTTTGCAATTTGCAGCTCTATGAATGACTTTCTAGGCTTACATATTTTTTCAACCTAAACTCTCCTCACAGTTGGGTGTACAACACAATTTATACCTAAACACAAATGGTGATATAAATTCTTACGCTTACATATGCTAAGTGATACCCAAGACTATAGGAATTATTAAAATCACTTTCTTTTCTTTATGAACACATTTATAAAATTAAGGTCTTCAAAATGTGTAACTAAACATTAAAATATTTGTCCTCATCATGCTTTCCGATACAACTAAATTTTAATAAACCATAAACCATTGCTTGGTAAACCTTACCATCAACATTGCAGACAAGTGGGAAATCTGGGTCAAAGCTCCTTGGTGTAAACAGTTTAGCGAGGAATGAAGTCAAGAGTCTCTGGTCAAACTCATTATCAATTTTGCCACCATAGATGCACTGTGACATTAAAGTGGCCAAGGCATCCCATGGTACTTTCTCTGGTGGAAGATTAGTCCGTCCCTGCAAAGAAAAATTATGTACAATATCATATAAAAGCTATATATACTCTTCCAAGTTTTACACTGAACTAAGAAATTCATGTAAAGAAATATTAATAAGAAAGGGTCGAGTATAAAAAAAAATAATCATGATGAGTCAAAAATGGAAAAAAAGAGAAAAAAGAAATGAGATTATTTTTCATTTTAAATTGCATATACTATACAGGTACAATACATTCAGTGAATCATTAACTTATGCATGATAGATGAGGATTCAATGAAAATAAAAGAGTCTTTGCTGCAACACACTAGACTTACCATTGCTGTTGCCTCAATCCAAGTGTCAAGGGTGTCACATGCCACCCTCAAGTCCGACTCATTGAACTCATAATATTTGGCCCAACCAAGTGGTGCATAGCGTAGACGTTCTTGTGTGATGGCATGGAACCAGGCCAAGATAAAGTACAGACGTGCTCGTTCACTGGGAGCACGCATCATGCGTGATGCTGGTACCTGAATGAGTGCAAGACAGAGAGTGAGACATTTTATTTTTTATTTTATGCACTCTTAGGAATAAGTAATTATCACAAATGTACTTTCTTCTTTAAATGAAAACTTAAATTTAGAGAAGTGAAAATTTTAGAATTTTGCAAGTATCAAGAATACAATACAATACAGTACAATGATAGTTCCATGAAACAGCCTACTATATATTAATTTTTCCCCACCCTGATCAATTTAATAAGAAAATATAATAAAAATCAAGAATTGTTTACCACATACAGCACAGTAAATTCACATGCATTTCAACTTGAATATCCTTTAGCTATGGAAATACTTACTGTACTAAAGGTTCGCATCAAATTAGCCCGTACACCGGGTGGTGGCTCAAAGACAAACACACGACCAGCACGCAGGAGGTTGACAGGCAAACGTGGAGATATTTCCATTGTAAGGAAGAGACGGAACTGTGGGTGAGGGTGAAGTGAATGCAATTTCTTCTCCAATTGCACAAGCCAAGCAGGAGCCAGATGTACATTCTTAAGCATCACCCACCTATTTAGAAAAACAAATTATTTTCAAAGCATTGTCTATCATCACATCAACAGAAGCAAATATTCTTCACAGATAAAGTTACTTTATACTTTGACAAATAATGATAACTAACCTGCCATTTTTAACAGCAGAATTAATTGCTTTGTCTGCTTGGTTGAAGCCTTCAGCTGATCCTATTGCTATGGCTGTGATTGGTTTATTCAGCTCAGCAGCCAAGTCATCAATTCTAGCAGAGGCATCAAAGCCCTGGACAGCACACATGAGTACTGGAGTACTGGCCTTAACTTCATTCTCAACAACTCCTGCCATGTCAACTTCACGTTCACCAATGGCTAAGAAACCATCACCCAGAACCTATAAGGACAAAACACAATCTCATTACAGAAGCAGTCCTATATTTCAGCTTTGTGAGCAAGGATCAAGTCCCAACTAAGTCCCCAACTCTTATTATGTATTGTTAATTAAAAAAAAAGAAGATATTTTTGACATTAAACATAAACATACATAAAATAAAGATTGGCCCATTTAAATGAGAATTTTGTAAAAGCTACCATTATTATTAGTTGGTTCAAACTTACTTTATCATTCTTTAAAAACAACACTTTTGGTTTACTCTTACTTGAGAAAACTATATTTGGCTTTTAAGTTATAATACAGTACTGTAGTTCAATTATGTATCCAGGTTCCTAAAATATTTGTATTTATTAAATACTTACATTGTTTACAAAGACACTAATTGCAGCACATAACCCATCAGGTCTGAATGCCTGGATAGCCAACACTTGGTATACGGACTGACCAACTGGTGTGAGCTGTTTCTCTGTCTCCCAGACGTTTGGAACATTTACTTCAGGAGAATCAGATTCAAGCCAACCTTGGAAGTCCTTGTTACCCACAAATCGATCCACATTGCCAAAAGCATGTACTCTGTATAAAAATACCAGTATAATTATTAAGTGCTTAAAATTATAATATTATCAAGTTAGTAGTTCAAGCACTTATATCTCAGAATAAATACTGTACATTAAAAAGACTAACTTTGCATACACCTGTTATTAAGCATTAAGCAGGTTTAACAGTCAAAAGGACAGTATCTTATTTCTAAACCTATATGAAAACTTAAAATATATCTAGTAACAGTCAATCTAAGTACAGTACTGGGACCATCTTGATATGTACTTATGTGTTGGGTCAAGGAAGAACAAATAAATAGTAACTCCAGACCCATCTTTCAACATACCGTAAGTTATTCATCAAAATCGACCAACAAACTAGTGTCATCTCCAAACATCAACTGACTTCTCTCCCTTTGCACCCTATACATTATCCTTATTTTTCAAACCTGCATCCATTTCCCTTATTCTTCCCTCTTCTTATTTATGTATCCATGAAAGTTTGGAATCATTACAAATCCATTACATAGTCCTATTTCCAATGGGGAAATCTGTCTCTTCCTGAAACAGTCTAGTTCAGAATTACATAATAAACCTCCAGCCATAAATGTAAAGTACTTACTTGTTACTCAGCCTCAACATGGAATCTGTTTGTTCTGGTGTAAGGCCGGCCATTGCAGATATGGTCGAGTTCAAGAGACCCTCTTTACTCTTCAACAGGAATTGGAACTCAGAGTCATATGAACTCTCAGATGTGACACCACGGAGACGGATGCGAGCCAACAATACAGCAAAGACAATCTGGTCAGTGTGCAGCATACCACGTGCTACACGCATATATGTCAGCTGCAAAAGATGATGATTTTTAGTTGTATATATTACTTCCTTCTTCACTAAATATAATACTTGGAAGGAGAATATCTTAAAATTCACAAAATAAATCATTAGTGATGAAAAAGTACAGGAAATTAAATATAAACAAGGTGCAATAAATCTTTGTATACATGGTAAAGATCAGGACCCAAACAGCAGGTTGGAGCCAGGGTGATATTAACATTATAAAATTCTGTGTAGGGCGAAATGAAATAAGATCTCTCTCCCACGCACACACACAAAACTTTCATTCATATTCTCACTGACGTAAACGATGTGTTCTATGTTACCCCCTTTCAATCACATCTACTAGGAATTTACCATACCAATGTTTTATCTATTCTATCATACTTTTTCAAAATCCATATATACTACGTCACAAAAATTTAATTTCCATTCGCCATATTTTCCCACCCCTGTTCTTTAATGTAAAACCTTAACATATCCAATTCCTTTTCAGAATCCACAGTGCTATTACCCAAACACACAAAAACAATCAGTCCTTACCCCCTCAACTTCATTTCCCACTCATCACTCTGATCACATTCAAGCAAAATCACATTTCCCATATTAATTTGTTGTAACTATAAGTGGAGGAAGTGTTATTAGCCTCACATATCCAGAATAAGAGGGGAGGTGAGTCAGGCCCCAGGCAGATAACTGGCTCCCATGTCCATGACTACTATACTGTGTTCTGTACAGTCAAATTAATTTTCTTTTTAATTTAGCATTATTTTTCAGAAACTTTTCATTGTATACAAGTTATTGTTGTTTGGCTTAAAGTACTATAACTATTAATACTTACCCGGAAGAGATCATTGGTTATGATTGACAATCTGCGTGCATAATCAGTTTGGTCCTTGATGTTTGGATTGTTGGAAAGAACATCAGTGAACACATCAAGGAAGAAGTGCAAGGAGTACTGGTACAAGAAGTGAACTTGATGGAGAGCATCCAATGTGAAATAGATACTTGAACATGCCTGAAAAATAAAAATGGTTTCAATCCAGTTTGCCTTTGGAGATAAGCTTCAAAATACTTTCATCAATGACATCTTTACTTGTTAATTCTTGAGTGAAGTAACTGAAGTATGTCTATTTCTACTACAATTTAACAATAAGTTGGCAAATAAATTTTTCACCTACAATGGCTCGTTAAAATCTTTTTTTTAAAAAAAGAAGAAACAGAAAGACTTCCAGAGGTACATTATGCTATTAGTATTACCACTTTGGAACATATCCACCTGGAATTAAGGCAACATAACTGATGGGAAAACGTCATAACAAATAGGGCGTCATTGGGATTCATAAGGGGTGACAAATATTAGGCTCCCCTGGACAAAATAAAGAAATCCTTCCAAAGGGAATGTACAGCAATAAATACATGTTTCATTTCCAACATGTCAACACAACCCTATCTTCCAACAGAGGTTTCATAATATGCTAAGCCTTCAGTTGAAAATTTAAGGGAAAGTAAACATGTCTTTCAGGTGACGTGGAAACCAATGAACTAGCTCAGCTTAAAATTTTTCCTCTCATAACAACAACAAAGAATTCCTGATTTATGCTCTTAAAACAATGTATATGATCCATATGCTGTTTTCAATGATTTTCATGTTCTTCTAAGATGATATAGTCTCAAAGGACAGCAAAGCATAAAAGTAATTACGTATCTTGCTTCTGCATTATCAGAAGAATAAGGAATGTCTCAAGGGGGACAAACTGGGCATTTAGCCATCTTTTCCCTTTTTTATCTTATAGCATAACTTAATTCAGCCACAGGCTCATAAAGGCAAATAATTGATATTCTAACACTGAACCAATCGATAGGAAGCCACATTTGGATATGACAATAGCACATGGGTCTAACAAAAATAAATTTATATTACAATCCTTTACAGTATAATGCATTCAAAGCATTTAAGGTGATTTACTTTAAAATATAACAGTACATCAAATAAATCTTACCGAAGACAGTGGCAGATACTGCTGAGATACCATTTCAATCTCATGCATAGTCTTGTCTGTTTCTTGCACTTTCAATGAAATGTCAGCTGCTTCCTTCTTGAGAGTCTCCAGAGTTGTGATTACAGAATCATCATCCAAAATCTGGCCCTTAGCATCATTTAGTACTTGCAACAGGTTTTTCTCCAATTGCCTTAAGCGAAGTTGGAACTCACCTGTATTGTAAATTATATACTGTAAACTGTGCTGACAAATGTTTAGAAAATTGTAAAATTTACTGAAAGCCCACTTATGTACACATACTGTATTTCCTTTCATTCATATCAAAATCCAAATAATCTTGAAAAAACTCACCCTGCAGTTTGAGCAAATTGGACCTCTTGTCATCAATATCCGGACGTTCTGCCTTCAGAACTTGGTTCAAGCACTGAGACTGAAGTGATGATCTTGTCACAGTGAAATTAACAAATGTGACACGCGAGCAAATGTCAGGCGGGAACTCCACAGTTGGGTCACGAGTGGACAGGAAGATGGTAAATGCCGGGGATAAATCAATATCCTGAAAAGTAGAATAAGCATTTCAGGGCATTAGAATGAATTTATACATCATGCAAGAATCAACATGCTGTATATAAGAAATACACTTAATGTAAATAAATAGTAACATTTAATGATTCATCTGTTCATATCTGGTTCTCAAACACTAGTATACAGAGCAATAATTGCCAAAAATGAATAAATCAAACTAATCCAAATTTTCCATGAAAGTAATACCGTTAAAGAAATGCTTTTCTTATGAAGATAATTTTCTTTCTTTCATAAGACATAAAATCATGCCTTGACCTCACTTAAAATCTTGTACAGTAGTAGATTTCCATTTTTCTTTCTTCTACAATCTACCATATCTTTAAATCTTTCAACTATTCTTAACATTTCCAATTTCTTTTGCTTCATTTTATGTTGTACAAAGATTAACCAAACACAGCAATTCCAATTGTAGAGAAAACCTATGCTATCATCAGTAAGATACGCAGACATTAGAAAACTAATATATAGCTTTAGGAATGATTCCCCACACATCTCTTCATAAACTGATACAGTATTTCAGAAATTAAGGCATATACAAGATACATTAATTAAACTTAACTGTACAGGTACAGTATTGTAATATATTTTATGAAATATTGGTTAAATACAGTTTCTATAAATTCTCATTATGTCATTTACCTTTACAGCCTCAAACTGTCTTCTTAAAACACTAAATTTACCTCAAAATAGAAAAACTTTCTTATCTAAGCATTCAAGTAAGTTAAACACTGCACCAAACCATACCTGGTCTCCCAGAGTTATGAGTACGCGTCCTCCAGTCCTGCGAAGTTCGCGATTTAGTACAGGGTTGAGAATTGGATCATAATTTTCAACATCTTGAACCAAAAGTGGATTACCAAATCGGAGAGCAGATTCGAGATTCTTTCTGAAGGAGTCATCCAGGAAGCTGGTTCTAGTAATTTTCTTGTCCTTGAACTCATTCATGATGAACTCTGTGGCCTGACCAGATGGATCAATGATCAGTGGGTACCTATTGAATCTGTTTAGCATAATGGCATTCTCTGTACAGAGTTCATCTGCTGGAAGGGCATTTGCCTGCCATCTCAGTCTCTCGTCTGGATTCGACAAATACTCAGTTCGAGCAATATCTCCACGGAATTGGATACTTGCTTGTTGGAGATGATGACACCAATTTGTGAAAAGGTTCTCACGGAACTGCTGGTCAAAGTATCCACCATAAGCTAGGAATGCAGATGATAATAACACATCACCAATAATTGTTGACATTTGGAACTTGAATGTATCTGATGTTGCAGCCCAGCGATCCTTCTCAATACTAAGATTTCTTATAAGAGCCATGGAACGGTCAACCTTGGCCTGTACATTCTCAAGATCTGTTTTGATGGCTTGGGCTTGAGAAATGAGTACAGCATACTCATCCTTATAGGCAGCAATGGAGCGCTCAAGGCGATCGATGAGTGTTTTCACGTCTTCATGCTTTTTCTTGTTCTCGTCTGCCATATTTTCTAAGCTACGCAACTCATTTCTTAAAGGCTCCACCCTCTTCAGCATGTCAGCAAATTCTATTTGAGCTATGGCCCACTTCACCATTGGGCCACAAGCCAAAGAGGCACGATTGACTTTTTCAAAGTTGTAGTCTGGATTACTTAGGTACCTATGCTTCATCTTTTCTCTAATATCATCCATCAAGTCATCAGTGTTGAAATTAACAACAGTATTAATAAAGTTATCTTTCATAATAATTGACTTGATTGTCTTCCAGTCTGAAGTAGCTTCACCAAGAAGAAGACAGATGGACTCCAGAGCTAACTTAACCATTGGTGGAGGATTAGCCATTGATCGAACTTCAACCAAATGTTGCTTCTTGATACTCTTGACAGCATTCTGAGCATCTTGCACAGCAGGTTCCACCTTACTCAGATCTTTCATGACCTCTTCACGTTTGATACTGATGCCTTCTGTTTGGGCTTCAAGCTGTTCTTGAAGTTCTTGACTGGCAACTTTCTGTTTTTCTGCTTCTTGCTGGTCTTTGACCATCTGCTTCAACTTCAAATTGGCTGCTTCATTTTTAGCTTGAAGTTCCTGATTTTTGATGGCCAAAGATTTTTGCATTTGTTCCACCTGTTCAACTGTCTCGGCTATTTTGCCTAAACCAACATTCAGATGAAGCTGTTGCTCTTCAAGTTCAGATCTCTTCTCATTATACAGCTTTACAAAGTGGTTAATGAAGTCTAGATAGTGTCTTGGAGTAATAGCCATCACTGTGCTTCCTCTCTTGGCCAAACGAGTATTTGCTCGGTGGAGTGTCTGATGTACATGCACAAAGGCATTGATGATGGCATCACGGTGAGATGGAGGTACAGGTAGACTTTCATAGGCAACAGGGAAATAGTCTGGAGGGGTCCAATTCATCTTCCCCAGGTCAATACGATTAGTGAATTCCTTGCCAACTTGGAACAAGGCACCATTAGACCAATCTCCAAACCAGTTGAGTACACACCTGTTGAACAAGGCTGGGGAAGTAGCAGCTCGGTCCTTTAGTCCATCTGTGGATGGGTTCATAGTGAATACAACATGAAGATTCCGCATAACTTGTCCAGTGAACCATTTGTAAAGCTCTTCACTCGAGTCAAGCATTAGGCCTTCTCGCTGACTTCCTTCTTTACATTGTGTCATAAGTGTTGTGTATTCATCACCCTCAAATAATCCTGGCACTTCTCCATTGGCTAAGAGTGTGTTCATGCGTTCCAGGAAGGAGGAGTCGAGTACATTCGATTCATCAAGAATAAAGCAAATCTTCTCATCCTTACAGCCAGAGCGCCGCAGAACAGCCCTCAAATCCTCATCAAAATCTTCTGGTGTGTATTTGTTGTGAACCTTGATCTGGAAGATTGACAGTCCATTCATCCAAGCAACAAAGCGTGATAGTGTGGTTTTGCCAGCACCTGAAGCTCCAATGAGTAACAAGTGGCCCTGTGGTTGGCGGAAGATACGATCAATACGAAGTACATGATCCAACACCTCATTGAACAGTACCAAAGGCACATCCAATTCCTCTTCATAGAATACCTGTGCAGAAGTAGAAAACAGAAATGTAGTAGCACAATCAGTTTTCAGGATTTTGCAGTGCAAATTTTAAATACAGTATTTTCAATGCAGTAAAATTAATAATTTACCATACAAAACATATCAATTTAACCTCAGGTGTATTCGGTAACATTATTTTGCAATGTTCAAGATTTAAAATAAAAAAAAAGGATTCCATGAATTTTGTCGGAGTGTTAATACAACTGATTCTAGAGAGCTTAAGAACATCAGTGAACAAGGAAGTACTGTACTTATGAAAGAAGAAAGGCCAAAGGATGGGACTGTAAAACTATGTTTCCAAAAACCAAACAAGCCTTTTATATGTTTCTGTCACAAGGTAAGAACAGTATGAGGGTAGTCCTGTACTGTACCTTCAGCCTGGCCTTGACATAGTCCCTGAGTTCCTCCTGATCGACAGGAAGATAATCTTTGGATAACCAGTTGGAGTATAGGATGGGGCGGTGCATTGCTCTGTCACGATCAATGTTCGGGAAATGCTGAAAGAAAAAACTTGAATGATTCTCAATTCCTGATTACGATCACTAGTTAACACCATTAACAAATGGGGTACAATTACAACAACAATAACCCACAATCTTTAGATCTGGTTTCATCAAATGATTCTTTCAATATAAATACAATGAACCAGGAAATTTATACAAGGTGACTTTCCAGGAGAAAAAAAAATATATAAAGTATTCGTGTATAAGATACCCTGCTATACATATGAAAAAGTGGGGTAAGCTTACTTCATTTTCTCAGAATTAAGTTACAGCATTCACAATACTATAATAGTTTAGTTTCTTACATGTTTTTCAGGCCTTTTCTCCCAATATTGGATGGTGGTTCAAGTCAATATCAAAGACACTCACTATTCACTGTTACCCATTCACTTTTTCTAATGTAGACATCCAAATCCACTACCTGCCATGTTACTATATCATCCATGTATTGTACTTTACTACTGTACTGTACCACATGAATGGAACTATCTTCCTCTTTTCAAGTATGTCCTTTACTCCTCCTTTCCATCTCTTCCTTGGTCGTCCCCTCTTCCTCCCACCAATCACTTCTGAGGTACAGTATATGATTTTTTTTTTCAATCTTTCACTACCCACTCTCTATGTACCCATATCACCTCAGTACACCCAGGTTAGCTCTGTCTAATTTCTGTATTTTTTACTCACTACATACTACTCTAACATATTTCTAAATATGCTAATTTGCTTTTTTCTCTTACATTTAGAGACCATGCTTCACACCCATAAAATAAAGTCATCTCAAAAATCCTCTTCCACATCCCTGCTTTGTCTCATTTGACAAGATTATTTCTTTCCACACATTCCTTAATGCACTTATTACTTTTTTCTTATGCTACTCTGTGACCCAATTCATTAGTCCTTGTCACAAGCTGACAAAACCACTCCCAAATAACTGAAACACTACACTACAACCATTCAATCTCCAATCCAATAAACATTAAATTTTCTGTTTCCCCTTTTCAATCTATTTCATCACTTTAATGTACTTTCTTCACAATTCACTGCCTGCCTTATCTTTCTTCTAGTATTTTGAATTGGCCACTAGAGTTGTATCATCTGCAATCAGTAACTGACTTCTCCCTACATACAGTATTTAAAAAAAAATCTCAGTTTATTTCTATTTTCAAAAATATTCCTTTTTAATACCTTTAGTGCAATGGCATCAACATTCTCATTGGTCCATTTGCGTTCTTCATCTGTGACCAAACGGTCATGGAAGAGGCGCAGTGCTTCATGAGCCCACAGTCTCACTAGACCCTCAACATCCAGTGTCTCAAGTGGTCTGTTGATAATACCAAATGGGGGAAAATAAGTTTGTTAATGTTTTCACTGATATCAGTCAAATGCTAGATCTCAAGAAACCTCATCAATGTTTACATAACCTCCTTCATGGTCATACTGTACATGCAAAGTCTTACACAACAAGAGCTTGTTAGAAGTTCAGGAGATTGGTTCACCATAAATCCTGCCAACCAGAAAGTTAAAGAAAAAACAGGAAAGAATGATTTGAAGCGACAATATTTCTTTGCCAAAAAAATTACAAGATCCAATCAGTGTTAAATACACTCACTACTGTAGTTAACTATATTTAAGACATCTGTAGATAGTTTGAAGACATTTTGAAATGAAATACGTACACCGAATCCTCGCTTTATGCGCATTCACTGTATGCAGAAAAGATTCCCCTATTATGTGTTCTGCAGAAGATATTATTTACTAGTTATATATTATATTATATTATACTATATCTTTATTTTTAAGCCACATTAGGGTATTTTAAAAATTTCCACAACTCTTATAGCATTATTGTTTACTTTTAGTAGTTGTGGAACATATCCTAATTTTCCCCATAAGATTAAGTATTCACTATATGCAGATTTCCATTATGCTGTGTTGTTGCAGAACGCAACCATAGCAAAAAGCGAGGGTCAGGTGTATTAAAATATAACTTTTGCAAATGGTAAGAGAAATTATTGCGTGTGGGGTACACTAATAAGCTGGATACAATGAGAGTGTAACTAACGGGTAGAATTATCAGTGGAAGGAAGGACGGACAATCCCATCACCTAAAATCAATGAGAGCCTTTGTATATACTTCCTATGATCAAAATTATTTAGCAAAAACATTTTGTCATGAAGAATATACAACAACCCCAAGCAAGAAAGTCATAAAACACACCAAAACTTATAATCATTCTACATATTAAGTCTACCAAAAATTACTGTGCAGAAATGAAATTTGCTCAGGACAAATAAAAACCATCACTAATATTATCCACCACACTCATTCATTGTGATAAAAGACCTTGATTTACAAAATGAAACAAAGGAAGTGAAAATTTAAATTATCACCGAAAGCCAATACGTACCTTATTGCCTCACAAATTCCTCGAACCCAACGAGTCATCTCTCGTGGAGAGTAAACATAGTGAGGTTGCATATCTTGAGTAAACCGCTCTTGGGATTGCAGGTAAAACTCTACCATAGCATTTGTCAGTGGATCTGCATATGACCTGAAAAGCAAAAGAAAACAATAATAATAAATAATATTGAGGTCATGGGAAAAATGAAAGAATATGCATGAATGTCCCATCATCATTCAGTCATTCTCACTATCTGTTGTAATAATTGTCCTATATGGTGTTCCCTTCCACATCCCCAAAACTTCCATCAGGACAATGACACTTTATACAACTCAGCAACACCCATCAGCAGCAGTTCTCTCCTTATAAACTACTGTACTGCACTTGACAATATTACTGTTTCTGCCATAATCTTGATCTCACTGATTTTGTTCAAAATCTCAATATCTGTACTCCTGAACATGCTGATTAAAGATAAGTTGTCCACAATTTGATATCTGAATAATTACTTGTCCAAAATGACATCTCAAAATTTTTAATTACTTTTCTAATGATAATTACTTGCTGCCCATGGGTTTTCTTCATTTAGTCAAATAAATGCTTTAATATTATAACCGTGTGTTTACCAAAACCCAAATGAAGTATAAGTATTCATTTATCACCCAAAGGCAAGTGTAATGACTTTAGGAATACTGTATCTCCATATATACAGTATAATGGTGTAATGACTTTTTAACACATTCAATTAGTGCTCTTCTCCAGGAATGTATTCTGAATGCTAAGCAGGGTAATACTGTAATCATTAATGATGAGGATAAAAAATAAATTTTATTCTAAAGAATAAGAACAATAACTAATAATTACCATATTATTCTCTAGTATCATGGCCACATTTCTATATATTTACCTGAGGGATGGAATGATTCGCAGCATAGCCCTGTTGAAAGTGCCATAGATCTGTTTCAGAGAAGTCTCTCCAGGATAGTCCACATACACAACAGGAACATGACGTAAGAAGCGGTAAGACAAGGGCTTTCGACCAGGGTCAGTTGGAGGATTGCAAGCACCAACAAACTGGATACGTTCTAGTTTCACCCATGCTTGGTCTTGAAAAAAATTTAACAGCCTTTTAAAACAATTTCATGGATTTATACATAGTGTATCATATAGTAATGGTACTTTACTTAAGGTATTAAAAGAAATTTTATCTCACCTGACACTCGATAAAATCCACCATGTTCCACCATCTGTCGGAGGAAGCTAATGACTCGCTGGGTGCCATACTTGTCCATGTCTGGCAAGTTAATCTCATCACAGAACACAACGAGCCACTTGCCCAACTGAACTGGTGATAAAATTATACCATTTGGTGTTTTACGGTATTCACAGTAGTGGTCAAATGTCTTGAGCAGCAGTTCTGGGGAAGTTGCACTGGAGAAGTTGAGGCCAACAACTTCCAAGTCGGGCAATGCTCTCAGGGCAGAGAAAAGGGTCATAGTTTTACCTGACCCAGGAGGACCACAGAGAACTAATGGCTTATGTTCAGCAAGCCACGTGTAAAGAAGGGCTTCGTGGCGCACTGTGTCAACTGTGGGCACCACTACATCTGGTGCAGCTACCTTGTGTGTTTCTACTTCCATGCTGGGAACTTTAGTGGACCACAACATCCATTCTCCACTAATGGCTACCTCATAGTCAATAATAGGTGTGTTGGTGTTGGGTGGTAGAGGTATAGTGGTACAGTCACGAATAAAGTCACCCATATCACTACGTGCCTTTAATTTGCCATCTCCAGCAAAGCTCCAGAGAAGTGAATGTATCAAACACTTTGGAATATACCTAAAAAAGAAAGAAAAAAGGACAACATAAAAACAAGGACCAACATATAATGTAGTTTCTATTATAAGAAATCAAATGCACACACAATTATTCTGAAATATATGACCCACATTGCCATACCTTTCAAGTTGATCTGCCTGCATAGGAAAGTCTGGATGGGTATTATTGTACTGCACGACATTCCTGACGGCTTGATTCAAAAGAGCAAAAAGTGAAGAGAGGGCACGCATACGAGTGAAGTCCATGATGTGCTCCAAGTTGTTGTTGGCATACTCTAGACATTTTACAACCAAACCATCAGGTGTTAAGTGTGGTGATAGGATAGCAGTCACATCCCGCTGAACCTGTTATACAATACGGTTACCATAAAAATTGTGTACTAAACCATGGTTGGATTCATATTATCTTCTGTCTGATATTCTAATAAGTTAATAAATAAAAAAGAACAGAATTTTTTAGGATACTTCTCTTTTATTCACTATTCTATAAGTGAACTAAGTCTCCAAGCTACAGTACTTCCTTTGTCCTCTGTTACCTTAATCCTCTCTCCCTAATTAATCATTTTCATCTTCCACACTCAGGCTGCAGACCATCTCCCTCTGCCCATCACACCTACTACACTGCCCCTGTACACCCTCTTACTATCTTCTCCAGCACCTTTCTTATTATGTCCACATAATTTCAGATAACCTCTCTACCCACTCTACCTTTTCACAATTTACACCCTCATCTTCTCAGCCATTCCAAATACTGTACTGTACTCTAAATACATCATTATCATTCTTAACACCATCCCCAATTACTTATTGACCTTGGCTCCATAGATTATTTCATTCATCCCAACTTTTAATCTTAATTTGCTAATATATGTGAATAATTTCCTGTTTTTGCTATAGATACATGGACTATGGGACCCCCTACCACCAATACATCATCCCTGTTCCTCACCCATCTCATACTCATTTTCTTCACTCTCAATTGCAACCGTTATCGACTTTCCCAAATACGTATATTATATTCAGTAGACAGATTTCTCCACAGTTTTTGCAAACTTCTTTGCTAGTTTTTGCTTATATACTGTACAAAGGTTCTACACTAGCATAAACTTTGGCCACCCATCTGATATATCCCTGATTTCTGTCCCATTATACATAATTTTGATAAGCTAATTAATTTTTCCTCTTCATTTTTTTAAATCTTTGCCCTAGTGAATTTTACACTCATATTATCACACACTAGATGACCGATACTGTACTAAAAATTGATGTACAGTAACCGGCTGTCACTTTACCTGTAGTGTTGGGGTAATATCATCATCTTTCTTCTTTTCAGTTTTCTTTATAAAGGCGGCATCTTCTTCTGTCTCCTCTACAGGAATGTTGGAAAGGCGAAGCATGAAGTTTTCAAAGATCATCTCCACTGACAGCACATCCTCAGAGAACCACACCATGCCACAACGAGACACAGTCGCTAGTGTTGCGTACTTGAGATCTTGTACCTGAAAATATTTTCTAAATAGCTTATCATGCTCCTATATTCGCTACTTATAATCACAGTCACTTGTTCACCCAGAAGCCTGTCAATACTAGTTCCCTTTTCTATTAGTGATGTCTAAATTATTCCTAAGTTAACTATCTCCAAGCCTACAATAATAAATAATCCATTTCTGAAACTATCGAAACTAGAATATATTTTGTAAATATACTATGATAAAGAGCAGAAAGGAGTACAGTATGTCTACTGGTGCATACATTTTAAATGCAAACTATGGACACATGGTGGTCATGCTAATTTATGGCAATGACAATTATTTGTCTCTTTAAAGATGTCAATTTACATGGCACAATAAAATGCAAATAACAGATTACTTAACTCACTCAAAATCTTTTTAAAAGAGAGCGAGTCCTATTTATATTGCATTTTCTAAGAATGTATCCCTGATGTCAGTGACTTACTGTAGTGGCCTGGATGGACCTTTTCTACCACAGATCACGGATCATTTATCCTAAAAACCTTGGGATGGATTGCATTTCAGTTGTCATATTTAAGTGTTTGGATGCCATGGACTACTTACATTACAATAACCTAACAAATTTCACTAATATCAATACCAATCCTTCTCATTTCACAATTCAATCTCTATATAAATGCTATCTATCGTTCACCTTCCTAACATTATATACTCGTACACTTATATAAATCTTTGTACACCTATTTATCCCATACTTCTTGAGTCCATACATCTTAATATACTTCCTAGTGCCTTGTATACAACAAACAAAGGCTACTTGAGAATGGCAATGCTTTTCATTTTTTGATCAGACAAAATTCTCACCTCAAACATGATGCGGACATTTGGTGGAATTGACAATCGTTCTCCATTAGGTAGTGTGAGTAGTTTGTTGTCATCCAGTACAGAGTTCAGGTTCTCTACCCACTCTGGGTCAACATCCCCATCGAAGATTATCCACTGCCGCTTGTTGATCTCTCCACGTACATTGTCAATAATTTTCCTGTAATAATATGAAATGCATAATAAATGACAAAAAATTTTTGTATTTGATAAAAAAAGAAAGTACGGTAGCTACAGACACATTTATGTATCTCGTATATCAACTTACTAAAACAATGATACTGCAACACTGAATAACTCACCTTAGAATATGGGTAAAGAGACCATCTGTCCATTCTCGAGTGTTGGGATCAAGGACACCATACAGAGCTTCTTTGCTCATTGCCTTAGGGTCTATAACATGAGCCACACCTTCTGTTCCCTCAAAGCGTTCAAGGGCTCTGAGAAGGACACGCCAAGCAGTAGACTTTCCTGAGCCACTTGGGCCCACCATCATCAAGCCATGGTTCAAGTTGCTTATCTGGTACAACTGAAGCACCTGCAAATATAATGGATAACATTAACATTATTATCATATGTAACACAATTTGAAGTTAAGAGATTCAAAAAATTTCAAACTTTATTAATGTTAAGCTATGCATGATCCATGACTGATAGGAAACCTTATTTTTGTAGTTCATCTTGAAACATTTAGCAAAATATTTCTGAAGGTGATTACAATGTAAATACTAGATTACTCCAAAAATCTTTTCAAATACAAAATGCATATGAACAAACAACTGCACAATCAGTGTATAAATTTGTGAGACAGCAACATTTACATGATCAATACAGGATACAGAGTTGGTGTTGCCAGAAGAAGAAAAAGCATTCTTAAGACAGGGCAAATGCTACAGTCAGGCAGTGAATACTTAAGAACAGGAAAACTGGATTTTATTAAAAAAGGGAAACGATAAAACCTAAGCAAAAATTTCAGACTATATTCATTTAAAAGTCTTTAAAATAAACATTGTTTACATAAAGATTTAAATTACAATGACTAAACTAGCTTTTTTCTAATAGTTATTTAAACAGACTTTTATAAAACCTCATATATACTTATAAGTTACATCAACAGCCAGTCCTCCTACATGAAACAGACTACGTACACTCATTACATCTTGGTAGCCTGTTTACTTTATTTTCACTTACTTTGTATACAGTAAACCTGTACTAAATTCACTACTAACAAATTTCATGAAGGAAAAGCTGAATATAGACTGAAATATGCCATTAGAATACCATAAATCCCATCTTACGGCCAAGCCCAAAACTAAGCAATTCATATACAGTACACTGTAACACTACATGTTAAAATTCGAAGTAAACCTTCACATTAACAGCTGGTACAGCCTTCCTGTTACAACCAAATCATCAAAGGAATTTCAGGACCAAGAGTGACTAAATAAGATAGAAAGAAACAAGCTGTGATGTCACATTAGCAATTGGACATCTTGTTTGCAGCCTGATTGACCATGTTACAATTTTAAACATCAATCAATTCAGTTCCAGCCAATTTCCATATTACTTTCTGGGAGGAAGCGTATCCAAGTTGCTTAATAATATGCCTGGCCATTATATGGTATTTCAGGATCAATCCTTCATTAATGGTATAATGCCTTCCACTATACAACTAGTGTATCTGAGGCCTCCCAGAAGATGGAAGGAGGTGGCACAAACAAGCTCTAAGTACCAGTGTCATGCTCCTCATGAAAGATGTCAACATTGCTAAACACACAAGATGACACAAAGAAATAACCAGCTTCCCCTTCCTAAACAGTTCATCAAATTAGTTACCACACATTATAGCCAAAGACTTGTTCCTTCCACTTCATAGAATCGACAAGTTTCTCAGGTCACTCCCAGTTAATCCTCTCGGGAAAAATCTTTCCTTTCCAAATCCCTCAAAACTACCGAGTAGGGAATCCTTCAAGAGATAAACACAAAACATTCTTACCCAAGTGCCTCCCCCTTACTAAAGGGAACACTAAAATCTCTTTTGAGTCTGAAAAAGCTCGAGTTCATTAACAACACTGCCTCACAGTGAAAATCACTTTATGGCATCAGTGGACCTTGAATAGCTATACCTCTAGTAAAGAGAGAGCCCTAGCTTGTCCAACTGTTCAGAAAGTTTTCAGAATAGATTAACTAATTTACAAAAAGCGAATTGAAAAAATCAAGCACCTTAACACTTCTTTGAGTATACACTACAGGTATACTCAAGCCATGAAAAATTTAATGGATATAAAATGAATGGCATCCTCAGACAACTTCAATAGGTCTGCCTGTCTTCTAGGATAGTACCAGCTAAATGCTGGGACCTTGCCTACAAAGGCTGGGGACCTATAGACCCATACAATTTTCCACAAAATGTGGAACCACCTCCCTTGACGGTGGATGAGAATTCCAAAAGTCAACATAGAGAAGAGTCTGTTTATCTCTGAATCAAAACCATTATCACAATGAAAATTCTTGCACTTCTACCTGAGACCACTTCAAGAAATTCTTATACCTCTGGGCCATGGCCCCAAAAATGTTGAAAAAAAAAAAATTATATTATACAAGACGAGTTATTCACGATGAAATCTGCACAATGCTAGGACGAGGCAATATCAAACATGTATGCTAGTGTAAGGGTACCGGTATGTGGGTACCCACACATTAATCTAACTTCAATTAAATCATTGTCAAAACAAACACAATATTAACACGAAAACAACTACATTGTAATACTAGCGAGTGAATTCCACCTATAGCTCTTCAAGTGAAACAAGGTGCCCTTGGCTCCATCAAGAAGACTTAATGAAGCAGGAAGGCATTTGCTCAGTTTAACTAAATGGACTGACACCTTAACTTTCAAATGTTGCGGTAAATTCGTACACACTTGTGTGTTGTGATTCATTGCCATCTAAAGTAGCAACTTTGCTTCTAGATAACCTTCTGGGGGATTTGGTTTTAAGAAGAAGGCTTAATAAGTCACTGAATTAGTCCCAGCTTCTAATGCTGAGGGTTACCAAGGGTTTCAATCACTAGAGTTAATGGGTAAATGAATGTCTCTCTTAGTAAAGGGCAGTAAGCCATAAAACCTTTCAATACAACCATCAAAATAATATGCTTAGCTATAATGCCATCTATCTAGATACATCCATAGTAGAAAATAAAAACAAACAATATTACTACTGTAGTGCTTAAAATTATGGTTAAAAATACTATTCCATGAAAGACCAAAAAACATTTTCCTAACGAATCTGCATTTATGTCCCAATTTGATGTTTGATGTCCAAATGTTTGTCGAACTCCAGTACATTCCATGTTGTGCAAGTGAAAATCCAGAAAAAAATTGCCAAGACCTTACTTTACGACTGGCCATTTACTGTGCAGGTGTTAACACTTAAAAATAATACTTCACTGTAAAAATATAAGGGATATTGACCTAACACTGCTTATAAGGCTCTTCCATGTACATTACTTTATATAGTTTGCAAATAAAAGGAAAGTACAGAAATGTTTAAATTACAAGGCAGCAGCAGTGAGTGTGGAGCTAATGCTTGGCAGCCATTGCTGGCATAAAGTTCAAATTTGTCTGAAAACCTCTCATAAAACTATGAAGTTCAAAAGAAACCAGAGGTAAATTTAATAATGCAAGAGGAAATACTTTATATATTTTTTTAGTTCAATTAAAGGAAAGATATTTTTTTATGTCTTGCTGCAAATACAAGCAAGACCTCCACCAAGCCAAGATAGTGCACCAAGCAGGGAACATGAGTCAGGATGGGCATAGGTGAGAGCAGGCATTCTAGGGCCAGACCACCCCCACCCCCCCCGAGGACCAGACCTTGGCCAGCGTTGCCCTTACCTTCTCACACCAGCCCTCCCCAGGGTAACTCCCCTTTGGCAGACATGGGGGTAAAGTCATATGTAAATCAAATGGTATGCACCAAAAAAAAAAATCATCATACACTGTCATGTCATGAATAGTAGTTTGATGGAGTTGACTACAAAATGATTGTCATTTTACAGTCACTCACAAAACACTTCCTCCTCATGAGATCAATGTTCAGTGATGACTTTCATAAAAATGCCTTTTAAAGGGTTGGTGCACCCATAACACTGACAATTTAATAATGGGAGCCAGATATTATGAACTGAATTAAATACACAAACTTGAAGTTAAAGATTGACACTTTCGTTTACTAACTAAATATGAAAAATTATTCAAAGAAAGTGACTACAATTACCCATCTCACTAACAACATTTACAAAGATAGTACTGTACAGTAGTAATGACAAATTTCATCCTGAAACACTATAATCAAGATTTAAATAAAATCAGTGAAAATCATTGCACTTAACTTTCATTAAATTTTTTTACTGTACCTATGTCAGTTTTATTATCATACAAGATTTTCTCAGTAGAACTAAATGTTATAGTAATAAAAAAAAAATGCCCTAGGGGTCATTGCAAGTCCCCATTCTTTAAATTTAAATGACAAAATTTGTAGTTCTTTATGTACAATTATACAGTAATACCCTAATATCATTCTCACTTGTTTGCTACAAGACTCATGTGTATCCTAACCCAGTGACTGAAGCAGCAGTGCCACTATCTGACCCAGCATCCAAACTCCACCCTGAAAACTTTTCCAAATACAGTACAGTATATAACTCTTTTTTCTACAAGTTTATGGGCAGTTTTATTGTAGTCACCTTCTTATGGAATATATACATTTTACAGCTGAGAGTTCTAATACAGTACTCTAGTAGTCATCAGGATGTCAAAGTCAATAAACAAAACTATACATAACACAATCTTGTAAAATGCACTTTGCATAAATAATCTTTTATAAGGATCTATCAATTAATATTTACAACTACTTTCAAATTAATGAAGACAAGAAAAAAAGACAACTACACTGTACAGTACTTTATATTCCTCTATTTCTAAGTGGATTTATATTCCTCTATTTTGAAGGAGTTTTATAAATTCTACACTTTCTATGTAAAAACAATATATTTATGTGGGAATTTTTATGAAAATTTTTTACATGCAGATTATTAGTTTAATAGTACAGTACTAAATTTTCAAATCCCAAAAGTCAAGTGGAAAGTACGGTATATGAATTCAAATTATTTGCTCTTCAGTACTGTATTTATATAAAATATTTTATACAATACTTCTTGATTTAGAAATGCAAAAAACTACCAATTTTGAATGATAGATAATATAATATATTGCCTTAGTGCAGCAATACTTCAAAATTTCACCCTAGTTTGGCAATCAAATACATACAACCCTCAATTGAAAAAGCCAAGCAAGTGATACTTGCTCCACCACAACCAAGTTATGAACTGCCTACCTCATTACAATCAAATTGCTTGTTACCCATCCCATCCTAGACAGGTTGTGGTGCATTAACAACATAGTATACATACAACAATACCACAGTAGGATCCTATATACACTAAAGTTATATATGAATTTCATTCATATATACAGTACAGTATAGTAAATCACAGGTTCCCTGTTTTTTACAAAATAGATGCATTCCTGAAAAGCTTAACCAACTGCTTCAGGTATGACCAATGGGCTACATAAAAAGTTAGTGAGGCAGGCAGATACTCCTACACTTGACAGGTTAAAGAAACACATCTATGGGCCAAATTCAAGTTAATTGGGACACTTAAAATAAACAAAGTGCCATAATGAAGATACGAGAGGTGAAGTAACAAAGTTCTAATGTATTCACAATAAATTCCCCGAGTTCACGCAAAAATGTTCATAAGTACAGTACAGTAGAAACTAAACAGCAAACTTTGAGGAAAAGTATAAATTTCATGTAGACATCAAAATCTCTGTATTAATTTCACTTTCTCTTAAACCTGAAAGCTTTCCTTACTCGTGTTAATGCTGCCCCATCTCACATTCAAATGGGTAAAAATCTTAGTGGGAGACATAACTGTCAAGATATTCCATTTCCTTTTTAGTGCACAAATCAAATGGGAAGTTATGCTTGGAAAATCAGTTACCAGTAAGCATCATAAGAAATAATTCAGGGACTGCAAACTGTACAGTGGCTAACCACCATGTGAGATCTTCAAAACCTCTGGGAATGACCTAAACAGCATTATTATATACTGTACTCTACTGAAAACAGTGGATGTTCACTTATGAACTTTGGGTATACTCAACCATGGTTTTGAGCATCCATATTTTATATTTACTACACCATTTCACCAACCACACCATCCAGTTAATTTATCGACAGGTTTGCACAGCCACAGCAGGAGACTCCTAACCCAGCTTAGTAGGAATGTTCACTGAATCAGGACTATCTTGCTCGCTAGTCATGATTGTTTTTCAAACGATGGAATAACGTAATTTTAAGTGAGAATAAGACGTGTACAGTGAAGCAAGGGAAAAGTGTTGTAAGGCAAGGAAAAAGAGTGTTGTAAAGTAAAAAAAAAAAAAAGTTGTCTAATGAAGTAATGGAAAGTCAAGTGCATAAAATTAAATTGCATTGCTTAGTGATACAACAAATGAACTAAATATATTTTTTTTTTATTTAAGGTGGTTTGAGTGAGTTGCATATATAATGATCAAATATTAATATGCTAAGTGATGTGACAAGTTGGGTGAAACAAGTGTCTTCAAGTGTACTGTACCATATAAGAAGTGCAATTTGGTTGTCACAAATGATGGGACAGGGCTTGCACAAATTAGTCTGGTGTTGAGAGGATTTGCTGTACAGGTATATCCTATTGAAATGCACAAATAAAATAAATTATGATTCGATATACTGTATATAATTATGTCCCACTCCAGCAAAAGGCGAGTGAGATAACTCGATTTAATCTCTGAAAGTTTTTGGTAACTACTTATCTATTTGTCTTTGCGCACTTTTCAAAACAGGAATGGTGTAATGTATCTAGACCTACAAGAGAACATAAATCTTGATGTTTACTCAGATAATAGCATGTTCAAATTACTGTAGTAAGAAAAGCTTTCAGGCAACTAACGGAGAATTCCTATCTGAAACTAATGTTACTAAAGTTGACTCTTGAACTCTACTTCTAGAAGCAAGCAAGGAGGTATTCTGAAAATTCCTGTGCAGTAATTTTAATGAATTAGGAATTTTTTTTCACCAAGTACTCAGTTTCAAAATTTCTGTTAACAAGTGAGCTCTATAAACACTTTCCTATTAACTCATCCCAAAAGCACGAGTTCAAAATATTTCTTCCTCTCTTGTTTTTGTATGGTTTACGCACAAACGTTCATGATAATCACACATTTCCATATCTTAAGAAAACTTGTGAGTGAAGCCATATTATTAAACAACAACTTATCAAAAATATTAACAAGTTAATCAAGTGCTAACTAAGAAATTCACTTATGTTGATTTTATGCAAATATCAGTACTTATGATATCTTCAGTTTCTAAGTACAGTAATTATCAACAATTAGTGACAGCCTTTTTAATTACCATGTATTGTTTATTTCAGCTTATATGTACAGTATTTCATCAAGTTATCAAAAATATTGGGTCAAGTTCAATTAAACTGTTCACAACACAGTTATAATTATTAAATTCTAGTCTACAAATAGACTAAAGCATGGTCACAGCACAAGGTTAAACAGCACTGCCGGGAGCTCTCTGATTGCAGTTCTAATTACATTAGTGGAATTACAAATATTGCTAACTAAAAGAAAAAATTTAGTCACAAACATCTGGAATTCAATGGCTGTTCAGTGCACAACTCATGAAAGTGTGTGCTTGAAATTATTAAGTACTGTACATCTCACAGATATACGTGCTGTACATTTCCTAATGTGTTACTCTTTTTCTCCTCAAATTTTCTAAGAAAATATTAGTACAGTAGATGATTAATACAATACAGCATTTGCAAATTCTGAACACTTAATAAATCCACAGGTTAGGTGGCAATACTTTAATAAGGACATGAATGTTACATACCTTCTCCATCCAATGAGCTCCTTGTTCTTCTCCCTCTCCACACACCAGGAACTGCTCTGCACACACCTAATATTAAGAATAAATAGTTTTTATAAGATCCTCAAAACTCCATTTACTGAATTGATAACTAAATCAGAATTTGAATGTTGTAATTAATTAACAAAAGGAAATTTTAGGAAATGAAAGTACTTCTACAAGTTGTTCATAAACTGACAATTGAAAACGTAGTTGGACTAAACTTACCTTTCTGATCTCTTCTTTCAGTCCCGTCATTTGGGCACGTGTGTACTCGATGCCTGGGAATACATCAGAGAGCAGAGAGAAGAGCAGAGGAATGTCCTCTGCTACAAGTTTGGGCACCATGGTTTCACATACACTCTGTATCAGAATCTGCGGGGAAAATGCTAGTCATAGGCCATCCTTTAGACAGTTGTCATTGTGGAATTTGCATAAAATTAAATGGGGACTTTTCTCAAGTGAAGCTAACATCAGATCCATATACAGCACCTTAGATACTTATATGCTTTTCCTGGGACAATTTTGTTTAGACAGTACTGTACATGGATAACAAGAGATTTCCTAATTTTCTAAACACATGGGTCCATTTTACAATAGCACAGTTTGTCTTGATAGAAAACCTAATGCATAGCATAAAATGGATAATACAGTTGGCCAAAAGTATTTGTGCATCTGTGTTTCATTAACCAATGAGGGATTACAGTACGTATTGTATTATGTGCAAATAAAATTATTTGTATATCATGCATGCAAGAACACACACACAATGCATAAGTGGAGCATAACTCGCCTCTTGCTCAGGAAGATTCTCAGCAATGGTTCCTTCATCTATGATGGCATCTTCTCTACTCCTTAGATCTTCCTTGATGCGCTGGATGCGATCACGTTTGACATTGCCGGCAGACACTAGGACTGACTTCAAGGCTCGTAAACCAAAGTCATAATGAGACTGATTGGATAACTGCTCATCACAAAGTCTGGAAGTTTAAAGAAAACCAATATAATTTTCTTAAAAATGTTATCTGTACTGTACTGGGGGTGAATCATCCTACATCTGGGCACTACTTTCGCCAGATGTGGCTGGCATGCAACCACCAGAATGTATTCTCCTACAACCCATTCACTTGTTCAACTACTACAGTCAGCAGCAATTATGGAACACTAAATTTTCTTTACATTAATTAATAATTGTAGGGAGTGAAATTACTGGGAGTGTCAATACCATTCACCCATCTCTGCACTCGACTAATTTGTTCCCACTGACCGACAATGTGAACTAATATCCAGAATCATTTAAGAATACTGTATCCCAAAAGGTCCAAAGGTTCCTTTCTAAACACCTAACTCACAATTAGAGAGAATCCTTCATGCTATGCCTCCACCTTGCTGTTGGTTTTAATCTATTATCTACTTCCACTCAATCTTGCTGTGCATACTCTTTAGTTATTCACTTTGTATCTAAATTTTATATACAGGCAGAGATAATGACATTCTCAAACAACCTGATAAATCAATCCTCTAGTCCCTAGGTACGGAACTAGCAAAGTAGTCAATAATGTGAAATCAGTTTGAAATTACACCATCTGGGGGTGTATTAAGTGTCTGGGGATATGCCTATAAACACATTACTCACTTGAAGAAGGGAACAATTTTGCTGGCAAGCTTTTCAGCTGATCTGAAGCCTTGACTGAAGAGCATGACCTCAGCAATAAGCTGTCTGTCAGGTGTGGTCATAGCAAGGGAACGGAATAGCTTCTTGAGGTTATCTGGAAGATTAGACCGGCCAGCGTAACCAGGATTCATGGTGATGAAGATGGCCATATCTGTTGAAACCTTCACCTGCTTGCCCACCAATTCTACAGTGAAGACTGTTGGAAGAACAAGCAATTATATAAAGAAATTAAGAAAACTGATGATCATTTAATCAAATACGTAGATACCAATTTTCTTACGTGCTGTCAAATACCACATGAAAACAACAATGTAACTAACCTTGAGTACCAGTCTTTTCTCCAGCTTTCTCTTTCAGTGCTTCCTGTATAGTCTGTACTTGCTGAGACACAGCTGACAACATCCTCTCTTCCAGACGGTTGAACTCATCAAAGCATCCCCACGCCCCAACCTGACCAAACAAACAAAAAATAAAGCACCCTTACCAAATGTGAAATATCAAACTATTGTGCTCCTGTACAGTGACTTATTTTATTTTTCAGGTAAAGAAGGAAATACAGTACAGGACTTGTACATAGTAGAATAACTTTACCTGGCAGAGTCCAACAAAGATACGGCCCATTGCTTGGAAGTCAAAGGTCTCATCACAGTTGAAGACTAACACAAAGCGACCCAACTGGTTACCCAGTGCCTTGACTGACTCTGTTTTACCAGTACCAGCCGGTCCTGCAAGCAAATGTAATGCGTCATCAGGATGAAAGAGGAAATACTCTAGAGAAGTTGTTGTACTACAGGCATGTCACAAATGCCTATGCAGGCAGCAGCTTAACTTACAGGTTCTGTTCCTGAAACCCATGAAGTTAATCAAAATGATACTAATTGAAACCTAAAACTCCATAGGCCTAATGTTATTAGTAAGAGTTACATGCCAGGGTGTTTATGGTTTGTGGATACTATCTCTCACCTAAATGTTATGTTTCTATCAGGAATGAAACAAAGCATTTACTTAAGTAAACATAAGATAGTCCTCATTTATAGCAACAGTTCCATTCCTGATAACCCTTGAGATGTAAATCTAATCTTCCCATAAGAAACAAGGAGAGGCCGGGGGATATATTTATGACCAGGAATTCCATCCTGCACCAGCTAGTCATCACCTACAGCAAAAATTTATTTAGTTTTAATCTGATCTACGACGTGAAAAAACAATATATATATATACATATATATATATGACCTGAGTGATGAAAAGCACAGACTACCTGTACTTCAGGATAAAAAGGGAATAAAGGTGAAAGTTGAGATATTTGTATAAGAAGACAAAAAGTAAAAATATGTTAGAAGGCTAAGTAAGATTCTAAGGGTGAAACAAGGTGCAGTAACAAGAGTAACCCAGTCAACTCAGGCCTTTTATATATCTCTAAGAATTTAAGATTTACAGACATAAGTCATTTAACAAAACCACTAAAACCTAATGAGTTATATATGGTATGATAAACTGATAACTTAGAAATAATAATAATTACCAAAGGGTGACCCTCCTAAGCGTGCTTCAAGAGCTTGTGTCATGGTGAGATAGCATCGGTCTGTCAATGGGGTCTGAACAAGTTTGTCCTGCACACCAAGATACTCAAATCCATAGTTGAACTTGGCATTGGCCATGTGAATGCTCAATTGCTTCAGTGGATCATTCTGCTTGGGGTCAAAGTAGAAACGCATCTGACAAAGCCAGTCAAATGACTTTGGATTCACCACCCTGTTCTTGATAAGGTTTCTCGTCACTGTTCTCTTGTGAACAAATTCACTGATCTGGAAGAAGGCAAAAAGTTATTCAGAGGTAGAACAACAAAAAACATGATGTTAGTTGATATTATTGTACCTTCTGAAAACTAATAACCAGGAGCTGATAGAGTAGGCAATATTTCAATGTAGTAAGTGAACATACATTGACTTTGGTGAATGGAGTATGTCTGGTCTGAGCTTATGCTACAGAAAAGAGAACTTAAACATTTCCTAAAATACCAATTACCTTTCACTTCAACTCTTTCGTCAAAATTATGGATCAATTATTTTATGCTGTACTGTACTGTATAAACAAATATAACCTACAAGTGTTACTGTGCTAAATACCAGGAGGTGCACAAAACTTAATAACAATTAACTGAAGTGATTAAAATTATATAACCACATATTGTACAGACCAGGTGTTCTAACTTCTTGCGGCGCAGAAGAGGCTGTTCCTGGAGAACAGAATCAGCCAATACATTCAGAGTTGCTTCCACCTGAACAAGGGTTTGTTGCATCGGAATCATGTCACCATTGGCAGCTGCACACAGTCCAGCTTCCACCTGTAAAATTTATGTTATTTGTATTTTTTTTCACCAAGATGAAGTGTAAGTATAAAACAGGCAACAGCCGTGTTTTATAATAACATTAAAATTTGGATCAAACCCATACACCCACCAAAACATAAAAAAATAAGTACCTGTACTAGGTTCTTGTTTAAACTTGTTGGACAAGTGTCCCTGCATCACCATGTTGGTAGACCCAATAACTGTATCATACTGTACAACATATGGAGATGTCTTCTATCAAAAAGTTTCCCTGTTCAGTATTTCAAATTGATATTCTTAATAAATTCTATACTGTGTACAGCATAATAAATTATAGTTTACATATACTTACCAAGACAGTATACATCTACAATAACTGTCAATTATATTACCTTTGTCAAAATACAGTAATCATATGTTTCAGCTAGTATTACACCATCTGCAAAGTAAGTCTACTTCTAATTATTTTTTTCATGATAATTAAATGTGACAAATTAACCAACGTACCTCTTCACTCCAAGAGATCTGTGCAGCCAATACAACAAGCTGTGCCTGGTATTTGTCACACCACTGAAGGTAGCTTCCAGTGTCAACAGGACCATGTTTAAACTGCTTGATATCTGCGACAGCAGATGCTAAATTCTGTGCAAGTGTCATCCTCATCTCATTTTCTACTTGCTTGAGCCACTCATTAATCTTTGGATAGTTCACAGTTGACACCACTTTGTTGAACGGTACCTGAAGAAAACCTTTATTTATTTCACCGTTTACCCCCATATCTGCCAATGTAGTAATTTAGAAGTGGCATCTAAAGGAAACAATAGAAAAAAGTAAAAGATAATCTGTTTCAAAACATACTAGGCTCCATCCTAAATTCAGCACAGATTAACATATATATACAGGGAGTAGACCATTAATTTATTATTCATATTAAACAAGTACTTTACACACACTGAACACTTACCACTTCACCTTCCCGAGAAGCAATACCAGTGACAACAGTTTCACTTTCATCAAGACTAATAGCAGTGACACCTGCAAACATTTTCTTGAAGTGCTTCTGCAGCCGTGGGATGTTCTTACTGTTGCCGATTATCTCCAGCAGATCCTCATCTCCCACAAAGTAGAACCTGTGGCAGAAGCAATTTTCATTTAAGAAGTTTGGTAGGGATTTAAAGTGGCCACCTGTTGCCATCAATTAAAAAATAATACCATGATTCTAAAAAGGGTAAGATATGTGTTAGGTATATTGGTAAACTACTTTGCTGAATTACACACAATGATGACAATTAAAAAGACCTTCTATTATATAAGTTCTAGGGGCTGAAAAAGAGAGGCAATGAATTTTGCTATAATATGAATACTGATGTGGTTGAAACTTAACAGTAGATGGAGGTGTCATATGAACCTTAGTAAACAGAGAAGTTACATAAGAAATGTATATGATCGCTTCATGTAACAGTGACTGCTTTTGTTTTGAGTGAATGAACAAAAAGTTACCAAAGACCAGATAAATCAAATGAGCAAAGAATAAAAATGCATTATACACAATTATTGGAATTAATGGAATTGTTATGGTAAAGAAGGAAGATGTGGGAAAGATATACATGATGAAAAAGTCAGAGGGATGCAGGGATGAGAGAAAACATGATAGTATGACAAATGATAAGGTGGAGCTTATGGCAGCAGAGAAATAGGTAAACCATTTAAAAGATGCACTAAGTTGATGTTCAGATCCAGAAGAGGAAAACAAAAATACCGAGAGGAACAAGTAAAGATGAGGGTATTAAATTCCATACCCAGTGATCAAATCCTGCTTACCTTGGGAATGAAGATCTTTCTCGTTCCAAATACTCGCCAAGAGCCTTTTGGATCTTGCCCAAGAGGTCAGCCAAGCGCTCCAAGGAACGCTGGACACCTTGAATGTTCAGCACATCCATGACCATTGGAGATTTGCTCACTTTTTTCATCAGGTTCAGAAATTCTGTGCTATAAGCATAAAAATATTGCTATTTACACAGGTAACACAAATAAAATATTCACTTTCAAATACTGTACACTTGTACAGGTACAGTATATGAAATACTACTGTACCTTATATATGTAATGCATAAGCAACAAGTGAATTTTATGGTATTAATCAATGTTTTTCTTATGACATTTTACAAAAAGTACTGGTAAATTGCATAAATGCTTTTAAGCTGCTACCAACAATTGTGATATGTGATTAATTCCTCCAGGTGAATTTCAGAATAATCCAACCTACATATTGTACATGTTTTGAGGCAATTGACACTGTTTGCCCTTAAATACGGTACTTCCTCCCATTTTAGCATTTATTCTCAAGTCATCAGTGAATTCAGTACAGTACTCCGAGTGCTAGAAACACCCAACCCTCTCTAATATCCCACCTTCCAACATTATCTAAATGAAGGAGACGGAGGGCTAACCAGTCACTGAGGGGCTTTTCTGCTTCAAGCAGTTCAAACTTCTAGAAAAATAAATGAATAAAAATCTACTGACACATCACATATGCATGACATTGAAAAGAAACACCTACACCTCTGGTAAGCCCCAGGTGTACCCTAGATTGAAAACCCCTTATCTAGTAGTATAATTAAGATATAACTACAACACCTGCTATTTCAAACCTGACTACATCCTTAAGTATGAATCATAGGGTTCATATAAACTCACCTAATGCTGCCAAAACGTGAAGTCTCAACTGGCAAAAGGGCTTTAATGTCTGAAGAGCCAGAGAAAATTCCTTCTAGATACACCCATCGTCGCTGGACATCAATCCATACATCAAATACAGCATTGATGCGGTTCAGCTTCTCTTCCCATGTGAGTGCTTCCTCTTCAAACTCTCTGTAGTATGGAGACAGTTTCATGGCTGCAACAGAATTAATGTGCTCCTTAACTTTGTTGAAGAGATCATCCCAGCCACGAATCAATTTACACTTGTTCTGGTAGTTGATGAGGTCTAGTTCGTAGCTCTGCCAAGATTCTCGTACTTGTTTCAGGAACTCTTCCAGAGCCATTTCTCCTTGAGCAGTGATGATGACATTCTTTATGACAGCCTCATTCTTCACCAGGTCAATATCCCACACCTGACCTAAGGTTAGATCACTCAACACCCAGTTGACATGTAGCTGTCTCATCAATGTCTTCCAATGCCGTTCCTTGAGGGCATCGCTCTTCAATTCAACAATGGTCATATTAACCTTGGTGTAACCCTGCAGAAGTCTCTTCACAAACTCATAGCTCGAATACTGACGCAGTCGAGCAGGCAGGTCTTTCAACTGGGTAAGAAGGTGATCCAGCTGGGCTCGAAGCTTACGAGGCTGTACAGACAGCCAGGGCTTCTCCTTCATTTCATCAATCTGCTCCCAGATCTTGGCCAGCTCAGCCCAAACTCCCTTTAGATCTTGGAGTTCCTCAAATGCCACAGTCATTCGGTCTTCCGATGTATTGAGGGCACCTGGCTCCTGTAGTTCAAGGGCTTCCTTTGCCTTAGCAACATTATCACGATCATCCTTCAGACGTGTAAACTTGCTCTCATACAGTATGAGACGTTGCAGAGCTTCATCTGGACGCAAGTGTCCTTCCACTGGTTTTCCATGCTCCCAATCTTGGAGGAAATCATTGGTTCGTGATTCCACAGCTTTGTCCTCGGCAACAATCTTAAGTTGCAAAGATGCCACCTGTGTCTGGATGCTCGAATCTTTACGTCGAATGATCTCATTAAAGGCACCCCATTCACCTTCAATGTTATCAACATGAAGCCACTGATTAGGGAACTGGAACCTCTGGCGCTCCAAAATGCGCTGACCCTCTTTGTACATGTCAACGTGTTTCTCCCAGGATTTCATCTTGCGTTTCAATGATTGTACATATGTGATGAGTGTTACAGCATCAGAAGTACTTGCAGCATCAATACTCTGTTGTTCTAATTCACTCCTACTCTTCGACACCTGTTGAAAGCACAAGCATCAATGTTGATGTATCTAAGACCTCAATCTCCTATGTAATATTTAAAGTTCAACATCAATTAATTATCCTAGATTACATTTTTGCCAATATACCTTTTTTTGTCTCAACCAACCAACCCTATTTTGACAAAAAGCAGGGAGACCCATTACCCTGTACACTGCCCTGTCACTTGTTCTATTTGTCATGGGAGAATATCCCTATTTCCTCTAATACATGATTAATCTCTTGCTGCATATGTAAATAAATGCACATATCTTAAAAAGACCATAATTCTTATCCCAATTGACATGGACTTAGACTATTTAAGCTTCTCTGCACCAATCTACAAAGACAATCCCTCAGCTGAAAAGGGGTAAATTGAATGTATCATCTCTCAAAATGCAGTAAACCTTTCTAGCATCTAAAAAAATTACTGTCGTGTTTTTGTTCCATCACGTTTCGGTAGGCATTTTGTTCTTCTATAAATATAAAAACAACTTATACAAAATTAATTAGCTAAACTACATTTCTTACAATTCTTTTTAAAGAAAACAAAAATTACCTGTGCATGGAAGTGTGTCATCTCTTGGCCAAGAAGTTGACCAAATTTGCTAAGGACATCTTTATGCCATGAATCATACTTAAGAGACACTTTGCTCTGAACCTTTGTGTAATCAACAACAATGGGGCCAAAGCTGCGTCTTGTATCTGAAGTATCAAAGGTTGTTCGGCACTGTTTGATGTCTTGCAACAGCTTCATCCATCTGAGAGGAAAAAAAGAAGTTAATAATCATCACACACGGGTTTGTCATTATCAATTTATCAGAGATAACGTAGCAGGTTAGCTGGTCTACAACACCACCATGGAAAGGAGAATTAAATAATAAGTACCTTCATGAATTGTAATTGTATTAATATTACCTCAGTGAACAAAAGGACAGCACCATGAAGTGAATACAAGTCAATCATAATCTTGTCCAATTGGCACCGGCTCTTATTTGAGAAAAATCAACAAAACCGAGTACCGGTAGTAATTCTGATTGACATTTGAGATTTTGGTGCATCATTCCTGTAGGCTTCTCGTAGTAGTCCATCTCCCCTTAGTTACATAGCAACTGCCCATAGAGCAGCGCTTAATGTCTATTTTTCCTCAACATGCAAGTTGAAGATACTCTGTGCTAAGCATTCAAAAATTGTATCTCGCTATCCATCTCGCACATTAATACCCTCCAATGTGTACTACTGTTCGCCTGCTAAGTGTTCTCCGAAGAAAAAAAAATCCAGTGCAGTTCTTCCGTGCTAAAAGGTCACAACTAGCCCAGTGCGTCCGAGGGGATGATGTTACAAATACTGCGGTGCAGGTGTGTTAAAAATAATTACTGTATTACAAATGAATAATAAAATACTCACTTAGAAACATCATCTCCCAACTGTCCATATAGGTGATCAGGCTGCAAGTCCCAGAGAGCTTGATACTGAAGCCATTCCTTCACATAGTTGGTCACTTCAAATACAACCATGTCTACAGCATGATAGGCAGCCTTAATGTACACGTGTTCATCAGGCAATTTAATAAGTAAATTCCTGTACACCTGAGCAGTTGGGCGATCTAAGCCAACCTGTGAAATGAATAATTTGCAATAGAAAATTCATTCTGCTTACAACTATCATTGTTTTTATTATTCTGTGCCACCAGATGATTATGCAAATATGACCAATAAAAGCAGGAGTGGATGGATATGCTGACAGAAATATATGCTTAAAGGAGTGACAGTGGGGAATACAAGGTTAAATTCATTACTCGTATACATGGAGGCAGGATAACTGAAGGGATATAGAATTATTGGACATTAGTTGTGGATAAAATATTGAGATGAAACTTGACGTGGATGTGCTACAATGGGTGGTGCATGACGCACCTAACCATTACCGGGTAAAAATGAAATTATGAATGAAAAGTTCGAGTGACAGCACCTTAAAGAAGGGATAAGGTAAAGTGTGTCAGTGAGCTGAGGAAGGAGAATGTAGCTGAAACATTGAAGGAAATGATGTAATGATTAAGGAAAAAGTGAATGGTTCAGGAGTAGCCTTAGAAAGTATTTCTAAGGTGTCAAAATACAGAAAATAGTAAACTAGAAATGTCTTCAAATGAATACCATAAAAAAATAGAAAGTGACAGCATATTAGGGAGCAGATATTTAAGAAGAGGGCGAGTAAGCTGACCATGTACGAGTCAGGCAGCATAAAAACCCATATTGGCTAAACACTCTACAGTCAGGAAATCACACAGGAAAATTTTGGGGGATATAAAGGTGATAACTGGAGATGAATGTAAAGTACCCTTTAAAACAGTGAAATCCTAGCCAACTATACCAGACTGAAGATAAGTTCATGAATAATGTCTAATAATAATGAAGCTTCCAGTCAGTGAAATGTTATAAACTTCTCTCCACATACCTGGTAACGTGTACTCTGGATACGATTTTGGCTAGTCACAATTGCCTGCCAGCTGAAGAACTGCTGCATGATTTGATAACGAGCTTCTTCAATAGTCGGATGCATATACATGGTCTGGTTGGTGATACGAACTTCTTGCACAACTTGAGTAATCTGTATGGAAAGAAATGATAAGTTAAACACCTCTGACCAAATTTGTTTAAGATGATTAGCAAAAATATATGAAATATTAAGGTAAAAAAAATCCAGATTCAAGATATATTATGCCCTGACCTTTGGATCTCCTCCTGGCTTGTGAGTTGGTTTGTCTGGTGTGTCAGTATCCATAGGAATGTCAATATCCTCATCCTTTTGCCTCTGTCCCTGCAGTGCTGCAGTCCATGCCTGCATACCAGCCTGAAGTCGCCCAGCCAATTTCTTCTCAACCTGTAAAGGGACAAATAAATTCAATTATTACACAAACCCATTACGCAGCTTACACAAGTAACGGATAGAAGTGTAAAATTTTATAACAAAGAAGCTACCACTGGTTCAAATTTCTTTCTCTTTAGATAAGCATTACAAAGTTAGGAGAATGTCTTCAATGGTAGTGCACCTAATGACAGGAAAAATAATAAACTACAACTGATTCCTAACAGCCAACCTAAATGTTTTATAAATAAGTGGCTCCTCAATGTACCATTGAATGAAGTACCACACACCAATTTTCCTGAAAAGTAACCCACCTGTTCATCTAGTCGTTGTACCCAAATGTGAAGGTTTGAGTACTGGTGGAGAGACAGGTCATCTACGGCCTTCTGGATCTTGTTGAGAATCTCAGCAAAAGTGAAATGTGCATACTGGCATGTATCAAGGGACCTCACATCAATATCCAGCTGCTCTTCCAGCACTAACAAGTCATCCACCTGAGGGTTATAAATACAGTTGCAGATTTACTTCACGCAACTCTTATCATTCCAAGCAGAACAAGAAAGGGTGAGAGACAAATATCTTGGTTAAGACAAATGGTGGAGGCAACAGGGAGAACTAGCTAGTTTCAGGCAGGTGTAAGTGGGATGTTTATATGTGGATGATGTAGAAATAAAAGTTACTTAGATTGTACAATTAGAGAGGGAAAGTGGAAGTATGAGCAATGATTAGTAGAAAATGGAAGCATTATCACGAGTTGACCAAAAAAGAAAAGAAACCCAAGTACAGAAGCGAGTAAAGGGAATTAGTAAAGGACAGTAGTAGTAGTGGTGAAGGGCTGAAGTACAAGTGGAAACTAAAATTGTTGAGAGAGGAGGGAGGGGAAACATTGGTAAGTGAGCTACAGATGCAAAAGTGAGGCTGAGAAAGATTGAAACATTAGGTTTTTATGGCAAATGATGTCCCCAATTCATCCAGTATTTTGTCCATCTCTTCACACTGGTTTTTAACACTTATCAAATGATAGGAAAAAGATTAAATTGTAGATTAAAAAATATGTAGCAGACCTCTCAGTGTTGTGGCCTATGTAAATTTGGTCTCCCCAGAAATATCCACAAATCACTTTTCCCCAAGGCAGGGCAAGCAAAGCCCATAAAGAAAAAAATCTTCTTTCTATTGTGATGCTGTCATAATACATGTAAAATAAACAAGGTACTGACTGAGATTATATAACACAACCCTATCTAAGGTAACCACAATTAAACAAAGCTTTATTTTCTTACCTTCTCTTGGAAGCTGAAGACACACTCAGCAAGACGTTGCACATATGGATCTAGTTTGTAAGACTCCCAGACCAATGACATACCCTGTCAGAAAGAAAGTGTTGTAAAAAGAATGTTACAATTACGGTTAATATTATATTCAGTTATGCAATTTGTTGATTTCTTGTGTCAACAATGAATGACCCATTATCTGAAAATTATTTATTAATCAATACACTTAATAGTATTTCTTACAGTTAGGTTAAAACTTTGAAATACTAATGACAAATTTTCACTTACCTCTGAAACAAGCCCCTGAACTTCCTTCCGCATTCCAGCTACAAGCAGCAAAATGTTGGTCTTGTCTTCCATCTGAAACAGATATAATACAAAAAAATACTGTAAACAAAAAAAAAATATAAAAATGACAAATGCCAATAAGCATGTCATATTTAATCCACAAATCCTGAGATTCAATATATTGTACTGTATATTCCTTCAGTCATTTATCACAAATGATCCAAGTATCATCAAGTTCTCATGATTAAAAGAGACTTGCAAAATCTTAATGTGCATCAAGACTTTACTTAGCTAAGTGGAAAATACTTTACCTTAATACAAAATATATATAAATATTACTTAAAATCTTTCAGAATTACCTGCAAAGAAGCCTGTGTTTAGTGTCATCTATGCATTAAATTTTTGCTATTAATATACAAGTCAATACCAGCTATGTTAAATTTCCTCAAACACATGAAAACCCCATGCTGGTTAAGCAAAAAAAAACAGCAATCAAACTCTATAACCAGCGAATATTAGGATAATTATATATGGCAGTAAATTCTAAGCCATATTACATTATATAGGGCTTTGAACCTCTTATTGTGCACCATCTGTATGAGGGCTAGCAAGGCTCTGTGGATAAACTTATGACCCACACGACATATCCGACATGCATGCCCTTGACATTATTAGTAAATCCACCATGCAAGTCACCTCTATTTAAGTCTTACATTTCACACAAGGTTTCCAAAGTTACTAGACAAATATCCTCTTCACATCATGCGCAGCCACCATATAGTGCTTCACCAAGCTCCGTAATAAAGGGGACGAAACGATAAGATGTAAAATAAATTTCAAGAGTCCATAAACTGTCTTGTATGATTATCTACAACCATAAATACAGAAGCTGTCAAATAGGAGAGCATTTATTTGTATCATCTATGGGACTCAAAAGCACTTGGCAATGAAGCAGACTTTCTGTATTACTATAAATCTGTCATAGTACGTTGCAAACTACTGGATGCCAATTACATATTTATCACAGCCACGGGGTAACGAAGCAAGGGTACCAACGTAAGGGAAAGCCTCAGAATAGGTTTATATGATGTCACTAAATTTTCTAATAATACATAACTAAATGATATCCAACACAGATTAAGTTCAGATATTTGTATATACTCTTTTACAAACTAAGGGCCTTTCTTGAACAAATTACTGAAAAAATTTAATTTAAAGTCATTCAAGACGACAATCTTAATACAGTACATGACACAGCCAATTTCCTGATCATATCTAGTTAATGAGTATACAGTATATGCTAAGTGTCTGTGCTTATAGAGCTATAGTAAGCAAGGGAAATGAAAGTGTAATTGAGGGATGTATAAGAGTAAAATTCAGTGTGGAAGTACATCATAGACTATTGCCTCTGCCCTCACATGACATGTCCCACCAGCTTCTGTCAAGCTGACTATCATTTAATAACTGATAGTCTTATGCATATTTCGGCTTCTTACTATCTAATTACTCTTTCCTTAATAAGAGATAAAATTCTTAGGTTATTATAGAGTAAGACTCTGAGGCCTATCATTTGTCTGTCAATTTTATCAAGCAAAATCTGTCATGTGAGGTGCAGCCAAGGTCAGGGATACAGTCAAGTGTTGTGATGGACGAGAGAGCGCGGTTATGGCAAGAGTTACACTGATGAAGCCACACAGATTCTGACAAGACGAACATACCAACAAGGACGCTTTGATGGCAGGGCTGTGTGGTCCACCCCGCGACAACAGCTGTGGTACCACCATAACATCAATTATCAATACCAACAAGGTAGATGTTGGTTGTCAGGTTTGGCTAGTTAGTTGTACAAAATTTCAGAGATGCTCTTCATAAATAAAAAAAAGTTTTGGGGAGGGGAGGGGATTAAGTAATGAAAAGGCAATTCGTTTAATACACACATCAGATTATACCACTCTTCATAAGATCCTATTCACACAGTTATTATGGGCATACATCTAATTGTTTGCTATTTTCCATTAATCGTCTATTATTCTCCTTACTAAACAAAAAGTTTCTTTTCAAAACTTACATTAACAACATTCATTATTTATTATTATTTGAAGCACTAGATTTGTATATCCTGAGAAGCCATAAGCTATAACCCCTCTCAAACTATCTTCTATATATGAGAAAGCAAGAGGCCTGCCCCATGATGCAAAAAAAAAAAAAAAGCCACTTCAAATATCAAAGAAAACAACACACTAGCCAGCATCTATCAACAGCATGAGCAAGCTGGGAAAACTTCCAAAACACCACTCCAATTCACTTAAAGCTAAAAATCATTTACAGTAAGATTTGTATTTGAAGTGGTTTTTCTCTACACTGGAAAAGCTTTGGAGCCTGCAGTACTCCCATTCATTTTTTATTTTATTCTGTATTACTCAATGTGTACAATAATTTAATTATTTACTCAGGTTGAATGAGAGTACTGATGCTGTCATTTGATTTGAAAGCATCTGGGAAAGGCTCTGTCCTTACCTTCTCCAGAGTTCTCTCGTAGGTGCGGACGCTCTCTATGAGGGAGATTGCAAACGGATACAGCTGGTTGGCTTGATGTGCCTTGTTGACAATAGCTAGGGGCACTCTGAAGCCAAGGTTTTTCAGGTTCCGCACCTAGAAAATAAGACCATACATTCATTGTCCTTTAGTTTTAATTACTTCATGTGTGAGAATTTTAAAAATAGTGACAGAGTTAACCTAATAAAAATATTTTCCCCATCAAAAATCATTCATATCAATTAATATCTTCCACATTATCATGTCGTGCACTCTGGTACCCTATAATGACTTCCCAAATACCAACAGTCCTTTACTCATTTTCAGACACCTACAAAAGTAAACCACTTCCACACACACACACACACTAACCTTCTGTTGTTCCCCCAAATTTTAAAAACTGCACATACTGTTAAATCATATTGTATTCACATAGCCATGTACCATATCCCAGAAGCTTATACTTCAGTGGTTATGCTTTCCAAATGTTCACACTTCAGATAGGTACTTAATTCTGCAAACTATCCGTAATCCTCAAACTATCCCATTTCCCAACTCAACAGCGATGTCAGACTACAGTATTTCATTCAGCACAGACACACCCCTTACACAAGGGGTTAAAGATATAACTTTTACCATGCCTTTCATAATATATCTTCACACAAAAGCTCTTCAGTATTTCTAGCCTCATCTCCAAAGTTTTACAAAATTGTACATCTTGAAAACTCAAATTTCATTCCTCTATCTTCTGCTTTTAACACAACCCAAATCTTTAAACTCAAGCACATCTCCCTTGTCTGTCCCTCCGATATCACAGTGCATTTTCCTATTGTAAAACACAAATATTCAGTGAAATAACCCCTCAACATTTCTAGTATTTGATCAAAAATTCTCAAAAAATCATTAACATGGAGTTACAGCCTCCAAACATTGTTGAGTCACTTGTTTACAATGCCTGGGAATTTGGGAGATGTTCCTTTTCAGCCAGTACCAATGAGAAATTTAGATGGGTAAAATTGCCAAGTATTTTACAGTACAAGACTCTTATGAAGGCCTGAATACCAATTACTTCACACATACAAAGTACATGGAACTTACCTCCTTAGAAAGAGTGATGATCTCAGGCAGGAAATTTACTTTCAATTTGCATTCATTTCCTTTGCCAGTCTTTGAGCGATGCATTTCAATTGCAAAGATGCGGCCAGACACACCTAAGTTACGTTGCTGAACCTTAAAAGGGGTTGGATAAAATGTAGGTTATATATTTACCTTCTTTTTTACATATACACCTGTACTAAGAAATGCCACAAAGAGCTATAAATTTTATAAGCTGTTTCACCCTCGTGTACTAAAAGTTAATTTCCTGAATGACCATCAGAAAGTTTGAGAAATATGTAATCAAGAAATAGAAGCCACTAAAATTTCTGGGAAAAAATGCTGTATTAAGCGAGGACACTATGTTGAACACAGTTGTCTGCCCCCAAAAATTTATTACAATTAACCATGAAAACTCACATCAAGGAAAGAGTTCTATCCTACCACCACATATATTGCAATACTTCATTTATTAATCTATTATCACCCATGAAGAAAGGTTTACACTGCTAAAATAAAACTTAAAATATTTGAAAGTTTCTTACCGTTTATAATATCGCTTCCCACTACCGAGTTAAAAACAAACGCGCAAAAAGAGTCAACACTGCCCCAAGTATTGAAATGGCTGAAGGCCAACTCACCACACATCACAGCAAAATAAACAGTGTACCCCAATAACCTGCCTGGCCATGAAAATGAACCCATGATTTGGAGCCAAAGCACAAGTGAGCCAGACACCCTACATTAACTTAGCAAAGTAAACATACTAGTAGTAACTGTTTCATCATTAGCTACCAATTTGTTTAATAGGATAGGTTTTTTTTATTTCAACATACTTCTTAAGCAACAAAAACATACCTTTCTTGCCCAGTCATCAAAAATGTCTTGAGTGTTCAGTTTGAGCCTAAAGGAGTCTCCATCTCCCTTGAGTTTCTGTCCTTCAACGTGACTCTCCCAGCCTTTACCCAAGACATCCTCAACTCGCCTCATGTAAGCAGTAAGCTGTCGATCAATTTGCTTGGCCCATATAATGGAACCTGACACAGGAGGTATGTCTCGAACATGACTCATTCTACATGACTTGCTTTGAGGATACTGGACCTGAAATTAAAAATAAAATATATAAATAAAATTTTGTAAACCTGACACAGGAAGTATGTCTCGAAAATGTCTCATTCAATCTGACTTGCTTTGAGGATAGTGGAGCTGAAATTTATTAAATCAAATTCTGTAGATCTGGTGAAAAATCAAGCCACTAACACTTTGAGTACCAATGACCTTCATAACAAAAAACTTTAATGAAATTTATCACTACTACAGTACTATGATTTTGCTCTTCACTCTGCTACTAATTTGGCTTTATGGCTAAAGATATAGGTATTCAATACTACTACAACTGCCTGGAATATAAAAAATAATCCCATTAGTTTTTGTGAGAATCCATCTCAGACCCAAAAACTCTAGACTACACACCTGCAATAATGACTTAAAAAACATTAATAAAAAATCTGCACTTGTTTATGTGCCATAAAATATTAAGACATTCAAGTAATGGAAATAGTATATTTCTTTCTTTAACTTAATACTGTACTACCATGTACAGTACAGTATATAAAGCAGCACCCACCTTAAATTTTTCATGTAGACTCTCAATATCATCCTTCACTCGCTGAATGAGCTGTGTTTGATATTCTCTGATGGCCCCTCGAATGTGAGGGCGCACAAACAAGGCGTTGAAGCGAGAAAATATGCGAAACATCTCGTTGGCATTCTTTGCTGTACCCAATTGGTCTCTGAGACGAGCTGTTATGCGTGTCTGAAAAGCAAAGTTGTAAGAATATGGAATGAAAGCCAACACAGTACAGTAGTTGCATGTGAATAATCCACATCAATGACACCAATTTATTGCATGTTTACTCATAACTTTGTAGTCTTAATGTTACAATCACACTTTGGTGCATAAAGATGTAGAAATACATGAGTGTAGGTATTAAGAAAAAAAAACAGCCGCCAATACTAAGTACAGTACAGTACAAGCGGTCCCTGCTTAACATCAAGGATGTTTATTTTATTTATATATTCAAAAGGAAAAATACAACAATTAATGAGCTGATATATAGTCCTAACCAAATAGTGCCCCTATGATTTGTGGGTATATTAATGTTAAAAAATAAATAAATAAAACTAAATTGGAACCTTTGTCAACACAAAACAGAGCTTCAAACAATGACTTTATATTATAACAATATTGTATATACTGTAAGCTACACTGCTGATACACTTACCTCCACACGGTCAATCCTCTCATCATAACGCTTCAGAGCTGCTTCCCACATTTCTGTGCCCTCTTTGCTTATATCCAGTCCATCAACTTCTTTCACATTTTCATAAGCTAGATTCACCTAAGAGACAAAATTCAAATTTTGGTAACTGGCCATGTGGATCGTGTGAATGATGAGAGATTTAAGATTTTTCAGAGCGGAGGTACAGTATACGTGCATAAGATGAAAAATGGATTAATAACATTTTGTTCGCTATACTCATTTGATGGCATAATAAAAATAAATTATTGCACATCATATGCAAGGGAAGTGTGTTGTATGTGACAAAGCAAATGGTTATTAAAGCATTCTGGTAATGTAAAATGTAATCAAAATTACTGTCCTGTCAGACAAGAGAGGAAAAAATGAGAAAAATGTACACGCAAGTCATAAATCTTAAAATATCTAATATATTCATGCATATAGGTATGAAACACAACATTAATATGACTTGTAACAATAATGAGGCTGCTGCATTAAAAATTAAATACTGTACCATGTTAATTAATCCATCTCCTGTAGGTTACCACCCCTTAAAATAATTTACCCAAAGATTACCCTCCAGCTTCACTAAATACATTTCAGGATCCTTAAAGAAGCTTCTAAAATTATTAAATCTATATCATATAAATGTAATATATACCCCCATACCTCTTCAATAGCATTCAAATCAGCAGCATCCATCTCTGGTTTGAGTTCTGCAGTGTCACCATCTGCCAAAGTTGTTGTCTTTACTACAGTAGGACGAAGAACTCTAACAATAACAGTTCGCAGCTGCTCATGCTGACGTCGGAACTTGCGCATCTGTTCCATGCGTAACTGCAACTTCTTATGAGCAGGAGATACACGCCACACCATCTTGAGTTGTTCATCTCGCTTTTTCTTCACAATATCCCTATAAAAATAATGGCACTGATATCATTAAATAATTAAGAAAAAATCCTAAATTCTATAACAATTAAAATGTTTACCTCGGGGAAACTAATTATTACCTTTGAGAATTGCTGAAGTTTGCTCCATAAAATTTGCATAAACTCCTTAACATTTTCAATACAATATGTTACAATGTAACCATGGCTTTCAAAAACATAAAAGTACAGTACAGTATACCATTGTGAAAATAAAATTTATACATACCGTAGAAGGCCCTGAAGTTTCTCATACTCATCATCCCAAGTAATAAAAACATCAAAGCACTGGCTCATCACCTTTTCAAACTCATCAAATGCAATGTGCATGAGGCGGCGAGTTCCCAAAACCTGCACGATAAAAGAACATTATACTGTACTTATAGATTCAGATTTGCCCCCGAGGGGGCTAGTTTATTGGGCACCCCCTTACATCCTGTGCAAGGTGAAGCGCAGAAGCGTTTACAGCGCCCAACAGGGAAGTAGCTGTACTTATAAACTCCCATATTATTCAAACTATATTTTTTTTTGTTTCAAGACAGCAGAGCAAAGTTCACCATTTTATTCACTCAACAGCTATCACTACTCTTTTGGCATAGAACTTCAGATTTTAATACATTTGACAATATGTACAATTTACTATGGTAATGTAGCTACAGTATTTAAAATGATTCCCAATGCTGAAGACCTTTTTAATAGCCTTTGTACAAAACTTCTGTAATGTTGATACTGCCATTACTACAATTCATATGGATTTACTTCAGTTATTCTCCAGCAAATTGTACATACGTACTTCTGTCCAAAGCCAGTATCACCTACATAATATATATCCAATTCCGTTTCTAACAAAAAATTCCACAATACAAACTTTTAAGATTTGGGATGACAAATCTCTTGATATAGCCTCTACCAGTCTTAAGGCTCTCTGAATAGGATACTTTGTGGATCTGATCTTCCGTAGGTGGTTAAAGATGGCTTGTACAGCCGAGCGGATTTTCTCCAGCTCAGTTGCTGCCAAAAGGTCATTCAATGGGAAATCCTTCATGAGTGGTGCATAATCATTAACTGTTGCTAAAGCTTGCTTCAAACCTGTAATAAAGGAACATAATATTAACTTCAATAGCCAATTACATTAAGAAACAAATTATTTTGTTACTAATGATGACAAAGGCATTAGCTACAACAAATCTTGACCAGAATTATTCACCTGTATCAGTATCAAAAGAAACGGTGGCATGGAAACGTTTTCCATGTTTCAATACATCCAGAGTGAGAGCCACCTCTAAACTCTCTCTCTTATCTTGTATCTTGAGGAGGGCCCGCTCCAGGTTGAGCCAGAAACTGATTTCTTGTAAGGCTGTGCCACTTGATGGGTCTCTATCCAATTTTGTTACCTGATTCCCCAAGACATTACAAAATATTAGAGAACAAACCACAAATATTTTATAAATACTGTACTGTATATGTACTAAAATATATTAAAAAGCATGTGATTTATGATTCGACAATTTCACTGATACAGTATATCACTACAGTATAGACAAAACAGATTAATCATAAATACATTGCAGTCAAAATTAATATCCAATGGAAATACTTATCATAAATAGGACATAACTGGCTGTTTCATACCAATACATATATACTGTAATTAGCATAATGTGCTAACTTACAAAAAAAAAAAAAAAGATTGGTCACTTTTTTGTGAAAAATAATATAATACAATACGGTACACTGATCCGTGGTTTGTGCATTACAAATTTAAAGCAAATACGAAGAAATTCTGCCAAAATAGTCCAGAAAATATAAAACCTTAAATAGACCACCAAGGGATAACTTCATCCTTATATTATACATCAAACTGATGATGCCGATCCATGATTCAATCCCGATATAAAGTGGTTAGGACACTGCAGTGAAATCCTCTGGAGAAAAGATCAAATCCTTGCCTTACAGCATTTTTCATCTATAAATCAGGATGCTAAGTAAGATTCCTTTTCACTTCCACTCACTCTCTCTTACAGCTCCCATAAAACTTTAAATTAAAAATACCTTCTGTATCTCCCTGATCCACCGAGCCACTCCATTTTGGAGCTGGTTGAGGAAATTTGAATCTTCAACTCTATCACCAAAGTCAGCAACTTTAGGACGTGTTCCTTCATCAGCACACTTCTTGATAACCTGTAGATAAAGTAAAAAGCAGCAAATCAAATTTCTATGAAGAAAAAAAAAAAAGACTCTTATACTTACCACATTTAACACAAAGACAGTTCACTCTATTAAAGCACTATCATTTCACCTACATCTAGCATCACATTCTAAATTTCTTTACAGATCTATGTGAACACTATAGTTAATCATGGGGCTCAGAGTGATATGTTACACTCCTAAATTTTTTATTACAAATTTTCAGCCATGAAGAAGAATAAAACTTTACAAATTTCTAGTTATTTGGTCTTGCATTCCTTCAGACAGAACCAAGAGAAGACTTCCTACACTCACTCTTATTGTGATATGGTTTACTTTGTTTTGTTTCTGCCAATGTTTTACTCATCATGCTTATCACATACTCCACTCTATACAAACATGAATACTTTAATACCTGTATATACTGTACGTTTGCCCTCCAATGACAGCATAACATCAAAAGGCATAATGTTATGTTCTTATGTTCCTAATTCAATACGTTTAACATTGCTAAAATCCTTTGGCACTGAGAATGACCTTGATATACAAATTCATTACACACAGCAGGAGACTCACTTGTGCAACAGTTGGATGGATGGGCAAAGATATATCTGGAATATCAATGTTCTGTTGTAAGTGCAGGAGACCCATTTCTAGCTCTGCAATCTTTTTCTCAACTGATGGTGCCATCTTGTCTCCATCCCTATTTGGCGTGAATAATTTCCAAATTAAAATTATATATTATTCTCTTCAACCATTCTATTGCAATGAAATGTATTTAAAAATTGAATACGGTATAGTACAAGATACAGCTTAACAGACGATATATAATGTACAGTATTACAAAGTATTTACTCCAGGTACATACATGGTTTTCATTCCCTTACCTTTCAATTTTGCCGGACTCTTTAACAAAGGATTTGAAATAAGGAGCAACAGCATTTGCTACAATTGCATGGAGTGTTTCATATGGAGAGCCATCACTCAGGTTTAAGGTTCGTATCTGGGACGATATGGATTTGTCTGCTTCAATCACTCCACCACGCTTGATACAAAGGATACTGAAAAGGTAAACATACATGTAAGACCACAAATATATATATGAGGTGAATATGTGGAGTATTTCCATCTGCTGTCTCCGCTCCTTCCAGGCACTTTCTATCTAAAATTTTCCAGCATCAACCTCTCCTCCAAATCCCTTCCTTCCTTCCTTTTTACATTGATCCACCCTCAGCCAAAAAGTGGAAACAAAGTAAATAAATTTCTTATATCATTAGATTCTCATGAAACTTGAAGGATATTTTCAAATGCTGTATCCTAAGACATCTATTATCTATCCACCACGTAGGTATGAATTTCATAAAATCCTATAATACTGTAAGTAGAAATTTCATAAAACAAGCTTGAAAAGCAAATAAAACAACCCACATTTACCCTGAGTAGAGTAGAGCTTATAGTGTTCTGCATTCAGAGAGAGAGAGAGAGAGAGAGAGAGAGAGAGAGAGAGAGAGAGATTGAATCTCTGTTTTGGCTGCTGATTAAAAAAAAATGGTGAAGCATACACACCTGTTCATCTTTATTGAGGAGAAATGTACTCCAGTTGATAAATGAAACACCACATCTTTTTCTTCTTCCATCTCACTGCCTTCTTCAGTTTCTTCTGTAAGTAAATTTTATATGTCATTCTAAGTCTGTATACTGTACATGTAACAGGTAGTTAAAGTACATATTCAAAAGTCCCAATTCTAGCAGAGCATAAACATATGGTATCACACCTACCAGCCCCACTGCTTCCCACAAGCATTTAACCCTCTCATGCATGCAAATAAGTTTTTAAGTTTCTGAGACCATGACAAAAGTCATATGGGACCTGTTATTACCCTCCACTGCAGTCTGAGCATCTTCGTTCTGTGGCCAATTTATCCAACAAGACTTTATTTTTTTTTATTTTTTTATTTATACATCACTGGCTCCATTATTGCATTGGTTTTAACATTGCAGAAAAAATAGGCTGAGAATAAGACTATTTTTTCACTCTGAATACAGATAAATTTTTATTTGTTCCCAACATCATACTATCTCGGATATTTTTGCATAAACCTACCAAGTGATATCAGTTATACAGCAGATGTGGAATTTTATGAGCTTTCCAACAGAGGCTTTGTAATTTTGATATGACTAATAATTGAAATCACTTAATTTAATCTATTTCACCAGCTACCCTGCAGAATTCATCCAGCATTTATCTATGTTGATGCAACAAAATACAGCAGTTAAACATTTCACTGCAGTCTGCTATACTAGTTGTGGGTTTAATAAATCAGAATACTAGAGCAAAGAATAAAAAGAGGGAAGCTGCCTTATTTAATTTCCCAAGTTAGGCAAGACATTTCATTTACATTTACCTGTATTAAAGTCAAACTGGGCACAAAAATATTGTAGGTCATTACTCTACATCCAAACTCGGAAATATTCTAGAATTCAGACACTGCCTGGGCCCAAGTACAGTACTTCAGATTCTTGAGGTTTGAATATAAGGAAAAGGTCTACTTAATGCTCCGGGTGTATATCCTGGTGTGCAAGGGAAAGATGAAAAGTGTGATGGGTATCTGTACATATAAACCTTAGCCTGGTACAGTATAAATAAAATTTAAGTTGTAAAAAGTAAACCACATTGCTACAGTACAGTATATGCATAGCCAGTGCCTGTAAAGCTAAAAAAAATGAGGTAACCAATACTAAGACAAAAGGCAAGTGAGGAAAAGAAGCACTGTATTACCTCTCTTAATTATGAAATTCATTCTGGTCAAAGTAAAATACCTCTAAAATAGATCCTGTATAATCTGTATTCTTTGTACTGTACTGTACACTACTGTACTGTTAGGCAACAACAAATTACCTTTGGTGGCAGATCTCTGGACGAGAAGTGACTTTGCTTGTGGGTCTGCAACAAATTTTCGAACAACATCTTGATACTGTGGAGCGTTGAGAGCAGCTTGAAGCTCAGAGGATGCTTCATCATCATCTTCCAGCATAACAGAAGCTACTCGTTTCACATAGCGTATGACTGCATCCACCTCTGCTACAGCCCCCACTGTTTCAAGAACTCCCCCTCCATCTCCTGTAATAAATATCATAATATTGTACTGTATACTGCAAGAATACAGATGCAGGTAAATTAGACATGATCACTGAATTTTATTTTAATCAGTCATTAAAAGCAACACTTTTTAACCCATTTCCACCATCTGTAAATACATGCATCTTTACCATGTTTAAGATCTTACTTTAGTTTTGGCAAGGTTTTAATGCATAGTGGAAGGGGAGCAAGGAAAAACAATTGCCGACTTTAAGAATATATTGCGGTGTTGAAATTTCAATGGCATGACAACAGATGAGATGTGAGTGATCAGATGGATGATAGCAGGGTTAATGATTTCCAAGAGCACAAAATCAACTGTACGGTATATGTCTTGACTCTAATACACAGTCGTTCGATTCATGAATTTTTTCCACAGATGTTCTTAGTATTAAGTATTTTAAGAGTCAACATTAACTAGAACTTAACCTAACCAACCAAAGAGACCTACCTAACCTTACTTATCTTTCCAGCTGGTTAACCGGCACAATATTTCTGGTAAAGTTTTACTTTCACACAGCATGGGAATCTTAGGAATTTTAACTATGCAATCAATAGTTTAGACAATGTTAAGACACTTTGCAAATGCTTATATATACTTTTTACTTTTACTTTTATCATCTTCACCACTGATCGGCTGGTTAGCCACTTGGGCGATCGGTCATGTCTCTGTTACCCACTGTTGGCAAGTACTGGGCATGTACTGGCTACTGAATGCATCTGAACCTGCTCCTGTGCTTATCAAGTCTGGTCCTGAAAGAGCTCACACTCGGTGCCATCACAACACACTCTGGTAGATTGTTCCACAGGTTCACAACTCTCACTCCGAAAAATTTACCCCTCACAGTTTCCTGGGCTTGCGGCTTCTTCAACCTTGAGCTGTGACCCCTTGTGGGGCGAGCATTCGCCAGCTCCAGGTAAGGGCACTCGACTGAGTACGGTAGTGCCCTCTAAGATGCTTATAAACCTCAATTAGGTCTCCCCTTGCCCGTCTGTAGTATAAGCTAGGCAATTTCAGGCGCTCTAATCTCAGGGTAGCTGAGGTGCTGCAGTGCAGGCACCAGTCTGGTGGCCCTCCTTTGGACATTTTCAATCAACTGACAGTCCCTGGCATATCTCGGGGACCAGACAGGGTGACAGTAGTAGTACTCCAGACGGGGAAGCACTTCACTCTTGAAGATCATTACAAGGGACGGACCGTCTAGATATCTGAACGACCTTCTTACAAGATCTAATAATTCAGTTGCCTGATTTACCTTCTTCTCGCAATGGCCCGAGAACTTCAGCTCATTGTCAGCATACACACCTAGGTCCTTTTCACGTTCAGTCAATTAATGCAGTTTCTTCATCCCGTTGGGACATATGATACGCCTCCTTACAGTTTATGTCCCTGGTGTATCGTCTTACACTTTGCGACATTGAATCTTAAGCAGCCATTTCTACGACCATTCTTCAAGCTCAGAGATCCTTCTGCAGCTCTTCACAGTCTGTGTGGTTCTTAATTTCCAAAAATAACTTGGCATCATCCGCAAACATTTGTATAAGAACATAAGAATGGAGGAAACCGCAGCGGGCCTATTGGCCCATACTGGGCAGTCCCATTTACACTCAACCCCTATCGTTCATATATACATCCAACCTATGTTTGCAGCTATCCAGCGTATTCCAGTTAATGATGATGCTTGGTAACTTGTTCCATTCATCCACTACAGCTCCTCCCCGACTTACGACCTACTCGACTTATGTCCACCCGCACTTACGACCTGCCTCAGTCGTACCAAAATTTGGTCAAATTACGTATTTTCGAGTCCCAAAGTCAGTACACAAAAAATTTTCATCTGTAATTCACTTTAAAATAGCTGGCAAGCTTAAAAGTGAGTGTTTTGTGGCGCTGAGAAGAAAAAGAGATGCTCATTTTCGATTTTCTATGTATTATTTAAGCATTTCCGACTTACAACCATTTCGACTTACGACCTGGATGTCGGTCCCTAACCCCGCCGTAAGTCGGGGGGCAGCTGTACTCTATTTCCAAACCAATGTTTACATATTTTGCGCCTAAATAAAAATTTGTCTAATTTAAAACCAATTTTACGAGTTCGCTCCTGGTTGGATAGTTTGAATACCTTTGTCATGTCACTTTTGTTTAGCCCTGACTTCCATTTATACACCTCTATCATATACCCCGTCACTCTACGTCTCTCGAGGAAGTGCAAATTTAGATGCTTTAACCTGTCTCTGTGCTCAAGGTTCATAATGCCCGGGATTAGTCTTGTCATCTCCTCTGAATTCTTTCTAGGGATTCTATATCCATTCTGTAATACAGTGACCAGAATTGAACTGAGCCCAAGATACAGTTTTAGGATAACCTTGCTAGTCTTGTAACTAACACTCTTTTGTATGAACCCAAGTACGTTATTAGCCTTGTTTTGAGCAAATGCACATTGTTTACTTGGATAAAGATTCCTACTTATCGGATTTCTCTATAACATCGTTGTTCGTCTGGTAGCCATTAGGTAATTAAAGATAACTACCGGTATGGAATTTGTCAAAACAGGGAATCGCCGAACTGGCCTCTACAACCAATAAGATTCTCTAGTTCTACTCTGAAAAACTGTCTTCCATGTATCAGAATGATAATGAAACAGTTACGATATTTAGTAATATAACACTTCCCTAGGCTGTAATTAAGTAGCCTCCCTGAGTTGGTATGAGGCATGACTAAATATCTTACATTATAAATTTAATAAGACAATGCCATAACTATTTACAACATACCTTCATCTCCAGGATCCATCTCTGGAATTGTTAGGTGCACAGCATACAAGGGTAAACGGTATATTCCTCCTGAACCCTCCTACCGCTGTCGTTGTCACCTGAGCAGGGAGGCGGGTGAATGAGTCACTTAACTGCAGGGAGTAAGAGATCAGACTGACAAGTACAAGAATCGGTTTGAACAATAAAGATAGAATAGTAATATATATGTTCAATCCCTTTAGCATATGTTATCTATGTGTTTTTGTTTAAATTAGACTTCAGATTTATTGTACAGTCTATACAACTTATGTCGTCTATACTTGGGGAGTGCTCGATGCGGTTTCAAGACTCCTGTGGTCATTGATCTGCGCACACTATGCCAAAGATATTAGTCTTGGTCCTATAATGTGTACAGGTATATATAAATATATTCTTTTTGTTATATAATTTATATCATAACCATTTAAAAATAAATAAGAAATTATATGAGGAAAATAAACAATATGCTCAATGAAAATCAACCAAGAAAGGTGTCAATGTTTCATTTTCAACTATCGATAGATAACTATTTATTCAATAAAATTATTATGCAAGTTCACATAGGTTTAGTATGTACAGGTAAACAAACAATGATAAAAAACAACCAAGGGCAGGCTGAGAAAGCCGTTAAAAGCTTGTTTTCAAGAGGCCCCCCCCATTTGAGGCTGTTTTTTAGTTTAAACAAATTTGGTAACATCAAATTAACTTGCAGGTAGATTAAAACTTTATTTCAAAAGTGGATAGTTTTGCGTTAGTGCACACAACTTTCCTCCCTAAAATCTATTATCATATTCGAATAATTTTCTTCTATTACATTACCGTCGCAAACGTATAATGTCGCCTACCTCATCTCCCACTCCTTCATGAATCGTAACGCCCATGCCGCCAATCAAAAGCGTTTTTTTCCTCACCAATTAAAATGATTTGTGGTTTAATTCGCGGTATTTTTTGCCCAATCAGATTTTATTTTTATTTTGGGTCACTCATAAATTAATTTCCGACCATGGAAGTCTGCGATGGGTGTCACTTCAATTATATGGAGTTGATTGCGCGTTTTGGAGAAAAAACTGACTAGCTATATTATTTTTAAAATCTTATTGTTTTCGCCCGACCTCAGTAAAGTGTCTTAAGTGTAAGAACGAATGTAAATATCGTCAAGACCAACATATGTGGCATTGTGGTAACTCGTTCCCAAGACAAAGAAGAGACGTTGGTGTTCGTACACCCTCAGTAATTACAAATGAAAATTTTTAGAAAAAGTGCCATTTTCATCTGTACTAATCTCAGAATCGAACGACGAACCACACCAATAAGGTAAGAAATAAGTGATTCCATCACATGGTGAGAGTCAGGTTAGGTCAGGTTTATATGCCTGTTTTTCTATTTTTTTTTTTGTATTTTGTATTCGATTGGTCATAATTATGGTCGGAAAACGCCTCACCCAAAACCCCCGATAACTAAAAAAAACCAGGCAATCTCCGACGGAAATCAAGGTCAAAACCAATCAAAGTACACTGGAAAAACATAGTTTTGACTTTCTAACAGAGTTGTGTGCAATAATGCAAATTTACCCAAAAGTGGCAAGCACTGCATTGCACTTAGATTTATTTAGGCGTGTATATTTTCTACAGTACAGTAAATGATTCGTAGGTCAGTGATAAAAGATAATATTTTTTTTAAGATTCAGAGTTTACTAATTTCTTGCTTGAATTGCAAGTCCTTAGATGCAGAGAGAGAGAGAGAGTTCAAGAAGAGAGCGCAGCCCACCCAGCTGTTTTTTTTTTATCTGGCCAATATCATTGCCATTTTGAGGCCATGCACACTTGATAGTAGGGGATATTCTGAAGTCAATAGTAAATACTTTTTACAATACAAAAATGCCTGAGTTCAATACTGCATTAAAGAAAGGGTACTGAAATTTTCTGACCCCCCCTGTATCCGCCCTTGGGGGAAGTTAAAAATAGACCTTTTTCACTGTACAGTAGAAATAGCCTATACTATACAGGAGTGGCTAAATAGCCACTTCGCTCACCAATGGCGATAAAAAAATCCCAATAAGCTAGTTGAAATTTTGGAGAGCCAGGTGTTGCCGCAGGCAATGCAGCGGCAATTCAAATTTCATTTTTGCCCAACCCCAAGATCTCCTCCTTTTCCACATTTCGATTCAGGCATCTCTTGACCCAATTGGTTTTCATTTACTCCACATGCCCGAACCATCTGAATTACTTACCTCAACGCAAAACCTCGCCAGTGCTCTCAGTACCCAGCTGCCCTCTTGTTCTCAACAGGGTTTCTTATATTTTAATGTCACATTACACAATGCATTCCTCTCACTTTTAGCTTCTCAAGCATACAGGTTTCATCCTCTTAATCATTCTTATTCTCCCCCTCACGTTTTTGTATTATTTTCATATACTTTCCGTCCCTTTTTCCACGTCTCTTACTTTATATATATATATATATATATATATATATATATATATATATATATATATATATATATATATATATATATATATATATATATATATATATATATATGTATGTATGTATGTGTGTATATATATTCTACTTCATGCCGTTTTTCTTTTTCGTTCTGTCATTTCTTGTCACTTGTCTATCGTAGGAGATAAATAAATATTCAGCAGAATCACCATAAGGTTCACATTGACTTAGTATGTGTACATAGTCACTTTATGTATACAATGTATACATAGACAGTGCAGGCATATATATTCAGTAAAAGAATACAAACACTGATAAATTCATTGTACATAATCATTCCTTTAATTCTTCCTCATAACCAATAATTATTCATCATTTAAACGTTGATTCGGCATTGAAACGCTTTATATTAGATGAGGGTTTTTTTTACATCTATAGTACATAAGGCAGAGAAAGACCAGACAACTATTGTCATGAAGTACATTCACTAAGAAGTCGTCACCTTGCCAAAGACTGAATACATTTGAAGCATACTTTAAAATGTTAGGGATTATAATTATGATGTAAGAAAACCTGTTGCTGGGAGTTCCACTGATTGCTATAGTTTGGGGTATATACACTGTTGGAGGTAAGGTGCAACCCTCATAATGGTCCTCAAAAGCGAGATGCTTGCCCGTTTGGGGTACTGTCTGGTCCCCGACATATACTTGAGACTGTCAGTTGATTAAAAATGTTCAAGGGAGGGTCACCAGACAAGTGCCCTCACTACATCATCTCAGTTACCCAGACATAAGAGATTGGAACACCTGCAGTTGTACAGCTTATACTACAGCCGGGCAAAGGGTGACTGAATAGAAGTCTATAAACACCTCTGAGGTCATTATTCAGACAACCGTTCGTACCTAGACCTGGTGGTTGCCCGCCCCACTAAGGGTCACAACTTAAGGTTAAAGAAGCTGCAGGTTAAAGCAATTGTCAGGGCAAGCTTTTTTGGAGAGTGTTAATTGTGACGGCACCGAATGTGAGCACATCCAAGACCAAACTTAATTGGCCAACGCTGGCGCAGGTACAGATACATTCTGGAGCCAATACATGCCAACCGTATGTAAGAGAGACGTGACCGATCGCCCAAGCGGCTAACAAGCCGACAAATGGCAAAGAGGATAGAGTAAGGTTAAATATATTAAAAATATCCTTGATTTTGTTTTAATGTGATCATTAGTCCATGACGTAAAATGTAACCATTTCATTGTTGTATCACTCAAGATAGTTTATACAACACCACCATCTGCTCAAATATAACCACATCAAATATCTTATAATGATCTCTTCTAGAAAAGTTTGTCGTAATTGAATCTAAGGGGTTATATCAGGAGCTTAAAGTTGGCATGATACCGTACTGTTTTGAAGCCCGCGCGTGCTCTTGTGTGTAGTGTGTGTATGGTGTGTGTGTGTGTGTGATGCCACTTTGAACCCTTGATTTTACTTTAAAAACGATGAAGTATTATCGGGGAAACCTACAACCGCCAATGCATCGGAATTTAGTTTATATAAATTTAAGTTTCACAGTTAAATGTTAGCGTGACACTGATCTACAGGCCCAAAGACACGTCATAAACATCTTTGCATACATGCACACATTCCAAAAACAAGATCGTGCCATCTTTGACCTCTTTATGCAGAGCCATATTTTGCCCTAGGCACACTAGGTATTGTGCCCCAGTCCTAATCATTAGGATTGGGGTACATTTGACCAGTCACCGAGGGAATCACTGTTGGTGGCAGAATACCAGCCCACCCCAGGGGGAGGTACAAAGATCTCTGGTAGACACTGTTATTTATTAATTATAATAATTACATCACGACTGTAAGTCATAAAGTACTTGATATTGAAACAGCAGTATTTATCATTAACTAGAATGAAAAACGTTTATACAATGTGCCAAGCAATATTGTACAATATAAAGTAAGAAAACATGGAACAATACACACAATACTAAAGTACATACTAGACATTATGTACTCAAGCTTGCAGTGTTTGTTAATTATTGCCATAAAATATACACACTATAAAAATGTTCTTATACACACAAAATATACATTCTACAGTGATAATAGATTTAGGTGATACTTAAAAAAGTAAAACAGGAAGGGAGGACTTGAGTGAGAGACACAGTTATTGGTTCATAACAGTAAAGTATTATATGAATGGAAAATATTGTGACTTCATTTCAGTATAAAATAACATGGTTGGCTCATTGACTGCAAGTGTGATATGAAATGATACAAGTTCTGGAATTTTCTTAAGCATATCTTTTGAACACCTTCTTTTTATACACGTGACTTGCAATCGTTTATTAATGTTAAAGGCAAAGTTAAAAATCAAATTTTGACTTTTAGGTAAAAATTAACAAGTGCAAAACAACATAGTAGTCTTACACATATCACTGGCATGTATTGTGTTTCTCGACATGGAGATTTATAAAAATACATTTAAATGTCGAGAAAACTCGTTTAAATGCCTAGTAAAATAGGTCGTATCGAGTGCCCGAGACCTGTAACGGGCAGCAGGAGAGGGCACCCACAACGTCTTAGTCTAGGACGAAGAATGGGAAGTAAGGGCGCAGGCTCTTCAGCTTATGAAGTGGGAGGTGGTAACGTTTCCTCCTTTGCTCCAGCGCCAGAATGATCTTGCCGTGGTCGAGGCTGTCAAAAAATGGCTCGTCGTGGACCACAATGTGGGCGTGTGGCGGCATTTCGATAATGAAGTTGGAGAAGTACTTCTGCTCTCGATCATTTTTGGAAGGCGGGTCGGGGGGCGTGAATTGATCACGAGTTTCATTTGGGATTTCATTTTGATTATCGAAGAAACTGAAGCGATTAGAGGAACCTGGAAAGAAAATAACTGTGAGATTTGGGAAAACCGTGAATCGTGGTAAAATCTGAACACATTATTGATGATGCATTTAGGAAGTACTGTACCTGTGCCGACTGTTTTCACAGCTTACCTTATCTCTATGATCCTTATAGTACTAGCTGGGGTACCAGTCGTTGCCGGGATTAGATTTTAAAGGGCAGCTCATAAGCTATGTCTGCTGACTATACTTACATTACATCCACTGCACGATCAACACTACATCCACATTTATTCTACATATATTACACTATCAACACTACACTATAATCTACAGTGCATCCACTTCTAGGGTGCATGCGGTAATCCACGCCAAATTTCAAGTCTTTTATCTTCAAAACTGTAGCTGCGTATAGCGAACAGACATACACAGCGAGGACTTGGCGTACCTGTAACCTGGATACTGGATGAAAATTGTGGGGGAGACCTGGGGAAGCGCTCGTCGTTGGGGTTTGTTGACGTTACCTCGGTGGTCTTGGTCTTGTCGGCAGGTCGGCCGAGTACCGTCGGCAGGCACAGCACCAGTCCTACCAAGAACTTCATCTGCAAACAAAAACTTGCTTGAATGCCAAATCATATGCACACATTATATATATATATATATATATATATATATATATATATATATATATATATATATATATTATATATATATATTTTATATATATATATATATATATATATATATATATATATATATATATATATATAATCAACGACCTCACCAGCCAGGACTTGATTGAACCCTCGACCTAATGCGTGTGACCAGGGAACGCTACCAACTATGCCACAAGGAAACTGGTGTCCTTGTGGCATGGTTGGTAGTGTTCCCTGGTCACACGCATTAGGTCGAGGGTTCAAGTCCTGGCTGGTGAGGTCGTTGATTATATGTTCAAGTCCACGTGTTATATGGACTAAAATGAAGTATATATATATATATATATATATATATATATATATATATATATATATATATATATATATATATATATATATTTCATGTAGATCACAATGAAAACGTGGATAAGATAAATCTTGATAAAATCACACGGGAAAGGGAAACAGACGAAAGCTAAGGTGCAAAATACATCATATATATACTATATATATATATATATATATATATATATATATATATATATATATATATATATATATATATACACTTGTGGTTATTATATATTTATTTATAATACTGTATATGATGGTTGGTATCTTGTCATATTTATTATTGATCTCTAGAATTAGTGTTCAAGATTGTTGGATGGTGAAGGTCGGATTATAACAACTGAAGAAGGTGTCAGTGAAAGCATATAGAAATATAAAGAATAAAGTGATGGTAAGACCCAAGTTTGTTAAAGGCTCCGAATGGTAAATTAAAATAGTTAAAAAGAAACGATTGAAATGTGTCTGGTGTTGTGCATACTGTTTTGTGATGACAATATAATATGGATGCGAAGTTTCTATGAAATATTTCTATTGAATATCGAGTTCTTTTTCTAGACAAAGTTTTGGCATTTGACCTTCGAGAGACCCTGAACTGTGTCACTATGATTGATTGAATATCTGACTGTTTGGTTAATTGACTGACTGACTGGTTGACGAATTGATTGACTAAATGTCTATGGCTGAACAGCTACCAGGTTCTGAAACAAACAAACCCTCGGCTGGGTGGCTCAGACTGGGGGCTAACAGTATGCAAATGATGCCGTTGTGGCGGGAATAAGATCGAAAGAACTGGTTACTCATTTCAGTGAAGTGTGTAGGAAAAGAAAGAGAAAGTTGAAAGTGAATGCAAGCAAGAATGAGGTTCTCTTATTGGGAAGACTCGGTCGCTGCCTCGGTGATGAAATGTAATGTGGAGGAGGATAAAAATTGCTGTGTACTTTGCAAAGGATTTAATTCGGCCATCCTGCACTACAACGGAAAATGTCTTGCAAAAGGGGGAAAAACTCAGCAATTTATGAGTTAATGACATGAAAAGTGTTCGTGTGTGTGTGTGGAATGATCCTTATTGTTTTAAATCTTTCATCTTACTGTCCACATTATATACCACCTACTCTCCCTCACCATTCTCTTCTCTCTTCTTTGTTCCCATCCCTGGTATAAGGTGGGAGAAGAGAACAAAAAATTACACATAAATAGAGAATTGTAAGTCGTGAGTTAAGTTAGACTTTTGGGATAAGGAAACAAAAAGTAGAGCGGGGAGGAGACGAGAAGTGTACTGTGGTCAGATGTTGGCTGGACAGTGCGACTAGTACAGGTATATGTTTACATCTACAGCTCTTGTCCGTAGTCTTTGAATATGGCTGAAAACTCCTGGCTTACCTAGATACACATAGATATATTTTGAGAGGAACAGACACGAATAATATATTTGGGATGTTGTAGGAATTATGACACAGGGTACAGTGAAGTGTTGGAAGGACAGGTGGAATAAGGAAGGCTTTAAATAGGAGCAATAATGAAAGCTGTTAAAAAGGGTATGAACATAATTATACAGACTTTACCACAGTGTCGATGACGTGTGACTGAGGCTGATGGTATTAGGGGAGGAGACGGAATTCAAGAGAAATAAATAATCAGTCAATAAAGTTATAAAAATACAACTGTACATTGTGGGTTGTGGATAAAATTTCTTGTTTCACAAGAAAAGTAAATGGAGTAATTAATTTCACCTATTCTGCTCATCTTTCTGAAATACACGAATAAAAAAAAAATCGTAGTGATATATATATATAAGATGTCTTGAGTATAGACGAAAGCTAAGGTGCTCCGTTGTTTCCCTTTCCCCGTGTGCTTTTATCAAGATTTATCTTATCCACGTTTTCATTGTGGATCTACATGATATATATATATATATATATATATATATATATATATATATATATATATATATATATATATATATATATATATATATATATATATATTAGTCAGAGTGGCCAATGTTGCATTGTTGCCATATCGTCGGTGTGGCGTGAGGGAGATGTCTGTGCTCCTGCGTCTGGTGTTAACCACTAAATCATCACAAAACTTCTCTCACACCTTGACCCCGTAAATCCGTCAAAATTAACTATAAATTCGCTACATTACACAGCTCAAAATTCACCATAGTCATCCTCCACAGGTATGGTGCACACCGACATGCTCTGTTGCTGCTGCTGCTGCCTGTTTAACACCCCGACTTATTGTTTACTGCTACGAGAGGGACTCAGGGGAGTCGCGCCACACCACAGCTGCTGGCATTGGTAACAGACATGTGAGGTATTTATTTTTTAAGCTCTTGCGGTAGGAGGATAGCAGCTTCAATAGGGAATTTCACTCTGAGGTTATTCAAATAGCGTTAACCACTAAGGCCGAGGTCACTCACACACACACATTTCAACCTGGTTCAGCTAAACACTTCGTCTGATGGCACAGTTGAAAGATTGAACACATCTCTCCCAAACAATTTAAAAGTTGTAAAAGTAACATCAAATATGGCATTGTTCACCTCACCACCTTCCTGTCGTACATAAACGCGATGGCTTCTTCACCAGCAGAGATGCCTTATGCTATTATAGTTTTTTGCTCTTTTCTTTTCTGAATTATTACTTCCTAAGTTCATTTGTGGATATCTCGACACTATTAAACCGATTTACTTTAAATAAGAAACAGGCGCTATAATGACGCTCTGGGTATTTTCATCGCCTCTAGTTTAATATCTAAAGAATGTCAAGAAAAATATTGATGAGTCAGAGAGGTGTGATAATTTGTGGACTGAGAAAAGCGTCTGGTAATCACACAGATACATATGAGTGTCTTTTATCTTTGACCGCTTCATTTCACTAAACACAGTATTTGCCAACTAGGCTGTGATATGAATAAAACCACGACATTCAAGGGTTCTAACTTACCTCTGACAATGAATTCACTTTCCCAACTCTGCATCTCGCACCCGAAACATAATATAAGAGATCACAGAGCATAACTTTTCTTAACATATATCAGGATTTTACTCTCGACCTCAACCCTTACATTGATTAGTGATAATTTCTATGTGGTTCTTATTTTTTACAAATTTCTGACTGGCCAAAGACGACCAAGTAAATAATCACAGTATATATGACTTAATAATTTCATACATAAATTAACCTAACCTAACTTAAGGTATAATTTGGTTCTTATAAAAAAATGCAAATTACCATATATAAATTTATTTCCATTAAACTGGACCAATGAAAATAAAAAGTTACTCCTATTTGGCAAAACTGTCAGTTGCCTCTTAACCCCTTGTGCACGGGATCCTTCTGTGCTGAATAAAATCATAAGCTATAGTGGATGGGTTAAAATTTAATGGGTTAGGTAAGGTTAGGTTAGATTTGACTACATTAAGTTAAGTTGGGCTTTCTACAGAACTATTATTCTATATGTATCATGATAATCTACTTGATCGTTAATGACCAGTTAGAAGCTAAATACAAAAGCAGAAGTTATATTTATTAGACAATTATCTCTATTTAGCACACATGCGTCGTCTGGTCTGATTTTACGAAAGCCTTCCAAAAATCAAGTGTCTCCCTGGTATCAGTCAGGTTGGCTGTGAAAACACGAAACCAGAAGAATATGTAAAGTTACAACACCAACACACGCTGTCCTGGGTCTACAACACTCGCTGTCCTGGGTCTACAACACTCGCTGTCCTGGGTCTACAACACACGCTGTCCTGGGTCTACAACACACGCTGTCCTGGGTCCACAACACACGCTGTCCTGGGTCAACAACACGCTATCCTGGGTCCACAACACAATGTCCTGGGTCCACAACACACGCTGTCCTGGGTCCACAATACGCTGTCCTGGGTCCACTACACGCTGTCCTATGGGTCTACAATACTTCCAGGTTCGTGAGATGAATGTTCCCCGTATGTGAAGATGTGAGAACGTAAACCTTGGTTAAAGACAAAAGAAAAGCTCAGAATATCCTAAAATTTTACCGAAACTTTACACCTTAAATAGATATATTCACTTAAAACTGGTCAGGGGATAATATTACAGTATCTAGTTCAGGCACAGTTCCAGTGGATCTCATGTTATTTTTAATATTGTGCTCCCTGGATTGTAGAAGACAAGATTTTGAAGTGGATTAACAACTGTCTCGAAGACGGCAACGAAGAGTGGGAATAAATGAAGTACATTTTGGGTGAGAAACTATTCTCAGTGGAGTACCACCTAATAAAGGCCCTATCCTTGGACCCACCCTCTTTGTGATCCACACAAACGACATTGATGAAAACATGTCGAGCCACAGTGTCAAGTTTGAGGACAACACGAAGATATTTGGGAAGGTAGCAAATTAAGACGATGTTGCAACAATGCAAAAAGACCTGCATGAAAATATAAACATATTTCGTAAGATAACTGAAACAATTTGTTTAGCGTAAGGGATGTAAATGTCATGTTTGTCGATTTTGTATATAAAAAAAATAAAGAAAAAATTATTATTTTGGGGGCCTCCCTCAGAAGAAGAGTACGTAGAAGGCCATGAAGGTAATCACAATC